TATTCAAGGTCTTCAATGCGGATCTGAACGGTGGAATTATCTTCCACTCGCTGTATTGTGGTCTACTATATTATCAGCTCATATTTATCAAACCGATGATTGACCTCGGGACTTTCAGGTACATGGATACTTCCTTGTGATTAGACATGATAGGTACTCAGCTATGGTGGGATCAGATCTGGCTTGGCGGTAGATGGGAACCTTGGAACGTCCTTGAGGCTCTGTGGAGTAAAGTAGTGAGCTGATACAATGGACTACTGAAGTCTCAGTCCAGTTGGAAGTGATACAAGGAGTACCTATGTGTGGAAAAGGAGTGGATGGGATATTTTCAAAAATGCAGAGCATTCACTGCCACCCAACTATCCCTATATAGCTTCATGGAGATAAAGAACAAGCTTCAGAATATGGGGCAGAGGCCTGACAGACACTGCCTGAAAACAGCAAACATCAAACATCGCCGTAGTATAATAGGAAGGAGTGGGAATCTTGCTGAAGGGCAATTCCAAAAAGAGATTTGTCTCTAACGCGGTAGATAGTACCACCTCTACAGCGTCATTGGGGCTCTTCATTTCGGTAAACCATTATCAAAAACAGCCTAGAGTTCATTAAAACACAAAGAAAAAGCCATCAAAAGGCTGACACAAGTGGTACATATGTTCGGATCGATCATGAAATCATAAAGCACGCTGCTAGCCAAGTAGAGTATCCCTCAAACTCCCAAACCAAATAAAAAATGCAATCAATGACGCCCAGCAACATTAAAGATATCATTATGCCACGTAGGCCCAAGCCCACGCGTCTCATCCCCATCCTCAATAGCCTCCTGCGCACGCGTAGCCTCCTCATGCCAAGTCTTGACAATACTACCAGGAGCATAAACACCCTTAAAGACGCCCCTATCGAGCGGTTCAAGACCAATCCGAGTCTCGACATCTGAGTCCGCGGGTTTAAGACGGGCGAGGACAGCCCGCACGAAAGTCGCCAGGTCCTGTGGGTTAGCGATGCGCGCCGCACGTAGCCGTTCACGGGCGAAGACTAGCTCGCGATTTAGCGCGAACGTCGCGGCAACAATCTCCTCTGCGATTTTTTTCTCTAGCACGCGGCGCACGAGATGTTTTAGGAAAGGCTTGGTCAGCCATAGTAGGAAGCGCCACTTGCTACGCTTGATTGTGTAGTCAAGTTTGTGGATGCAGACGCGGACGCCGCGCAGAGAGAAGATCTGCTCTAGCTTGCCGCGGCCGACTTCGATGTCTAGGGAGATGTCGATACCGCGGCGGTCGAGGTAGAAGCTGGCTATGCCTTCGTCGCGCAGATGGAAGAAGCCTGTGTGGGTACGGAACCAGTAGCCGAAGTCCTCGGCGCTGATGTTGAGGCCTTGAACAGTGACTGTGAAGGCTGTTTTCATAAGTGTTTCTGTGCGCTTCGAGTGGGTTTTCACCACGTCGATGTCATTGCGCGTGAGGATGTGCATGCGGTAGGGGAGGAAGGAGGAGAAGTTTACGGTGTGCCCGGGTTCGAGAATTAAATTCTCGAGGAGGAGGTCCATTTCTGGGGCGGAGATTTCTAGCCGCGGGAGTGGGATGTATTGGATTGTTCGGAGGAGCACTGGGAGGAAGACGTTCACTAAGTCTGCTGGGAGGCTGGTCTTCTTGTCGTTGTAGGCACCCCAGGCGCCCTTGTAGACCTTCTTAGTGGCATTGACTAGCTTGTAGACGGCTGGGTCTTCTGGCACGGTTCTAAGTGTGCGTTTAGTCTGTGCTAGGAAATCATCCATATCCTTTCGTAGGCTCGTATCTGAGCCTACTTTATCGGACTGTTGTTTGAGTTCATCGAGCTTCTGCGGGGCCGAATCGAAGAACTCGGGGTTGGTGAGCATGTCCTGCAACGAAGTACCGATCTCTCCGAGTAGATTATCAAACTCAGGATCTTTGTTCGCATGGCGCAAGACATTGTGGAACTTTTCTTGAAGCCGGTCCCACTCTTCTGCGTCCCCGAATGACCGCACAAGAATCCAGAATTCGTCGACCGCCCGCTTGAGGTCAGCATTAACTTCCATGTCTTCTTGGGCAGCCGAGGCAGTATCCTCTGCTACATCGGCATAGATCCTAGCATAGCGCGATACTAATTGAGCAAGTGTCGCCACCGAGTCAGAGTAGTCCGTCCTCTCCCGAAGCTTTTGAACCGCCTGCTTCAGCCGGAACAGCAAGGTGTCCCTCTCTCGGCCTGACAAATGCTCCTTAGCACTCTGTACAGCATCACGACTCGTCTGAGCGATCCCTTCGCCGGCTACACCCGCGACATGTGCAACCCCCTCCTGCACCTCGGCCTTTGATAATTCGTGCCCCTCATCAGCACCAGCACCCTGTAGCGCCTGTTCCTCTTCCTCGGAAGGTTTCACTTGTTCCGCCACCCGTTTGGAAGACTCAGCGAGAGATTCCGCGGTATCAGCGAAGATCTGGCGGCCAACGGTAACGATATCATCGACGAAAAGACGGAAGTCAGCATTAGTCAGAAGTAGGCCCCCGACCGTGCGAAAACTATCATATGCTACGCGCAGGGATTAGTGAACGATCATCATTTTGTTATTCTCGCGTGCCAAGCCCGGAACCTGGGGAGTTGCAGCGGTGGAAACAGGCGACCCACCAGCTTTCGTATCTGCCCGCGCCTTCACGTGGGCGGCCTGTCTGGAAACCCTCTGGGTGTCCACCTCGACGCGTGAACGGGCCAGGCGCCACAGAAACTCCTGGAGCTGGTCTTGGCTGTTTTTCTGTTGCAGAAATTCGATGAAGACCTGGATCCACAGTCGACTATCCCGCACTAGCTGGCGGCCGACACTGCCGATGTCCTGATTACGCAGGTTGAGGACGTCAGAGGCGAGGAGGGTACGGAGGTTGGCGATGGTTTGTTCAGTTGTTGGCATATATCCGTCGGAGATGGCGCGAATCATTTGGTAGCTATGTAGCTTTTGGTGGAGTCGTCGCTGACGGGAGGTGTCATCCTCGTATCGAGGGAGGAGGGGTTCCGTCTCGGAGGGCATATTGAATAGGCCCTGGGTCGCGTGAGATAGTAATGGTTGGAGATGAAGCTAAATGCTTACTTTGCAGGTGAAGGTTGAAGTTCTAGGGAGGAGTCAGGCTCGGGAACCTGTTTTAGGCACATGACGACACACCACTCGTACAGTGTAACGTAAAATGTTTGTTCTTAAGTGCTACATATTTGTATTTAAGTAGATTCAAGTCAGAATGTTTTTTTTTTTTTGAATATGATTCTCAATAAAAAAATAAGAGGTATGAAGTTCAAAGGCAATTGAAGTAACTGAAGCTATTATGTAACGAATATGACCCCCTGGAGTATCTGGGGAAAGCTATGGATTTAGCCGGGCCATAGATAGTTATAATATAGTTATAGCTTGATGTAACTATGGTAGTTCCAATTAGATCAACTTTTGATGTTTACTTCCTACATATTTAAAATTGCGTACTGGCAAGGAGAGCCGGATCTGCGGGAAAAAAGGAGACAAAAAGCAAAAATGTACATATATGCCTCATGTATGAAGTACTCCGTAATTGAGAATGATATATCCAATGCGGTATGAGGTATATGAGGTCACTCACATTCTATAGTTACGCCAGAATAGCCAAGTCTTTCCAAAAGCCCAGGAACTGCAGGGAAAAGCCCTGACGACTTCGGAGATATTCAAAATATGTACGCAGTAGAGCAGAGTATAAGGAATGAGAATTATTAATAGATGCCTTACAAGCTTACCCGGACAAGGGGTCCAATCGGAATATGAGAATCCCTAGATTCCGAATGCTTTCATGTCCGACGAATCTGGAAGTTCCAGACCTGATAATTTGAAAGAATTGAAGGGGGCAAAAAAAAAAATAACGCAACCGTGCTGGATAACATAGGTAATCAAAAGTCCCCTGTCGGCGACCGAGAGCCATTCACAAAGGCCGAATATCATCAACGCGGCGGACTCGAAACAAAGACCCGAAAAGTCTCACCGAAGAGCTTCCGATCGGAAGTGTTCCCTGATAGCAATTTCTTATAGTACATACATAACATGTTGTACGGAGTAGTATAACATGTTGTAACATATGACATTTTACGGCAATCCCCGTTGCTTCATCTCCAGTTCTATCAAGTATTGTTATTCTATTCTCTTTCCAGAAGCCTTGTTTTTTTGAAGATAAAAAATAATTAAATAAATAAAAAAAATGAAACACCGAATAGACAATTAATTAGGGTATTCAACTCCACTTCGGCACTATCTGCGGCTCTGGAAGCTCGTAGCTGTGGATTTGAGTGGGTCTATAGAGCTAAAGCAGATTAGTGTAAACTTCATGGCGTTTCTCTCCCCGGCTTTTTGAACCAATCAGATTACAGTATTTCATTATTCACCATTCTACTTGGTAGTTATCATCACTAGTCATCACCCAGCCATCACCTGAGTGGACACCCAGTTCGAGGTCTACCGTGTAAATTATAGATTTTGTATTTGAAACTCCGAACCTACCAACTTTTTTTTAATATCACATCCCCTCGCTTCAATATGTACACAAAGAACTCCCTGCTTGGAATTAATCCCGCAAACATCCAGTAATTCTGTAATTCCATATGCAATTCCATATGCAATTGTATATGCAATTTCATGCAAATTATATGTCTCAATTCAATTCCATATTTCAATGATTTGACTGCATCTCCGCATTTGTCGGAGTATCCACACAGTGATGCTGGAGCTCCCTTGCTGGATCTACTTCCCGAACAAAAAAAAAAGAAATTAAAAAAAAAAAGCTTTTGGAGGGATCCAGATTCCAGAAAGGACTTTCATGCACAACGGTTCGCTGTCAACACCGAAAACGAATCCACATGGGTCATGACCCTCCTAATCGTCCGACTCTTCCCGACTTCAAAATCATGACTCTTTTTTTTTTTTTTACTGAATGTCGCCTTACACGAGGTCCCGGTTAATTATCTGGTCAACTCCTGTCGGAATGTCCTCAATGCCCCAGGGGAAATTTAGTATGTTGTCTCGTGTACATAAAAACAGACTCGCATCTGCTTCCAGATCTTTTTATTCTTTCTATCATTCCACCTCTACCTCCAACAAGTCTTCTCAGTCTATCACAATGGCTCGATACCCTACACTACCTTCTCAACAAAGCCGGCCGGTGCATGCTAGCCCAGCTTCTCATCTCAACCACGCCTCGCCTGCGTAAGTCAAACCTCACCAACGCTGTCGCAAGAGCATTCAACTAATGAAGTGGCAATATTAGTGACGCCAACTATGATACCGCCAACCCTGCATACATTCGCAAGTACCTGCGCACTTACGGCCTCACCCCTCCTCGCGCCGAGGGTTACGAAACACAAAAGACCCGATGCCTAGCCCAGCTGGGTCTGAAGAACACTCCTATCGACAAATTCCTATACCTCAGCACTCTCCGCAAGAACAATGTCCACCTATTCTACCGTCTCGTGACAGACCACCTCAGGGTACGTTGGGTTCTGAGGCATATGATTGGATGAATCCTGAGGAACCCCAAAATTAACCATCCCTGTAGGAAATGACCCCCCTGATCTATACCCCAGTTGTGGGCGAGGCCTGCCAACGGTGGTCCGAGATCTACCAACAGCCTGAAGGTACGTAGCTGTGAATGACTCAGATCATCTTTTTCTCCGCAGTCAAATTGCCATTGTCTCCACAATTGGCACTTTTCTCCGCACACGAATTAGAACCGGAGACGCTAACCCCCCATTTTAGGCATGTACCTGAGCTGGGAAGATCGCGGTAATCTAGCTTCGGTCATCTCCAATTGGCCCGAGTCTAATGTCGAGATCACATGTATCACCGATGGCTCCCGTATCCTCGGGCTAGGTGATCTGGGCATCAACGGAATGGGTATCCCCATCGGCAAGTTGGCGCTGTATACCGCCTGTGCGGGTATTCGTCCCGAGGCAACTCTGCCTCTGACTCTCGATCTGGGCACTAATAACAAGGCCCTCCGGGAAGACCCGCTGTACATGGGTAGCCGTCGCGAGAAGATCTCCCCCGAGGAAGAGCGGGAGTTCTTGGACGAGCTGATGGGTGCTCTTACCGAGCGCTGGCCTGGGTAAGTGACTCATTCTCACATGTCTTTTCGGGTGATCCACCCCTATCGCAATTGCGACTAACAATTCTCTAGTATCGTTATCCAATTCGAGGATTTCAAGAATCCCTTCCCTGCTCTGGAGCGTTACCGTGATCACTACACCTGCTTCAACGATGACATCCAGGGTACTGGCGCTGTCATCCTCGGCGGTGTCATCAACGCTGTCAAGCGCTCCGGTCTGCCCTGCAAGGACCACCGCGCTGTCTTCTTTGGTGCTGGCAGCGCCGGTGTCGGCGTCGCCCGCCAGATCGTCGAGTTCTTCATGCGCGAAGGCATGACCGAGGATGAAGCCCGCAACTGCTTCTACCTCGTCGACACCAAGGGTCTCGTCACCGCTGACCGCGGCGACAAACTCGCCGACCACAAGGTCTACTTCGCCCGCCGCGACAACAACGCCGAGCAGTACAAGACCCTCGAGGAGGTCGTCGACTACGTCAAGCCCTCCATCCTGATGGGTCTCTCCACCATGGGCGGCGTCTTCACCCCAGAGATCTTGCGCAAGATGGCCGACTGGAACACCGCGCCTCTCATCTTTCCCCTCTCCAACCCCTCATCCAAGTCAGAGTGCGACTTCGAGACTGCCATCAAGAACACGGACGGCCGCTGTCTCTTCGCCTCCGGCTCCCCCTTCCCCAACTGCACCTTCACCAACGCCGCTGGCGAAACCCGTACTTACTACCCCGGCCAGGGAAACAACATGTACGTCTTCCCCGGTATCGGCCTCGGCAGCATACTGTCCAAGGCCGTCCGCGTCACAGACAGCATGATCTACGCCTCCGGCGACGCCCTCTCTTCTGCCCTTAACGGCGAGGAACTCGAGCGTGGCTTGATCTACCCCGACATCACCCGCATCCGCGAGGTCAGCGTCGTCGTCACCCGCAAGGTGATGCGCGCTGCTCAGGAGGACAAGGTGGATCGTGAGATTGCTCTGCGCTCTATGAGTGATCTTGAGCTTGATAACTGGATCAAGTCCCGCATGTATGATCCTCACACTGAGGTCCGCGCTCTGGAGCGCGAGGTCGGTCACCTCCTCTCCAGTCTGGGAACAGTCTCGCCTCCTATGACGGTTAATGGTTCCCCGACTGAGGAGAAGAATGCCAAATTGTAAGATTTGATCTTTCTTTCTTGTCTTGTCGGCTTGGCTGTGAATACTGCGTTTTGCAGAAAAAAAAAAAGCGTTTGTTCTAATCCGCTGGCGCTTAGGATCACTGCGTGATGGACTCGCATGTCACTTTTGACTTTTGATATTTCCCCCTTTTTGGTTTCGAGCGCATCTTCTGGTCTTTTTTTTCCTTCTCTACCTATTTTCGGGTTGGACACGAACTTTTTTCCCTGATTGAATACCCAGCACTTCTTTTCTTTGGATTTTGCCTCGCATTTCGAGGGTCTTTGCATTTTGGGGATAGTTAGAGCATCTTGCTACATGAATGAACAAATCTAAATCAATTACATACTATATACTATTCTCCTACATATTATCGTAAAATCGGGTTTCGATTATTGATGAACAAAAAAAGTCTTACCATTAGATATCGCAAGCTCTTCCATTTTAAGTAACAAATATAGTGATCAAATAATCAGAATTCCTAGACTAACTACATGTGAAAATTCTGACGGATGAATCCAACTCTCCGAGCTTCTCCAAATCCACATTTTTTTAAGGAACACTAAGACTCCACAGTATACCGGGAGATCAATCTCTCCGCGAAATGACTAAGGCCCCAGGGGTTGAAAGCAAATTTTGTATATTATAGACCTGTATATTATTCTTAATCTTAAGGCACCTGTTCTTTGCAGTTTTTCTTGTTTAGATTCTGTATAGAGGTTCGTCTACACTTTAATTTATGAATGGAATTAAGACTAAGATCATTAACAGTTACATCTGTTGGACATTACATCCATATCGCCAATTGCATCACACTGTGTACATATACTTTACACTGTATATATTAATCGCATACGAAGCTGCATATACACCATGCCATCTCCCCTCGCAGATCCGGTCAAGCTGCCATGTGGACTTGTTTTGCCGAATAGGCTGAGCAAGGTATGAAGATTCGCATATATCGTTCACACCTAACGGGCTAATGGCTATGCACAAATGGGACTAACGCACTCCTAGGCCGCAATGGCTGAGATGATAGCCAAAACCAACCAGCCCACAACCACCCTGGCTGATGCCTATGAGCAATGGGCAGATGGCGGATGGGGAAGTATTCTTACAGGTAAGATCTATTGCTATATTGAGGTTGAGACTTACATGGCGAATGCGAAATCCTCAAACCCTAATTTTTATCCATGTACCCCGAATATACCCCAAATTCCCTCAAGAACTCCAACTACAAATCCCCCATTTTCATATACAATCCTCCAAGCTCTAGTTTCAAAACCAACCCTAACACTTCCTAGGAAACGTCCAAGTCGACGTAAACCACCTAGGCAGCCCCTACGACCCAGCCCTGCACAATGAATACAAAGACAGCAAAACAAACAGCGCCCTAGTCGCCCAATGGAAGAAATACGCCGACACATGCCAAAAACATGGCACGCCAACCATAGCCCAGATCTGCCACCCAGGCCGACAGTCCTTCCGCGTCGCAGGCCACCGCGGCATCTTCGCCCAGACCCTTGCGCCCAGCGCTGTGCGCGTCAAGGTTGGGGATAGCTACTTCCAGAGACTGGTTGGGTGTTTGGTTTGGAGTGAACCCAAGGAAATGACGACTCAGGATGTTGAGAGGGTTATTGGGCAGTTTGTTGATACTGCGAGGCTGATGGCTGATGCGGGTTTTTCGGGAATTGAGCTGCATGGAGCACATGGGTATTTGATTGGTATGTTTTTCCGACAGAGAAAGGAAGGGAGATTGGTGAGATAATTATTGTGCTGATGGGTATGGTTCGTTTTAGATCAGTTCCTCAGCGGAAAGGTATGACATCCTCGGGTTCACTATAAAAACTACCAACACTTATACTAACACTAACCCCAGACAAACCTCCGCACAGATGCGTACGGCGGCACCCCCGAAAAGCGCGCGCGCTTCCTCCTAGAAATCCTCTCCCAAACACGCGCAGTTGTACCGTCAACCTTCGCAATCGGCATAAAGCTAAACTCCGCCGACCACAGCTCAGCAACCTTCGAAGAAACAATGACGCAAATCGCACTCATCGCCGAAGCCGGTATCGACTTCATGGAAATCTCCGGCGGGTCCTACGAAGACCCAAAGATGATGGGCTACGGCAAAGTGAATGCAGACGCAGCGCCGAAATCCTCACGCACCGCAGCACGCGAGGCCTTCTTCCTCGAGTTCTCAAAGGAGGTGCGCCAGCGTCATCCTGAGCTTGTGCTTATGTTAACTGGTGGGTTCCGTACGCGTGCTGGCGCTGAGGCGGCTATTAGGGATAATGCTTGTGATCTTGTTGGGATTGGGAGGCCTGCAGCTATTGATCCGAGGTTCCCGCTTTTGTTGCTTGATGAGAGTGTTGCGGATGAGGAGGCGCGGTTGTTGTTGAATAAGGTGCCTGTGCCGTGGTACACGAGGTTCTTGCCGTTGAATCTTATTGGGGCTGGGGCTGAGAGTGTAAGTTTTCTTTCTCTTTTTCTCTTTCTTGGCAGGGTTGATTGAGTGGTTTTGCTGACTTTTTGGTAGACGTACTACTCTGTCCAGATTCAGAGACTCGCAAAGGGGATTGCTGCTGTCGCGCCTTCTTGGTAAATTCTTTTGACTGTGATAATAGTTAGTTTTTGCTTTGGGCCTGGTATGATAATTCTTTGGATATGGAATAGAAGAGTATAACTGCGTACTCTGTGAAGCAAAGGCAGGGCTGTATGATCAAAGAAAAGGTTGGATCCTAGTATTACACTGAGATAGTACATTTACTATATCATATTTAGTCTTTAGTATAAATAACAGATCGAAAGTAGACAGAGCTAGATGGCTTTCGGTGCAATTTCTGTTTGTCTTGCGTTTACCTTAAAATGCCAGGCCATCATCTTCTATTTGGTGTTAGTATAAAGAGGCGAGCGCAGCCTCTGTCTCTCTCTCTCTTTCTGCATATTCTTTCCATTCTTCTATATACATAATAAATATACTCTGCCATTCCTTTTCCATTATCTAGGATGCCGTAGAATTTGTCAAGAACATCCATAGCTTAGAATCTGGCTGCAGTTGATTATGTGCCAGGTTCAAATGTCTTTTTCTCAACATTTTCCAGTTGTTCCTCCCGTGCGTATCCAATCATCATGACTATCTGAAAAAAAAACTAATGAGAAAATCCTGACAGGCGGTAAAAATGAAAATACGGTAGTGGATGCCACATGTACCCCGAAATGTCGTGTTGGGCGTTATCTCCCCCACCAAATGGCTCCGTCGATGTCAATATTCGTGTTAGGGGAGGTCTATGGAGACGTCTAGATGTATGGTGTAATGTGAGAGTTGAGATTTGTTGAAGATATTAGCATCTACTATGTTTGTCAGACTGAGCAGTCTTTAGATGTTTTTCTATTTACAGGGTATTTAAACCTGCTTTTACTAGTTTTACAATCAACAATTCTTTACTTCTCGATCTTCCTTACAAGTACTCTATCTCAACAAGATTGATGGCGGTTATAGAAACTCAGTTCCAAACCTAACAATCGATGGTTCGCTTCCTCGAAGATTTCAATTGTGAACCATATGTGGATAGAGTATTGTTACATGCCATTGGGATATTGTTATAGGTACAAAAAAAAGCTAGAACTAGCAGTTCACTTTTTCTTCCTCAACAGGAGATAAATGTGACTGATTCAACCTTTCCTGTTCCTTCAACTGCTCTAATTGTTGATGTAAGGTATCATTGCCCTCGACCAATCTTTCAATCCACAGTGCAGCCCCCTCGAGAACATATTTCCTTGTGTATGATTGTTTATCAAGCCCGGGCACAATGCGACACAGTTCTTTATACCGGTCTCCGACAAGCTGTCTTCTCTTCTTTTCCGATCGGCAGTGGCACAATTTTTGTCCTGCCCTTTGCACACATTTCCTTTTCGTTTGTCCAGACTTATTCCTAGCTTTGATGCAGCTTGGCCGTTGTGTGCATTCAAAGTTGTCTGAAAAGACTGTTTGGTCTTGGATCGATGAGGATGAAGATGGTGAAGACGAAGGTGGTGAGGACGATGATGGCGAGGATGAAGATGGTGAGGATAAAGAGGGCAAAGATGAAGGTGGAGAGGATAGCGTTTCGGAGAGTCTTTCGTTTTGTGGGACAGTTGAGGACCGGAATATAGGCATTGTAAATCCATTCAATTCCCGTGGCTCCAGTATACGTTTCTGAGGTTGCTCGTCTATGATTTTTGGGATGTCAAAGCCAAGGTCCATGCTGGTACAGAAACTGGCCATGTTCCGCATCAGGTTCTGCACCAGCCGCTCCTCTGTCCAAGTGCCTATGGGGCTAGAGTAGCCATGATAGCAGAAACTGGGATCTGAACCCCATTGGAGACCTTCTTCGGCGGGCCGTTGGTTTCGGGTTGGTTGAGGTTCGTCGGCTTTCCACGGATAGTAGTGTGACAGGGTACTTTGGTCCATTTGAAGTATTTGGTTGTGGTTTTCCATTTGGGATTGTGGCAGTTATCAATTGGTACTATACTGCTTCGTTCGGTTGAAAGATATTCACATGCAAGTACCATGTGGTATCTAGCTGAAATTGTACTTTGGGTTTTGGATGTTGGTGAGTCTGATTTAGTATGATATCGGGGCTCGGTGGAAAGACAACAACGGTATGTAACAGCGCTTGGTTTGGGATTTTTGATAACTGGAGAAGCGAAGGGGGTTAGCTTTATTCTATAATTTGAATCAAGTATCTTTAATGAGGCAGCAGGGTCCCCCTACGTCAATTCCGGGATGCACCCGGGATAGTATTGCGGATCCGCAACCGCACATAATCCGCAGCTAAACCGCAACCCAAAAGTATCCAAAACCAATGGATTGAATTCAATGAATGCTTGATAATAATACGTGATATACCCCTGCACCGCAATAGCCGCCTCTGACCAGTGGTTTATGGTGCCAATGGTGCTGCTCGAAGTGTTTCCATGTATGTAGAAGTATGGAGAATCACACCGGGTGCATCCCGGGGGTCCACGTATGATGTCGTTCGGACAATCGGACAAACCGGACTAAGTGGTCTAATTACAGGACTCAGGGATCAATATTATTGGTCTTAGAACAAAGCAGGAGTACTTTTCTCCATTTCCTTTTTTTATTTCGAGCTAATTTTGCGGGTTGTACATTGCCACGTGATATGTCCGGGTACATTCCGGACACATTCCCCAGGATTGTTCCACTCCTTTTTCCTTCCCCCGGATTACAGGATACGCCCTTTGTTTCGGTCACCATCCGGATCACCAATCAAATAGCGACCAATACTGTGGGTCGCGTATATACCCTTGGATGTGGCTTATACCAAACAAATGCCTCCCAAAAGTGGAATTACTAAACGAGAGCCACGGCGTCGCAAGATTGCTCTGGCCTGCGAGTCATGTCGAGATAAAAAGGTCAGGTGTGATGGTATAAAGCCTATTTGTGGCCCATGCGCTCGACGCTCGTATGCCGTTGACCAATGTGTATACAAGCTGGAAAATGCGAGGTCTGCCAGCAACGATGAATACTTGAAAATTCTCCATAATCGTATTCGAGAACTTGAAGATATATGTGCGAAAAATGGAGTAGCTATGCCGCCTGGGCCTTCACAACATGCAGACTACAGGGCATCTGAAAGTCGAAATCATATGGGCGAAGAGATGGATCTGGATCGATTGGACGCAGAATCCAGGACCTCTGTTGCTGCAGAAGGATTACTAGGACTGGGTTCCACCCCTGTGCTACCTGGACCAAGTCCTCTGTCTTCAGCGCCTACTTTTCAACCGCCAAGATTTCCCGCGCAGCGGAATCGACCGGAAGCTGAGCGCTATAGATCTCCACATGCGGCACATCTGTCTCCTGAATCTGCCCAATCACGATCAGGCAGTATATATCCTCCACCTTCTCTCAACTCCCATGGTAATGTCACTGCTATGGGTGCAATATCTGTCGCAGAAGACGACCCAGGCACAGACTCTCCGCAGGAGCAGCAATACTATGGGGACTCTTCAGTGGCCTCTTTCATGCGTCTCGCAGGAGAGTCGATGCCTTTGCAGACGTACATGTCAGCTTTGCGAAGCAGCAAGAATGAGTCGTCAAGGTCCCAGGGCCCTGATCCCGGGATTTGGCGAGATCTAGGCCATCCAACAGTAGATCTTCGGTTCGACGACTTCTCCTTGCCACCTCGATCTCTGGCGGACCATCTTCTTGGGTGTTATTTCAACAGAGTACATTGCCTATTTCCATTTTTCCATCGTCCGAGTTTTGAGCAAGCATATGAAAATCTCTGGGAGTCGGACAAGGCATCTAAGCCCGAGTTACCACAGCTCAATATCGGACTTGGGGGTGCATTCGATTACGGTCCTAATTCAATTGTCTTTCATTGCGCACTCAACGCCATCTTTGCCCTTGGCTGCCATTTCTCTGATATTCAGCCTGCAAACCGGGAAGCCGCGGTTTACTCGTTTTTCCTTCGCTCAAAGCGATTTGTGAATCTTGATCTTCTAGACTTAGGTACTATCGGCGTGGTTCAAACGCTGCTGCTTGTTTCACTTCTTCAAAGTACCCCTTATCCGAATCGGTGCTGGAATGCAATAGGACTGGCGTGTCGAGCGGGTCAAGGGCTCGGGCTACATGAGACAAGCACACACGCCTCGAACAAACCCCTGGAGATAGAAATACGGCGGCGTACGTGGCATGGCTGCGTCATTATGGATATGTTGGTGCAATCATTGTTCGATGTTCTTTTCTGAGACACAGCTAACTAGCTAAAATAGGATTGTGAGCATGACACATGGAAGACCGAGCATGACCTCTCACATATCACCATTGCCTCTGCCTGCAATGGGAATGGACCCCCGAGAAGCCGATCCTTGTGAGCTTAGTGGACAACCCTGTGATCATAAGCTAGGATATATGACGTTCTACGTTTCAGCCATTGAATTATATAAAATTCTCGAGTCTATTCTATCCGAGGTCTATAATGCTTGGCAGAGTCGATCGAATAACACTCGCTCCAGTTCGGCACGAAGCTCCAAGCTTTGTAGTTTGGATGTATTGATGGAACTCGACGATAAACTCACTGCTTATGAGACTAGCGTGCCCCAGCCCTTGAATTGGATAGGTGAATTATCGCTGCATCGCTCAGACAGTGGCAAGGCGTCGATCTTCAAGCGCCAGCAGAATGTGCTGCATGCGAGGTAGCTTCTCTTTCCAAGATTTTGTGTTACAATTTCTAACCAAGGGAAACAACAAAATATAGATTCATCCACCTTCGCCTCTTGTTATATCGCCCCATGTTTACTCAACTCTGCTCCGATGAGCGAGCAGGGTCATCGCGCCGCTCTGATATCCAACCCGGCGAGAAAAACATGATCTACTCCTCGGTCTTCTCAAAATGTGCTGCCTCTTGCGTCATGGCAGCCATAGACCTCGTCTCACTTATTCACGAGACATATCGAACAAGCGTAACTGATGCATGGTGGTACAATGGATTCTGTTCGTGATCAATTCCACTAATTGTTATTCCTCGTCAGCTAACAAGTACTAGACACGTCAACTGCAGGGTTCATATTGATAATGTCGTACTCATGCCGTTCTATTTGGGAGCAAGTTGATTCACATCTGGTGGATGAAAGTTGGCGCAAGTGCGAAGAGATCTTAGCTTTTATGGCTATATTTAGTCTCTCTGCCCGCAACTCGTTGCAGTTCTTGCAAGTGACGCATCAACATATTATGCAAAATTATTCAGGTTCGTTGTCTGATGGATCTTCACTGACTATAGACTAATTCTCGTATAGCTACTTGTCGGGCTGGAGACACTTCCTTGGTTTCTACCCAACTGCACCAAAGGGGTAATCAACATCTAAACCGACCTGATCTGTCGTCGCAGCCTAATCAGCCAGTATCTGATGAACACAGCCGTCACGAAACTAGTAACATGGATATCAATCCTTTCACAACTTGGGATGAGATGAGCTTGGGCCAGGAAGAGTTTGGATTCCTTGGGAGATTTGATTTGCCTGATCTTGCAAGCTGGTTCGCGGATATACCGCCTTGAATATAATAGCCTGAGTTCTTCTTTTTGGAAAATATACGACAGGAACCATCGGGACAGACTGTTGCTAGTCGACTACCACATGAACGCCACCAGACCGGATATCTAAAAAGACAACGCAACACCGAGCAAGCATGGAACTGAGCTTGACGAGTCTGTCGAATATACACCTAGACGTACCATACGTTGAAAACAACAGCCCAATTGCCTTGTCGAGGTAGGAAAGGCTCACATTTTACCGATTCTTGTGGTTTATTTTTTTCACGGATACCGTGAAACAACCATGGGAAAAATCCCATGATGAGTAAATATCATAAAACCTTCCAAGGTTGAGATACAATCTGTCATCTTGTGTTAAATTAAAGGGTATCATTTTCCATCTCTCACATTTATGTACAACCAACACTTCGAAAAAATATCACATCGGATCAAAAAGTCTCGTGTCATCATGACTCCAAAAAGTCCCAGACATATTCTCCAAAGTTCCAAAGTCCGGCACCCATAGAGGATCACTCTCATCCTGATCAATCCACGGCGCCAGCTGCAACGCCATTCTAACCGCATGTTCAGAATCGTCAGCCGGACAACCCTGCTGGGGTGTAGCACCCGCCGTATCAGGTGCCAGCCCTGTTGGGTTGACTGGAGGATACTTATCACTACCAGACATGCCAGGAGCAGTCGTAGAATTCCAATTAATGCCATACTGTGCCGTCATCAGCTCTGCCATTCCGGCGTTGCGGGCAGTCTCATTGCCCTGCAGTTTCTCCATGGCTGCGTTGACTAGCAGCTCAAAGGCGTCGCGGTATTTCTTGACCCATGCTGCGCGCTCGCCCATTACGAAGAGGACCGTTGAGCAGGCGCGGATGTCGTTGCTCATGCGGACGGACCAGACTTGATCTGTGTGTGTCCATAGCGCGTAGAGGAGGGTGATCCCCGCCATGAAGACGGTTTGCACGGCTAGGAAGGAGTGGCCGTATTCAAGGGTTTGGTGGAGGCGTTTGTGGGATTGGCAGATGTTTCCTGCTGCCTGGATGCAGATTTGGTAGTATGGGTCTGTAATTGGGAGGAGGGGGAGGAAGGGCTGGATTAGGAGTCGGACTGCTCGGTTGAAGTGCAGCATTGGGTAGTCGAGATCTGGGCCACTAAATCGCAATAGGGCGGATTCTTTCCATTGTTCCAATTCAAGATATAGAGGATCCATTTTTGGTCGGAGAGATGATAGGGGCCGGTCGGCACGATAGATTTTATGTTGGATGCGGGAGTCGATGCGACGGAGTTTGAAGAGGTAAATTGCGAATGTCAGGGTTGTGGTTTTGGTTGGATCTAGGGGTGCTGAGAGTAGTGTGGGATCTTCGATGTCATCGTCCACTTCTAGTGGGAGGTCAAGATCAATATGACGATCAGATATGCTGAATGGGCGCCCGAGGGACATTGATACCACTCGCTCCAAGTAGTATACAGTCCAAAATAGTCTTCGTCGCATTTGAGTGGTGAATGGATCCATGTTGCTCTCGTTTGCCCTTCGGTGAAGACCTAGATCAATAGCAGTACGCATAGCAAGTCCAATCATGTACCACATGCCATGGCTGGATGCAGTTCGCAGATGATACACGACAAGAAGAACCATGGCCTCAATGTTGTCAATGGATCGTGCGTCGCACATTGTGGGAACATGCTGCAGGGCGGCAGTATAAAATCGCTAAAACTTGTAAGTGTCGGCCGATCTAGCGCTTAGAGAATGTGATTACCTCTGGGGTAGTGTACGCATATTTCTGACTCAGCTGAAGCATCGTTGCGCCGATTGCATAGACCAGGTTGAGTTTGAAGATGGCAAATCGATCAGGCGGAGTAAGGTCCTCGCGCTTGGTCTTCGCTAAGCGCCATCGATTTGCATGGATCTGCCATACTTGTTTCCGATTAAGGAATGGATATCGAGAGTGAAGTCGGGTGAAATATGTTTCAAGTATTCTGGTCCCCATCTCATCGGTTGGAGGTTCAACATTCGCCGGCAAGGGATCTTCCACCCTCGTTGCCCGATCTCGAATTTGAGTGGCGCCGGGCTGATCTGAGGGCCCATGTAATTGACCTGCCTTGTTCTGGTTATTGGCAGTAGTACTGGCTTTCTGTTGCATTCTTGAGATGAATTGGTTCCATACACTCGTCTGGACCATCTCTCCCAGGTCGGCAGCGAGAGAAAGACCGGAACTGGATCCTACGTATGCAGGGGCCTCAGAGCCGCTCAGGGCAAGAAGGCCCACTATCTCTCCGACAGGATTATTGTCAAATCCTGAGGTAGTTGTGCGCGGTGTTGTGTGACCACCTTGTGGCGAGAATAGCGAAGACGCAGTATTCGTGGCAGCAGCAGCATTTTGATCCGAAGATCGATTAGACTCAACAAGTTTACGTTCAAGGAACACTACACGCTCCTCTAATCCACGTGTGTAACTAAACTTCCAAATTAGTTTTTTCCGGCTACTTCGTATATTTGGACCATACTCATTCTGGCGGTCTTTGTCCTCCCGAACACTCGACTTGTCGCACGGGACCCCCGCCTTCAAGCAGTTGGAACAAGTCGGATGTCCATTGTCGCACTGGAAACCTGTTAGTCGAGAGATTTTTAACTATGTTACTGACTGAAGCTCACCCTCTGCTTCCGTGTCTTGCAGCGAGTGCATGCGGTCCTCCCGCGCTTCCGCGGGTTATGATCTCGCGATGCGGGACTTGTCTGCCTTGATGACTCGGGGCTCTGCCCGAGCGCGTACATGTCAAGTTTTCTGGAAGATATCAACCTCAGTTTGAAACATCCAGACACTGGCGAAGTGCCATTGCAGCGTGAGGTGAAAGAAAGGTTGGAGATGCGGTTGGATTGGAATGCCAAGACGAGGCATCTACAAACGCCAAGGCAGCCTGTAGTTTACGAGGCATCTGGTACATACATCTAATATTTTGCTTTATTGCTTTCTGCAATTCGGATACTTGTGTTCAAAGAGATATTCCAAATGTCTAAGAAATCGTAAGCTCATAGAGCTATCCCTCCATAAAGTAGAGCTTGGAAAGTATGATGAACAACTTGCTTCTAGTCCACATAGTAATATTAACATACAATTGTCATTCAGAAATGTCTTAGTGGCTCGGACAATAATAAGCGCCAAATGATGCTTATATTAAATTAATCTATGACAAACAGTAGCAAATTTTTGGTATCACACGCCGCCCATGCAACAAAAGCAAATGCAGATTTAGCCAAGTCAAAAGCAAATTGAACGACCCGTCATCGTTTCCAGGTCTCTACATGCCTCGATGCTGCTCCTTCTCCTCGTATCCCTCAGTATTAGGTTCCGCCCGAGAAGGCGGCATTGTCGATTCGGCGAATGTCGACGCAGAATGACGCTTCTCGACCTGGTGGTATGTCTGATGGTCGACAGGCTCCTCGGGGTATTCAGAGGTAGCCGCCTCGGCATCTCTCTCTTCTTGGGCTTTTCGCTTTTCCTCTTCAATCTCTTCCGGCTCCTTTGGTCGCTCCAAGCCTCTGTCGCGCACGAACATACATGCTAGGAAACATACACCGATGAGGGGAACCTGTAGGATGAATACTGCGTGCGAAGCCTTGGTATAGGAAAGCAGGATTGAAGCCCACTCCGCTGCACTGAGATTCGCTCTTGAAGGAAGCGAGTACGAAGATTCTGCTAGGTACGCAAACTTGGTTGGTAGATTAGAGCGAAGAGTTGCTTGGAGAATTGCGGCGGAGACGGCGAGGCCACATGAACCACCAATGCAGCGAAAGAAGTTGCGGTTTGCAATCACGACTGCTCTTTGTGACTTAGTACAATGGGCTTGCAGGGCCACAAGAGTGGGCTGGAATGTGAAGCCAATTCCGGCGCCCATGACTGCCACAATGACTGCAATCACGGCTGGATGGGTGTGGGTACCGAATAATAACATCAGTCCAGAACCCCTATGGGAATGATACTATTAGTATGCGATCAAGGTAGCAGGGCTTATGCATCGATCAACGTACAAGGTCCACAGGCCAAATCCGATCCAAATGATTTCGCCGTAGCGCTTTACTCGTGAGATGTACAGTCCAGATGCGATTGAGAAGGTTGACTGTGCCGCAACCATAGGGCATGTCATGGCCGCAGAGGCAATTGGGGACCAGCCGCGGGCATTCTGGTAGTACAATGGTAGGTAGTAAAGACTTGCCTGGTAAACTGCACCGTACAGAAAGCTCTGCAAGAAGATTGCAGAGACGACCTTATTCTTGAAGAAGACCACTGTTTTATGTCAATTGAATGTACTTTTACCACTACGGGGGATCATAGCGTACCTGGTAGCATTGGAAGTGTAGCCACTTTCCATTCAATGAGCAAAAATGCAACGAGGGAACAACATCCGATAACGAGCATACTGATGACCATCGGTGAATCCCAGGGGAAATAGGATCCACCTCCCGAGATAGGGATCAGGAGGAAAATGATACCAATGGACGATGCAAGCAGTCCGAACCAGTCAATACGACCAACATTTTCCCGGAAGCTGTCTTTGCGTGCATTATTCGGAATGAGGAAGTATCCAACGACTGCAGAGCAAGCAGCCAATGGAGAAATCAACCAGAAGAAACCGCGCCACGTTGAACGCATGGTAAATGCAGCACCCAGAAATGGTCCGATGATATTACCAAGACCCAGAGATGCACCCAGAATACCCTGGTACTTACCTCGCTTTTCCAAAGTCACGATATCAGAGACAATAATCATCGTCAAAGAGGTAACGCCACCACCAGCGACACCAGCCAAGCCTCGGAAAACATAAAACATAGCCGGGTTCTGGGACAAGCCGCAGAGTAGGTCTGCAATACACAACAAGACCAATGCGGAGATGTACATGATTTTACGGCCAAAGATATCTGACAGTCGGCCGTACAGCACTGTGAACATGGTGTTTGCAATTAACGACGAGGTTCCAGCCCAGGAAATAGTATTTTGAGCATCAAGTTCACGTGAGATCGTTGGTAGTGTGACACTGATACCATTCTGATCCACCATACAGATCAGTAAGGAAATTGCCAGGCCTGTGAAGACAACCATGAGTTGGGCGAATGGGAGAATATTTGTCTGGTCGTGAAGGGCCTTTTCGGCCTCTCGTTGTCGATTCATAGCTGCAGATTTGACCGGGTGAATCTCGCTCAAAATGGTCTAGGTTGTTCAAGATAGTTCATAGGAGAACATGTGTGCCTTGTGGCGTAAAAGAATTTGCACGACGAAGTATATTAAGGTTGGGAAGGAAAGCTTGGCGTGATATTATCCAGAGCCCAATTGTATGGAATGTGGAGGGTCTCGATGTTATTTAAAGAGCTAATGCTACTGCAAGTTGTTCCTATAAGAGTCATTTCATTGATAAGAAGAGTTTTCTCCGGCAGGGTTTTTTAGTGCCCTCTGCTCCATCGGGCGACTGAGCTCTGGATGTCGATTGGAGCTTGAGCGCCGGCCGGTATCACATCGGATCAGGGTCCGACGCAAGTGAAAACTTATATACTTGGCTTACATTGTAGCCAAATATCGCACTGATGGATGGCGATCTAGACACTGCCGGCTCAATTCCGCGTCATCTTCTCGGTGCGATTAACGAAGAGCAGAGTCTGTTGTGGATACCCATTGTCGGATAGCCGATCGGACCTCCGATGCCTGAGTAATGGCGGTCCGGGGTGCCGGATCAGGAAATTTATGCCTTTATCTCCGGGTATTTCTCCGAAGTACTCATCTTGCTACTGTTTTTCTGCAGCTGAATCACTTATTGTGCCGTCAATTTGGCCAATTAGGTTATTCATGTTTAAGGCCATATCTCCTAGATTTGGATGCATATGTACTTTTTAGTGTCGTCACACCGCCGATTATGCTGAACGCTTTGCGACTCGATAAGAGAGGGCACTTTCGACGAAGGCAAAAGCGTTTGGGCTTTGGTATCGCTTCCCCAGTCCTCGTGGCTCTTTTCCACTGTCATCATCGCCACAGGTATTTCTTAAGCGGCTCAACCCTATCAAGGACAACTTAGCTAGTCGTTTTCATTAATAGGCATCTAATAGCCTAGGACTTCCTGGGGGGACGCAGCCACTGTGCGACACATACTTAGCAGGCATGGAACCGGTCAAGGATCATCAGGTTCCTTGTGAGCAGCATCCGGCAACGGCTATGTACTGCCGTGGTTTTATTGCTCCTACAGCATGGTGTGGATGCGAACAAGACTGATCTGCGGGGGAATTCCGCACTCCACTGTGCAGTGCGCAATCGCCATGGTAAAGATTATCTGTCTGTTACTTGAACATAAGGCAGATCCATTCATAGGTTCATAGTCTCTGGTAGAGCTAACAGAAAAATTGTGGCAAGAGAATGCTTTGACGTTGTGTCGAGAGGTTGTTCGAAAACATTATCTAGAGAATAAATAGAACAGGGGAGGCGAGATACAAATTGCTGCGAATCAATATGAGGAAAATTATGGGAAAGGGCTTGCTGGAGCTGCTATAACTCAAAGTCCTTGGCTGTGTCAGAATCTCATCTACGACAGTAAGAGTATTGAAATACCACTATAATCCGGCTTACTGAAATTAATCTCCTTCTCATTTACAACACCATAATACCTGGTTGTTTCTCGTGTTTACAACGATTGCTTCAGTCTATATCTACTATTCCATGGGTGACACTTCCATTTGAAACCCTAGAGCATTCAAAGAAGTAGTATTGTCCGGGATCGAAAGTCATTGGTCCGGAAGAGCCCTATCTATAACTCTGTGTTTTGAAATCGAACTAGCTCATCAGGCGGAGCGATAGACCTTAGGAGGTGGAAATTATAATCAGGATATGCTGTTTTGTACATATGGCAGGGACTTGTAGATGTCAACTACAGGGATATTTACGAATAATGCAGCTACTTCTTACTTCCGGTACCTTTTGATCTTGAGAAATGCACAATCATTCAATTTGAGTCGCGGCGTGGGGCGATAGTAACATGTGCAGAACTGGCATGGTTGTATATATTATCCAGCTCTCGTTAATAACTTCATTCGCGAGGTGGAGAACACCAATCCTGCAGCAAAGACGTGAAGAAGCGGACCCGGGCGCATTGTCTCCTTCCAGTCTCCAATCTAAGGGAGCCTAGACAAAATCGAGTCATTGGAGGGCAGTGGGTTTCGCTCTGGAATAGGAACATATCTTGGCGAGGGCGAGGGCGTGGTTATGCGAAGCACTGAGGGAAAGAAACTTGATTTGGGGAATAACGTACTTGATCAAATGCAGGGGTATAAGAGTATGTCAAAGAAGATGAGGTGATGGTCTCAGAAATAAGCAGATAGGAATCATTTCCAATCCCATCAACAAAGCGGTATCAAAACAGGATTAACCAGCGTAGCCCGTCGACTTCAGAACAATATTAGCCCCGATAATACCCAGTCCCAGTTTGTCTCGGATGTTACTTCCCCTACATAAGATGAACCTATACAGAGTTCTCACGGTCAAAATCAAAACAGAGATCCCAGAAAAGACTCATAGAACTAGTCCCCTTCGGACCTGAGTTAGATGTTGCCATCGTAGTCTGGGTTAGACCTCCACACTTCTAGTCTTGACCTCTCATAGTGTAGAAAGTCAGGAACCGGGACTCTCAAGGCATCGAATACCATACATCGTCGTGCATAATAAGTCATAAATTCAGCTGGTGCTCGTGTTGGCTCGGGTTGCAGTGTGCAACCACGAGTTTGTACAGCCACATGTTCCAATCTCAGGAACATGGTGACTGACATCATCCTCTTCACATGATACGTTAGGTATGTGCCGGTCCAATCTGAACTCCTAGGCCACCACCAGGCCAGGCGTTCTGGATGTTAGGTGTGTTGGAGTTATTAATATCGTAAGCAGGGTTTTCGCCGACTGCATTGCTACTGCTACCAACACCATGCTGAGAAGTAGGTACGACGTGTCTTGGGACATTGCCAGGATTCGGTACAGCATGATGGGTCAGATAGCTGGCACCGGTGACATTGCCTTGATTTGGGAAAAAGCTCTGATTCAGTGACCCGCAGGTTGTGCAGGTGAATTCAATCTTGAAGTTGGTAAGAACCATCTGAGGGACGGCATCGTGATCGCTGCGCTCAGTGTAGTCTTTCGGAGGTCCAACCACTCCCACTGGTAAAGTAGCAGCGGTCTGGTATTCGACTCCTGACTGCGGTATATTCATTGGATGTGGGTTGTGGTTAAAGGAAGGTTGGGTTGGTGTGGGGATCGGTACGTGTTGCACCTGGGGTGGAGGTGGCAGAACTTGGGAACTAGATGGTGGAGCAGGTACGTGGTCGGTTGAGGTCTCGTTTGGGGACATGTTATCATCATCGATCAGTGATGGTGGGAGATGGTCTGGAAGCCAGCGATTCTCAGATATCTCCCCATATGTGTGTGCCCCTTCTCCCTGCGACTCGGGGGATTGCTCAGGCGACTGGTGTTCTTCTGCACTCATGTCGACATCCAGCCCCTGTTCATCCGGGCCCTCGGAATGTCGCGGTTGAAGTTTGGTAAGCGCTCGCTGCGCCTGACGCATAGAGATGTCATAACCATGATAGCGTTTCACGGCATCCACGACATCCTGGGCTCGTATTTTTGACTTCATATCGAAAAGCTTCGGGATCTCGCTCAGCAGAAATCGCACATGGGATGCTTCAGAGCGAGCGGGTGTCGCTGCAGGGGAATTTGCACTCCGACGACAAGTATGGCTGTCTTGAAGACTAGTGATGTAGGTCGAATTTTTGTTTGACCGACAGACCACACGAAAGAAGCAACTTGCCGATGACCGACATCCGATAACCACGCTCTTCTTGTTGCTTCGGGCCACACGAAGTTCCCAGTGTTGCCTAACTGATATACTCCGAACCACTGTTTTGAACTCTTCCAGAGAGCAAAACCGCTGGCCCACATGGAGGCCGGAGTACATCTCCGTCATAGTGATGGGACTGAGGCAAGTGCGGATACAAAGAAGTTAGCAGCTAGGACAACAGTCACAGAGTCTTGAGCGACAACGTCCATTGGGCCTCTGGTTGTGGCTTCACCGGGCCGTGCTTGCAGACAGCTTTGGATTGCGGAGTACGGCGTGGTCCTTGAGCAAGCACCCGAGCGATCTAGCGTAGTTTAGAATTGACCTCTAGCCAAAAAGCCTCGGGGACTATGATTAATTGTTTAAACAAAAGTCGATTACTCTCGTTAGGCAGCACAGCTGATTGCTGAAGAATAGCCATTGAGTCCAGGAGGTCAATAAGGAAGGTTAAGGCGGAGTTCAACCGCCAGACCGCTCGGCTTCACTTTTCATATTCCTCCCCACTCCGATCACTTTGAAGTCGTGCAAACTTTCAATCTACTCTGCGCTATTAGGCTTTGGGACCAAATTTCATAATCAGATACACAAAATGGCTTCTTACGGGCTGCTAGGCCAGCCAGAAGAAGGTCGAGTCCACCCCAGCTCTGTCTGACCAGGTCAATGTTAACACCCCAGCTCTTACAGATGCGCTCCACAAGTCGCGTCTCCTCAACGTCGAAGAAAAACCATTCAAGCGAATTTCGAAACGACTATTGAACCCCGAATCCCTCATTGTCTCATCTTCCTCACTTCCTCTCACTCCTCCTCCCGAAGAAACCGACGCCGACTCCGATGCGACCGCAATAGAAGCTGAGAAACAGAAAAGACTCGAAGAATGGCGCCACTTCCGCGAGGATATCTCACTCGATTTTGCTGCCTTCGAGGGCAGCATTGCGCGCATCCAGTTCCTTCTTACCAGCAACGAGCAAGAGCGCCAGCGATATGCCACCGAGCGAGTTCAGATTTTGTCGACAATGCAGTCTGTACGGGAAAGCACGGCCGATCTACGCAGTCAACTTGAAGAGGCACAGCGGCTTCTCTCCTTGCGAAAGACCTACGATGAATTGACAGATAAAATCACGAGCAACCGTCTACTCAAGCCACGCGAAGACCAGTCAGCGAACCTTCAGAAATTACGACTAGAAATTGCAGATCTCGAGAAGGAAAGCAAGGATTACGCCATGACCTGGGCTGAGCGACGTGAACAGTTTGGTCGTATTGTGGACGAGGGGATGCAACTTCGTCGCCTGATTCGCGATGAGAAGGAGGAAGTCGAGCGCCGGGAAGGCATGCAGGAGGGCGCAGACGGCGACGAGGGAGATGTCACATCCAAGGGCAAGGTTAGCAGTGGGAACACTCCTGGTCCTGAGACCGATGTCGCGACCCCCTCCCACCACGGCCAAGATGAGGCTGGTCGGTCCTTTGCTCTACAGGTTGAGAAGCCCGGAGTTACCAGTGCCGCGTCGCCTTTGCGGCAAGTCACAACTGCCCAGATCGATGGGGCAAGATCTAGTCAGGAGGACACCAATATGATTGATGAGGGTGAAATCTCTGCGATTAGTGATGGTGAATTATCCGAACTCGAGGAAGGAGAGGAAGTCCCTGATGACTTCGGCGGGAAGATGGATACTACCTGAAGATGCATTTCGGCGTGTACATTACTAGCACTAGCAAGGAGTTCCGGCTTATGGTCGTCTGGCGTTGGGCATGTCTTGGTTTATTGAATGATATTATGAAATTTTCCGCCTTGTGGGTATTTTTTTAAATCAACATCTCTTTCACGAGATCTCACGCTCTGCGGTCTTAGCTTGGGCAATGGCTTCTTTAGCAGCGGTAATGTGCTCAACATTGCTGTCCATTCCTTTCTTGCCCTCCTCGATCTATGAGAATTGGTTAATGGAATCCAAAGAATACAGATAGGTAGTAGAATAAGGATGCTGTACTTACAATCAGAGCTTCCAGGTTTGAAACAGCCTGCACAATCTTCTCCTTCAATGTAGGCAAGACCTTCTTGGTCTCTTCAAGAGACATGCGCTGTAATTCACGTTAGCATTAGAGTTTTCAGAAAGATAGGCAAGATGATTTTGTAAAGCTCTTATAACAATGCACATACCTCTTGCTTCAGGGTATACTCGCGGTTCTCGTCGCCGCCAGTAGTATCAGACTCCAGTTTCTTGATACGCTCAGCCTGCTGCAGAAGTTCCTTGTGATAAGAAGCTTCCTCCTTAACCAGGCGAACCACGGAGGAAGTGGTGATCTCTAGCTGTGTGCGAGGTGCCATTTTGATTATCTGTGTGAGAGTTAGACGTGTCTGAAGGTTTGACTCCGAGTTTCAAATATGATTGTCAGAAGAGCTGTAGGACGGGAAGGGTGTCTTGTAATTAACGCTATTGGAAGTCTATATCCAGCGCTCAGGATGCCCGAATGATAGCTGTACAACTAGCATTGATATGCATAATTGTTCAAGGTACTATGTATATAGACGGGCAATAAGGCAAAAAGAAATGCCGCAAAGGACATACCTGTGTATTTTGTATCTGACAACAAGATTTAGTGATAAACTGAGCTGATTTTCGATTTCTCAAAAGTTCATATTGATATGCCCCTCGATGATGCTATGAAGACGATGTTTGCATTGTTTGCTGTTTGAGGTGGGGCATCACGTGCTTCCAACTATAAGTTCAGACGACGGAGGATGGATCCGAGACACTACAAGATGAATGCAAGAAGCCGTTGTAATATAAAAAGCTGCTTCAAAAAGCTGCTTCAAAAAGCAAGTAAATAATTATATTTCCGACTTCCAGTACTTTGTTAAGTTGGGAAAGTATATACGGATACATGAAGGATTCCTCTGGATAACCCCGAAATGTTGACAATGAAGGTCATCCATTCTAACTTGGGCAGATATCTGAATCTAACAAATATCAGATCAAAACTACATATGTAGACTCCATAATTATGTTGTATAGATATGAAATATTAGAACAAAGAACATCGAATATAGCATTGAATCTATGGAGTCTCAGGCAGCCAATCAGCGTCGACCGCGTGATCATCCATTTATTTAAAGACGAGCCTCCTACCATCTACAGAGCACAACTACAAGAATAGCGTCACATTTAGCGCCTTTTTATCCTTTGTTTGAACGCGACTCGCGCAGCATCTGCTTTATTATCTTTCATTTACTTGCTTTCACCCCATGTCGCACATCTCACAGCACCAAATTCAGCTCGAATCATTGCCGTCATAAGCAACATGCCGGCCCCATCACTGCTTCACCTGGCCACAGCGACAGCTATCCGCTTTGTCAAAGGTACCGTTGAAATGAACGATATCATTTTGGATCTGTCCAAACTAACAATGTGATTTTCAGACCTGGATGATCTGGGTGCCATGCCATACTTACTTGCCCGTCCAATTTTGCTTAACATCCATAACCCTGAAAAGCTGGTGCGTATTTCTAAACTCACTTTCTATAGCTTCACTTGGACTTCATTTCTAGCTTCAACCCAGTTTACTAATACCATTCTTTCTAAATTTATAGCACGCTATGGAGCTCGCATCCCCCCACCTCGCCGAAGAAGATGAAGAACTGTGGCTCGAGCTCATTAAACGGGACATTCCCGATTGGGAGAAATACCAACTCCCGGAAAGTACCAACAACTGGTACGGGGTATACTGCGATCTCCGCGACCAGGTTCAACGCTCTCTCGATGCCGATGCGGAGAGAATGAAGATGGCGATTGACGGCATTAGTGCCAAGCGCGCGCTCCTCACTCCCAAACTCATCCCTGAGGGCAAGGGCTTGCGCATGGCTGGATCTCGACCCTCCTCTGTACGACAACGCCATGCTACATATGACCGCAGGTTGGTCGGTCATGACAAAAAGCCTAGCATCTTCCAGCCACAGAAGCGCAACACCGCGCTCACAATGCCTACCAAGTCTCTCACCAACCGTGCGTCGCAAGTCAAGCGCGCACCGATCGGCTTGGTCGAAGAACACCGCCGCCCGGCCGAGCAGCCTGCACCACAGCCGGCACCAAAACCGCAATCACTTCCTCCACGCATCAGCCGGCGCCCGGGCATGCTCCCATCATCACTCCAGCACCCCATGCTGGCTAAGAATGAGGCGCGACTGCGCGCATTAACTTCCACCGCCTCCGTCGCCTCACCCCGTGGCGCATCTAGCAGCGATGCGTCTGGCGTAAAAAGGTCGCCAGCTGTGGCCACTGAACCCAAGCTGAAGCGCCGTGCCACCTCCCCCCTCATGGTGCAGAAGCACCCTCTACTTCTTCCTCTTCTTCTTCTTCATCCCTCCCCGCCCCTCCCATCTCTTCTCTCCCCACCTCCCGCCCGCCTTCCTCCGGGCCTCCTCCTCCACGTCCGGGTGTCATTCGTCGACGCCCGGCGCCGAGCATTTTCATGCCGGCAAAGCGGCGGCACTTGTCGTGATCTTCGGATCAGCAAAAACTTTTATGATTTTCGGGGTCTCCGAAAGAAGGCCCTATGCATACTTCCCTATGTGGGACATAGGTCATTCATATTTTCAGTTTGAAGCAAGGAGTTTGGGCTTGTTCTGATACCCAAGGTGGGATTCACCTTACTTGCGATTCATTTTGTGTTGAATTTTTGTCAAATTTCCAAGAAAATATATCCTCATTCTCAACTCTAGTCCCGTCTATCAGATTGATGTAGGCTCTGCTTGTCCAATACTACAAGCTGTATCCCTCTTTAACGATGCCAATGACTTTGAGGTACCTGTATAGCGTTCGAAACTCAACCAGCCGGGCTCAATTAAGCATTTTATAACCACCTCTTTGTGTTTGGTTCCAAAATTCCCTCGGCAGTACTCTCATTGTGTTGCATACCCAACTATATTACAGTACACATACACAACATCCAAAGCCTGGAAATAGAGTCAGAAAAGTTATAGCAAACCCAAGCCAGTCATGACAGAAGCTGATATCCTTGAGGAAAAAAATATACAAATAAATAAAAACGATTCAATCCAGAACACCCGGTATGCATACTGCCTCTCCATTTAAGCTCCAATCCCATTGCTCCGCCGCAGTCCCTGCAGCTCGAATCCTGGCGAAATGGAAGTCGGGATGGACTAGTACTAGTGTTCCTCAACTGATTCACATTGCTGCAGAAATATGGTATCTAAAAATGGCAAAAGGCGTTTACATCGACATTGCAGCGCATCCTCCACGCAGAGCGAGCACGAGATGGAGTGTGGCGCCACCTTCGAGGTTGTATTCTGAGGCTGTCTTATCATCCGCCCTATTGGTACAAGTTGTGAGTTCGGATTTCTTTTTGCTAATAAAAAAAACGCGGTGAGAATAACTCGGGGAGTAGTTTCTTACATCTGCTTGCCGCCAAAGATGAGCCGTTGCTGGACCGGAGGAATTCCCTCCTTCTCCTCAACACGCTCCTTTATCCGAGAGACCTATATATAACCGTCCGTATCAGTATAAACATATTCAGAAAGCGTGGGTATAACGGGGGCTTGTAGGTGAGGTTTCGGCAGAATCCCGTGCGGGGAGAAGCCGGAAACGCATGAAGACTGGCGGGTGATTTACCTTATAGTCAGGCTCAATATCAAGCTCAATCTCCTTGCCGGTGAGTGTTCGGACCCTGTTTGGACGAGAAATGTCAGCTTGCGGCTCTACGTGAGACGGTTTCCAGTTCGGGGTCACTCGATGATGCAATGGGGACGGGGTCATGTTGAAGCTGAGAAACGCACTTGATCAACATATTGAAGCGACGGTGGGTTCTTTGGTGGTTTGGATATTTAGTAGTAGGGCAAGGTATGGGTTAGCTTGAATGTAGTTGGAGGTACAGCTCTTGTCAATGAGTTGGAGTGAAGATGTGAGCCGGCGGGGTTTTGGTGGGGGCCTGTGGCCTTATTGCCTGATCGCGTCGGAGCCTCACTTTGACTTGTGACAACATTGGAATGTATAACTACAATTTAGTGTAGGAAACAACATAATTAGGGCTCCTTGAGAAAGAGAAGATGTCCTAAAGTGTTTCTGTTGTCTTGCTTCTAGCAGCAAGTCACTGAAACATCATTTTGGAAAATGAGTTGTCCTTCGGAGTTCAGCTATATATAATGAACGACACACAACATAGTTGACAATATTGAAAAAAGAATTCTTGATTTCAAATTTTATTTCTGAGTTTGCAATCGTCCTAATACCATAACCCCCCCACTATCTGTTATTACTACCCGATAGCCAAAAAGTAGATTGTATAAATACTCTTTCCTCATATAGGTTTACCCCATCTACCCCGCTGAAACACTTGACCCCGACTAGAATCACCAGTCAATCGGAGTCTGACCTCAACATGACCAAGGAGCACGTGCAACATGTACCAGCTGAGAATCGGTTTCAGCAGTTGATCACAAGTTCCAAAAATGACCCGGTAAGCTTGCATCGTTAATTGTGAATAGCCAAATACTGAGAGTCCCATCTAGAAACAATTGCAAATCGCCTATGAGGTCCATAGAAGCAATAGAAATGACCTTTTCAGAAATCAAATCTGCCAACCCGGATTCTGTGAATGGAAAGAAGACGAGATCCTGTCCAAAATCCTCGAGGCAGAGAAGGGGTTGACAGACTTTGTCGACCTGAGACACAACCTTGCCTTTTGGGCACGCCCGCCACAACATATCCGAGACTTGGTCTCCAAGATCCAGCAGGAGATTGGTCCCTTAATTGGACCTGGTACGTGCGATACATGAGCTGTGGCAAATGCAGAGAGGCTGCCCTAACCGTGATTGTATAACATAGGTCTCTGGCTCGTACCCTCGGATAATCTGCACATGACCACGCTCGAGATCAGGTCCGCATTGTCAGGGCCTGAAATCGATGAGATCGCGTCTTCTCTCGATATGAGCGGGCGGGTAGTAGAGCTGGCAAACTACACTCTCACCCACCGTGCTCGGCTGGTCAAGCCAGTAATCAGCTACGACACTTCCGCTATTGCTCTGAGCTTTGTTCCGGCAGCTGGCGAGGAAGATCGCTGTGAGTGTAGTGGAAATGATAGCCAGTTTACGTATCACCATCTGCGGAGCGATCTCTACAACATCGTGACTCAATCTGGTTGTCCAATCGCGGCTAGGTATACCGTTCCGTCTGCGCATGTCACCATTGCGCGCTTTGTTACGCCTAATGGATCCATAGCAGAATCAGATTCCCCAAAGGAAGTTGAGGAGAAGGCATCACAACTCATTGGTAAGATCGAGGATCTCAATGATGAACTCCGCTCAAATGTGTGGAGGAGATTGGGGGACCCATCTCAAGGGCAATGGGTGATAGGCCATGAAAAGGGGTTGGAATTGATAAAAGGCCGAACATGGTATGGAGTAGGGGATAGTGTTGTACTTGGAAAAGGATTTTTATAGCAGACTACAAGATATTTGGTGAGAATTGATAGCAAACACTTTTAGAGATTGGTGATGTCAAGAATGCCTCAGGCATGAATTTTTATGAATGACTCAGCAAAGTCATCTTGGCGACCCCTAAAATGGTTAGCGTCCACCCGATAGGGCCTAAGCGAGTGAAATCCCACAACCCAACAATCGCACTTGCTCTCCTCTGACAAGCGACAATCCAACGACCACCACCCAGCTATCCGGCCAAGTCAGTCAAAATGGTAAGGATATCACCCTACGAGATATGTCAAAGTGTTCTGCAAGCCCCGGCCATTCGAAATTCCTCGAGTCATGGAGAGATTGTGAGATGTCTACCGTGCGGCCGACCTCGAAACCGTCAAATCCGCCGACCGTCGCGAATCACCACATTATGAACCACCCAACCGTCCGTTTTCCACCGGATTCTCGCAGCGTGGAATATGAAAGCCAGCATTGAAGAGGGAATGGGTGGCGAAGCAAGCAAGAACAACACTTGGTGACGAAATCGAGGATTCGAGAAGCAAGCCACAACGGATGCACCCCGCGATCCTTTTTGAATCTGAGCTATGCAACCACGCTTTCTGCGCTTTCTGCCCTATGAAGACCAGGATCCAGACAATACGACCCATCTCTTTGCGACCGCACTAATTTCGAATCGGGTTTCGGGGCACAAATCACATTGACATTGATCTTGCACAATCAGACCAAAAGGACAAAAGCTCATGACATCTCTCCGCACAGGTCAACATTCCCAAAACCCGCCGGACGTACTGCAAGTCCAAGGAGTGCCACAAGCACCAACAGCACAAGGTCACCCAGTACAAGGCTGGCAAGGTTAGTGCCCTCGACACCGGAATGGTAGTCGTGAGCCATTGCTGATTATGTCTCTTGTGATTTAGGCCTCCCTCTTCGCCCAGGGTAAGCGCCGTTACGACCGGAAGCAGAGTGGTTACGGTGGTCAGACCAAGCCCGTCTTCCACAAGAAGGCCAAGACCACCAAGAAGGTCGTCCTGCGTCTCGAGTGCACTGCTTGCAAGGCCAAGAAGCAGCTCGCCCTGAAGCGCTGCAAGCACTTCGAGCTGGGGTATGTTGCATCTACACATGGTTCCATTTTGATATCAGTACTAACGTATCTTTTCTCTACAGTGGTGACAAGAAGACCAAGGGTGCTGCCCTCGTTTTCTAGATTGTTCAATTTCCTTGTTCGGCTTCTGGGTTTCCTGCATTGCACAAAGTGCTCCGCTGTTTTTGCGGAGCATATATGACATTGGCAATGGAAAAATGAAATAGGAATTCATCTATTCAAAAACAACATCTATGACTACCGGATAATGAGTCGTTGAATGATTATTCTTTCTTCAAAGTAGAGTTGCTAGTGGCCAACCTCGTAGTGGTACGCATCTCTCTCGTGTCTTGTTGTCCATTGTGCTCGTGGTATTTCCGCTCCAATGTTCCCCTATGTAGAGTTGTCGCCTGTCAAGAGTGGGTTATATGCCCCAGTTCTCCTCAATATGGGTCCACTATTACCCGTGGAGGGTTTCGTGAGACCAAAGCCTCATCTCTCGCTTCATTTACCCCTAAGGCTACTTGCTTAGACCTGTCACAAAGGTACTTAGAATCAGTCAGCCACCGACGGACTACATCATACTTGCTCTAACAATCATCGGGGTCTCCCCGAGCACCTGATAAGGACCTCCCGAGTGACATAAGATATTTTGTCCGTCAGAAAACCAGAACACCTATCATATTTCAGTCTACATATATTCCCTAAAGAAAGCAAATATATTATCAGAACACAACAGAACAAAGCCAAGAAAACATTCAGGTGCGCTGAGACTCCGAGCGTGGGGGTTAAGCAACTGCCAAGATTTCCCAAAAAGGTAACCCGGTTCTCAGAATTGATTTCATATTATTATATTGGACCGGGTAAAACACCTCAGGGGGGCTTTATGCCGAAGAAAGAACTTGATAACAAAAGACGCCGATCCTGGCGGAATGACCTACCCCGAGGACCACCAAACCCCGCATTCCGGGCCCCAGCCCTTAACCAGCCATATCTTGCGAGGCTAAAAGGCTCAACATCCCAATGACGATGAATCCTTTGTGGAGAATCTCTCGTATCCAGGGTCTACCCCAGTCCCCCGCTTCCCCAGAAATCGTTCTATCGGCTCTCCTCCGACAATGGGGGTTATGTGTCGTTCATCCCTTGTGTCTCTGCGGTGTGACGCACCCTCGGCCCATCGGACGTAGGCCGCTCCTGTACTGAGGGATCTGGTAATATATCGGGGTAGTTCTTGTTTTTTTAGTTCTCGGAGATCGGCCTTTTCTCTTCACTTCTTAATATCCCTGTCATTTGATTCCACAGAGAATCAGTAATCCTCAAGATGACGCTGTGGTATTCGCTTGGTATTGCTTTCTTTGCTGCTATAGGCACCTTCTTGTTTGTAGGTTGAGTTCTTATTCCGAGATTATTTGATCTTAGGCCGTGTACTACGCGAACTTAGCTCTAATAGTTGGATGTAGGGATTTGATACGGGCATTGCCACAACTAGTGAGTTACAATTATCTAGCAACTCCACACTCGCAACTCAAGCTAACGATGGACTAGCAATTGCCCACCAAAGCTGGATTGATTATATGCAAAAGCCAACAGCTGGCCTCACAGGAGCTGTATGTCCAGCTATTTAACCTTCAACCCAACGATAGAACAGACCCAGAAACTGACTATCTAGGTCGTGGCCGTGTATATTGCCGGTGAAGCCGTCGGCGCCCTAGCACAAACCTTCGTCGGTGACCGACTCGGTCGAATCCGCTTCATGCAAATGATGTGCATTATCGTGACAATCGGCACCGTCATCCAAACCGCCTCCGTCAACATCGGCATGTTCCTCGCCGGGCGTGTGCTAGCCGGTTTCGCAGTAGGGTAAGCTATACATACTCCACTGCGGAGTAGATGTATCACTACCCGGCCGAATCTAACAATCTCTTAGTGGCATGGTCGCAACTGTCCCAATCTATCTGAGCGAAATCTCAGACCCAAGATACCGCGGTCTGATCGGTGGAATCTCCGGCTGCGGCATCTCATTTGGAACAATGATGTCAAACTGGGTCGGCTATGCTTGCAGCTACGCACCCTACGGGCCTATCCAATGGCGTCTGCCTTTGGGAATCCAGATCCCGTGGGGAATTATCATGTTCATTGGTCTTGCGACTTTCATGCCTAATTCGCCGCGACAGCTGATTCGTAGTGGGAAGGTTGAGTTGGCACGCAGCGAGTTTGCGCGCATTCGACGTGGACTAGGGCTCCATGAGATGGAGGAGGAGTTCGGGCTTATGAAGGCGCAGATTGAGTATGAGATGGAGAGGGAGATGACTTCCTATCGGGATATCTTTAGATTGTTTAGACATCGGGTGCTTGTGTGGGTTTTTCTTTCTTTCTTGTTGGGTTGCATGGCTCAGAACTGACTTGGATGTTTAGGTCTATTGCTGTGCAGACGATGACGAGTTTGACTGGTGTCAATGTCATTCAGTATTATCAGAGTAAGTTCTGGGTGTGAGTGCTGGAGTTGGAATTATTGAAATGCTAATGTGTCTCTCAGCTATTCTATACAAAGGCCTTGGAATCGGATCACACTCGATCCTCGCTTTGGCTGGGGTTTACGGTACCGTTGCCTTTTTGTCTAACTCAGTCACTACAATGTTCATGACCGATCAATGGGGACGTCGGAAGTAAGTAAATTCTTTGAGCTGGTATTTCGTATGTCTGCCGCTAACCGCCCGCAGGATGTTGATCACCGGATTGGCTGGTATTGTCTTGATCGAGATCTACGCCGCGGTGATGCAGAGGCAATTCCAGAATACAGACAACCGCATCGGAAAGGGCTTCGCGATACTTGGGATCTATCTCTTTGTGGTTTGCTATTGTAAGGATTCGGACCAAGGCTGCAAGATATTATCGCTGACCCTGGTCTCTTTTTAGATGGCATGCTCAACAGTACTACATGGCTGTATGGTGCGGAGGTTCTTCCTATTGCTCTCCGCAGCAAGGTGATGGGTCTTGCGGCTGCATCTCACTTTATCGTTAATGTTGGCAGTACGTTTTACCATCTATTATTATGAAAGATAATGCTTCCCTTATGCGATTGCTAATCTCACCCGAAAATAGTCACCGAGGCTGGACCCAGTGCTTTTGCCAACATTCACGAAAACTATTACTACGTCTTTGTAGCATGCTCTACATTTTTCTTAGTAATCGCTTACTTTTACTTCCCGTAAGTCTATCAGAGACGAAGAGACAGGGCAGATAAAAAGAAATGAGAAGCTAACACCCCATTTTCAGGGAAACCAAGCAAAAGACTCTCGAAGAAGTGGCTGCTGCATTCGGCGATCGCGTTGTGGATCAGGACGAGGGAGCTAAGCGTGCGATTAGTGTGGTTGGCGAAACGCAGCACATTGAATCGACCGATGGAACGACTAAGGCAGTTTAAACTCCTTGCATTGACAGGGATTTGTGGGATTAGCTAGGCGCTTATGAAAATGCAATTTTTTACGGCAATTCTACAAGTACGCATGCATTCAAATAGTCTTCAACCTGTAGATTGAAAGGAACAGATTCTACGGAGTACAGAGTACGATATCAGAATCCCACCCCTTCCGACTGTAAGGTTAACTTGTGGCTAGTTTTAAAATTGCCTTATCAGGACCGAAGCCACCAAGCACAAGTGGTTAGTTAGCTGCATATTAGGCTGAAGTATTTAAATTCAAGCAAGTATTTACATATGCACCTTGAATCACAGCTGCTCGTGGTTTGCCTCCCGTTTCAGCCCTGGATCCCCACCAGACAAGCATGGAGAACCCGATCAGCTCAGATTACAAACAAAAGTATCTTGAATTATCGTGCATAATTCGCCGTTTGACTGGTGGCTAGTGATAAGAACTCACATGCCAACTCTCCGAGGAGGTAGTAAGCCCTACAGTGTCTGCCAAACGTGCATAGCCACACCTGGATATCGTCTCTTGAAACTCTATCGCCACACGGTGGGATGATCTCTACTAATGATCATCAAACTGAAGATCAAAGCTCCTATAGCTCCGAGGACTAGTTTAAACCTCATATGATGGGATATTGTTGTTGATTCCCCCCTGGATGCTGCCCAAAATTGGGAGAAGACACGAGACCAGATTTGCCACGTACTTTTGCTATACCACCAGTTCACCACCATTTTACTACCATTTTACTACCTTTTTTGTTTCTTTCTAAGGGTACATGGAGGTGTATGAATTCACCATTTTATCCGGGTTTAACTCGGACTATCATAATTGAACAGTTCTAGTTCAAACGTTTAAAGTTACCAGATTCCCGGACAGGAACACGAGGGTCCGAGGCCGCTAATTAGACGATAGTTCGCACAATGGGAATATGGAGAACCTGATTCTCCTTATATTTTACTATAATTTACTATATTCTACTATGTTCTACTATGTTCTACTATATTCCACTATATTCCAGTATAATAAGTTATATTAAATAATCTAGCTTATATCAAACAAGTATTTTTTTTATATTAAAATCTGATTAATGGGCTCTATAGAACAGAAAACTACAAAAAGTAAAGATAATTAAACTGACAGTGATATCTCCGAGCTGAAAAGTTAATCAGAATTTTCACGTGTATTTTCATGGCGCACTAAGTCATTTAGACAGGGGGATTGTCATGGCGCATGTGGCTAAGGGAAATTCATCCTAACCAGTAACCGCCAGTTGAAGCCTATTTTTGCGCAGTTCAGCGCTTGTGCTTTTGAGCTGAAGCAAGGGGGGAAATGATCGGCCTTGTTGTGGCTGAGCCACGTCTTGTGGCAACACTCTCTTGAACGTCGTGGTATCCCTTTGTTGCACCAAAAAACAAAGCATCTTTTCCCAAGGTACTTTGTGTATTTTGCAAACTTTCTAAGGATCTTGGATTGTAAATTTGTTTCTATGGTTTTTCAATATTATTCTCCACAGAAAGGGCCTGAGCAATGAAGAAACCATGGATTGAAAAAAGTGTATCAAAAGCCTTATTAGGACTAAATCGAATCCCATATATCCAGTCTATACTACATTCTGTTAGTACCATCGGATATTCATCTCCTCTTTTCGGATCGAAGATCAAATTTAACCCTTCTGGAAGACTTTCATGCATCGGGCTCCCCGTATTATAATGTTGTCATCTCCCACCCTAGAGCCCTTTAATAAAATATTTTATTCTTTTCCATTCGACCCGCATCGTGAAGACAGGGGCAAACAAGTATGCCGCTAAGACTCACCCCGATTAACGCAACTGTGGCTGCAAGAAAAAAAAAAAAGGGTTGCCTCTCCTATTACAAATTAGATCGAGCTGAAGTATAGAAGACTTCGACATTCCCTTTTTTAAATCTCCAACCTTGAAAAACAACGTCATTCTCCCCGCTCATCCCAGTGTTCTATTTCCCTCTCAATGGGCCCATCAACATACAATCCATCCATATCCTATAACCTATATCGCAAAGTACCCCCTTTTTGAAACCGGTCAATTTTCTTAAGCGGCTCCTGCCCGCTCGACAATCTTCTCGCATCTCTCTCCACAACCCCTCAAAGACGAGGTGATTGCGCCGTTTCAATTTAGTACACCTCGATCTCCATCCTACATCTATGTCCTCATCCCGTTCTACGGGCAAGCGCCTCCCCATTAGCTGCCAGGCCTGCCGAACACGAAAGATCCGATGCTCACGCGACGGCCGGCCATGCCAAACATGCGTGCGCCGTGGCCTAGGAGCCGAAGACTGTATCTACCTCGGCCAACCGCGGCTTTCAACCGAGCAGTCCTCGCCCGGCGATAGAACAGTACAGAACGAACTGCTAGCTCGAATTCGGAACCTGGAAGCCATGCTTCAGAAGCAGATGACCTCGCACACTGGAACACCCTCCGGTGGCGGAGTCTCGCCACTGGGTGGGACGAGTGCAGCTGGGAGTTTCTCCGAGCCTGAGACATGGGATTCACTCGGCCCCATGTTGGATAATGTTGGCACGCTCCAGACTTCGCCTTCAGGTCATGTGCGCTATGTGCCGCTAGCTTCGCAGTGGGAGTCTTTAGTGGCGAAGAGCCCCGCCGCGGAGTGCTTGCGGAATTCGGATTCGGATATCGCGGAAGATGACGATGATTTACAGATTCCGTTGGCGAGGAATGGGGGCATCTCGCGGGCCGAGCTGTTGGCGATCCTGCCGCCTGGACGGTATTGTGATACTTTGAAGGATGTTTATTTTCAGGTCTTTTCTACGGTATGTTATGTGGAAAGAAATGGGAAGGACATTGGCTGACACCAGGTTAGGTTTTTCATATTCTTCACGACTTGACGTTCGAAGCCGAATATCAGCATTTCTGCCATGATCCCGGTAGTGTGTCTACTTCATGGCTGGCTTTGCTATTCGCCATTCTTGCTATCGCTGTAAGCGCACTCGACGATGATCACCCTCTGCTATCTGATCTGGGACGAGAGCGAGCAGTCAGCCGAAATATAAAAGTGCTTTCAGCACGATATCGATCTGCCGCATTACGGTGTCTCGCTGCCGACGGGGTGATGTCCCGACATTCAATCAATTCATTACAAGCTTTAGTTCTTGTAAATTACGCCCGAGTCCACCGTGGTCTACCGATCTGGACACTGCTAGGATTCACACATCATGTTGCAATATCAATGGGTTGCCATTTAGATCCAGAGCGTTTTACTCTTGGACCAATCGAGCGAGAAGAGCGACGACGGGTCTGGGCCGGATTAATGATGTTATACACCATCCAAAACACCGCATTCGGTAGTCTCAATCAACAGACTCTATCACAAGACGTGAAAATGCCCGCAGATATCGACGACGTGGATCTGCTCACCAGTCCAAGCTTAAAAAGACCAACGTCAACATTCCCGCGCCCAACACAGATGACTTACCTCCTCTTGAATTTCCGACTATACAAAATCTCCTCGAAGGTTTGCGAAACAATATTCAGCTACCCAAATACATCCCGTTTTACTACCTCCCACCTCGAAGCGGAAATCATGTCCGTCCGTGAAATGGTCGACGCTCGCTATATAATTGATACGAATAAGCCGCTACTCGTTCACCACCAAGCAAACCACCACATTCTCTACAGCCAAATTCACCAGCTTCTTCTCCTTCTTCTCCGCCCTATTCTTTGCCGCTACCTACAAGGCGAGATTACGCCCGAAACTTGCGCTACAAGGGCAAAGTGCATCGCTTCCGCTAAGGCTTCACTTGCCATCTTTGACACTCTCCTCGAAACACCAGCCTTCAAACCCTACAAATGGTATACTAGCGGATTAGGCAGTTTCCATGCCTTTCACGCAGCAGTCACATTAGCTGTTATCCTGCTTATTCCCGAGGGCCAGTCCGAGTACGAAGAGATTAAAGATATCCTGGATCGGGCACTAGATATGTTTGCCTCGCTCTCAGTCCGCAGTGTTTTCTGCAGCAAGGCTGTCCCCATAATCCGACAAATGATGTATGTCAAAAGTTACACCCCCTTACTTCATCCTACACCCGATCTAGTGGCTAATAGGCAAATCAGTGACGTTGCCTCGGCAAAATACAACCCCCAAGCACTCACCCACTCTCAATCTCACCTCCAAGCCCAAGCCCATGCCCAGGCTCAAGTCCAAGCCCAGGTCCAACACCAGCAAAACCAAGCCAATATCCAATCCCAGTCCCACGGTCATCTTCTACCAAGCATTCAGACCCCGATGTCCTCAATATCAAATCTCTCCCCGGGGATGACAATGCAAGACAACTATGCCCTTTCTCACTCACACTCGCAATCCGGATCGCCGGTGCCAACTATTGCATCGACCTCCAGTGAGCACACAATGCATTCCGGTTTCGGGCAGATGCATCCGCAGAATTGGATTGGTCCTACTTCTGTGCCGTGGGATACACTAGGACCTGCTACTGGGGGTTATGGATTCGATTAGAGTTGTGATGTGGAAGATGATTTCTTGATGAGCATTTGCATTTGAATTTGAATTTCAGGTTTCGGACTTGTTACTTGTTACCCAGCATTTTGGCGTGGAGCATTACTGGAATTGGTTACTTATTATTCTCTTATAACGTTTGGTCATGAGTGATATGAGCAATGAACAGATGGAACCAAAAGCATTTTCTCGAATCAATTGTATATTTCTACACATAACAATTCTGTTTATAATATAATTACCCCTAAATAGCCCATTCTAAATCCCAAACCCCGTAAACATTATATACGCAGCCTAGGGCTCTCCCACAAACCCAGGAGCACCAAAAGACTTCCTCTGCATAACAGCAAAACCAACTGCCTCCTTCCCCTCAACTGGAGGATTACATACCATGAGCTCCATATCCATAATCTTCTTATAAAACGGCACAGACCGCTTCCAATCCCCAGTAAGCAGCATCGATCTCCGCAGATAGGGCATGGACTTAACAACCTCCTGCACGCAGGTTATAAGCCATGTTCCCAGACCAAGGCCCTGGAGAGAGGGAAGGACAAAGACATCTGTCAAGAAGAGGAAGGTTGTGTAGTCTGTTATGCAGCGTGCGAAGCCGACGAATTCAAGTGAGTCGTCGTTCTCTGGCTGGTTTTGGTTTGGGCTTGATTTGTGGTATAGTCCGAAACAGAGCGAGTTTTGTAGTGTTTCGCGCATTGCGAGCTCTGGCAGGGGCTTTGTCCAGTATAATTCTTCTCTGGCGTACCAGGCGTTTAGGGTTGCGATGGGGATTAGGGATGAGTCGGTTGAGACCAAGTATTCTCCCTTTGTCCAGGTTTTGGGTTGGTCTCGTAGCTCTGATGCAACGGAGGACATTTTGAACCCTAAAGTAGATGTTAGTATGTTCGGGAGGAGGAAAATTTGTTGGAGTTAGGGCTCACTATTTGGCCGCAATGGTTGTGATGTAATGATGAGAAAGTAGAATACAGCCTCAGTAGAATGCGAGATGTGTATATGTGAATCTTATATTAGACACGAAGAGTCAAAAAAGAAAAATTGATATTTTGGAGATCTTGGAGATAGAGGGGCCTTAAATAGGGAGATGCTCCGTGACTCACAGACGATGTCGGCGCACACGATGCCAAGATAGGGTCAATTGGTAATCCGAGTATCTTCTAACGGAGCTTTTATGTGGATTTCGAAGGTTATCAGATTTACTTATCAAGAGCGCCTTCCAATGACACTGGGGCCAAGTAATTTGGAGAATCTCGGAACGATATGTAAGTGGTTGTTGGCCAGGCCCCACTCATGAGCTCGGGACAGGAGTGGTAATATAGATGATAGACAGGGTAGAAACTATGTAAAAGACATGATAGGACATGAATAGCAATAATATAGATGATACACAAGCTATAAACTATGTAAAATACATGTGATTAATTGAATGCATCATTCGTTGCAACATGAAAGAAGCCACTATTCGTCGTAAAAAACCAGACATCTAACTTCAATGCTCTGTCTCCCTGGTGATCCAGCAGGGGTCTGCGGATCAAAGAAAGCAGTATGTCCCGATCCATGAGCAATATCCGTCTTCCCCTCAGTCATGGTATGGCTCCTCGAATCGAAACACTTAATGAAAATGGCCTCTTCCGGTGTCATGTCCTTGACGTAAAAGAACCGATGTCCTTCATTAGGAGCGATAGCATAAGTCTCCCCCTTGACCTCATACCCCTCAGTAGAGAATATCGACTCAGAATCAGGCGCCACCTCTCCATTCTCCTTCCATTCCTTTGGATAAAGAAGATCAATCTTGACAAAATCATCAGGAGCAATACTCCTCCAATCAATCAGTGCCAACGGGAAATCAGAAGCCGGATTCTCAATCGGACGCCACACATTGATAATCTGGTATCGACCCTTTAACAGCTCCTCTACTTCATCCTCTGGCAGGTGGCGACGCACTCTCGCCTCAGCAGCCCTGGGCGTTTGGTCCACATGCACCAGCTGCACAGGACTGCGCGCTGAGCCTGGTGTCCGTCGCCGGATCGTATGGTCGAAAATGGCTACTTTTTTCACACCGGGTAGTTTCTTGCGGAGTAGTTCTTCTACTTCCGCGTAGTACCCCGCTCGCACTGCGGCGTCGTCGGTGAATGCCGTCTCCTTTGCTGGTGAGTTGTATAAGGCGAAGCCGGAATTATCTGTTGTGAAGTCAGACTCTTGGCCTCGTAGGTCCTCGACTTTGCGCTCCAGTTCTGTGAGGCTGTAGGAACGGCCTGGTCCGTCGACTTTGCCCCATGGCTTTTTGAATGGCTCTGTGGCGTTGGGGTCGTATGAAGCCCTGTCGATGTATCTGAATGCTGCTGTTGTCATTTTTATAATAGGTTGGTGTGATTGATGGTTTAGATAAAAGTCTTTATTGTGTTGAGAATATCGAACGAATTTTTTTCTTTCCGATGGAAGTAGTGGGGCTATTGGATTTCGTGCAAATGATGGGGAATGAATTTTTCACAATATGAGGATGCTGTTATGTGATGATGAGAAAAGGTACTTTTTAACCTATATATAATTCTAGTAAGGGACGAAGTAAGGTCACGTTAGATTAGAAATCCATGATTATTAATTGTTTTTCACGGCCGAGGGTGGCGGGCGGAGACATTTGAAGTTTTGAAATTACATCATCGACGGTTAGCCGGATGCGAAAATTATGGAAGTTTCAGATCAGCTTTGGATGATTCTAATAAGAAGATATAGACACAACAAATGTAGGTCACTGAGTATTTAGGTGAGATTGTGTGTTGTATAAGCCATAATTTACAGACCTCCACGGGTCAACTACACCAGCGCTATGTTGTAGGTAAATAAGATATCAACACGTGACATACATGGACCCACCTTCCTCTTTCGGAAGCTACTTTATACTTCTCTATATTGTCGTTTCTTTTCATGATTTTGGCCAGCATGATCAAATGAAAGTCACCAAGGCATGTAGTCTGAAATTCATTTATATATCAGAGTGGATTGCTGAAGTCCAAGACACTGTCACTTGACAATTGTACTCTACAATCCCTGGTTATACATAGAGAAGTCGTCTGCACAGTTCATACTTTTTACCGCCTTTCTATACACATCGGAACGTTCTTACATATAACGGCCCAGGTACCTATACCTACGTCACCAAGGACAGAGGCCGCATAAGCGTCCGACTATTCTTGGGTAGATAGATGAATAAATATAAGTGAGATTCAGTGCAAGATGCGGCATAGGTCGACATTTTTCCCGCATCTTCACAAGCTTGCACCTGTGTCACTTACATATCCTCCGAATACTATATCACTATGCAGAATAACCAAATCCAGCCAGCCACTTGAGGTTGTTGCTGGCTACAAGGTTGATAACAAATCACCGCCTTTGCTGACCGCACGGCCGCAGGAATGCACGAGACTCAAGTTCAAGCGTGATCAACTGCTTAATTTAAGCGGCATCAAATGTTACCTTTCGCAATGATCGACACTCTGTTCTGGGTTGTGGAAGTGGCACTTTGTCCCGACAGTGCTAGCGTGGAAACCCCCATGGCAGTTGTCTTGTTGTGGATTCCACACGGCACGAAATGGACCAAATAAAATTGCTAGCAAGCCAACATACCTAGTTTGGCCAGGCAACTCATGACCTCGTTTGCCAGGGTCATTCTTCATGCGTTGGCAATTTCGCAGTCTGTGCGAGTGCTTGGCGTGATAAAGCATCCTCGGCCTCAACGCTCACTATGTACGATGTAGGCGTGAAACACAACATTGCGTGCTGCTGGTACCTCTTTTATGTGATTGAGGTGCCTGGAATTCCATTCCAGGGGGCCAATCACTTAGGAATTATGGGGAAGATAGGATGGTCGCCAATCGGGTGGATTTCAGATCGACGTTTTCCCCCGCCATGTGAGAGTGTTAATTTATATGACCCCGCAGCTTGACTACCACTCTCCATACTCATGCTTCTAGATAGGACTCCTTCGAGCCGAATCTCCAGAGCAACACGTGGAACAGGATCCTGGAAATTAGATATTTCTGAGGAATGCCAGGGAGATTTGGTTAAATGCAACATATAAGACACCAGATCCTTTGATTCAGACCTCACAAAATCAAGCACTCTGGCCAAAGCTTGGATTTTCGACCATATTCTTGATTCATAATGAACTTCACTGCCGTTCTTGGCTTGTTGGCCTTTGCGGCGGCAGTCTCCGCTGACCCAAAGCGATCCCCTCATTCTTCGGATTCCATCGCGAATCTGAAAAGCAAGATTAAGAATATTGTCATCTTGGAGATGGAAAACCGCTCCGTGGACAACCTGCTTGGCGGGCAGACTCTCAAGGGACTGGAGAACCCTATCAACAACGGCCCTTTCTGCAACCCGTATAACTTGACCGATGCTTCAGCGGGCACAGTGTGCAGCTCTGCCAAGGACTTTGACTCTGTTTTGGATGATCCTGATCACTCGGTGACTGGAAACAACATCGAGTTCTATGGCACTTTTGCCCCCAGCAATATCCACATTGCCGAGGGCACGCTCACTCCCACCCAGCATGGCTTTGTGCATGAGCAGCTACGCAGCTACGGGGACGATGCCGACAAAGCTTATCTGGCCAAGCAGGTCATCAACTACTATATCGAGGATGAGGTTCCGGTAATGACTGAGCTGGTGCAGAACTATCTCACCTTCAACCACTGGCATTCGGATCACCCTGGCGTAAGTCCGAGCAAATTTCCATACTCTATATCCGCCGCGTATAGCTTCTAACATGTGTAAATAGCCTACCAATCCCAACAGGGCCTTTGTGCTCTCAGGTACATCTGCCGGCCACGGCACCAACGATAACGCCTTCAACGTAGATGTCCATGCCCTCACTCAACGTTCTATCTTCCAGCAGCTCTCAGAGACCAACCACACCTGGAAGAACTACTACACAAGCTCTAATATGGTCGACGCTTACTTCTTTGACTGGACATTTACAAGTGGTAACGCCGACAAAGCAGTCCCTCTAGACAACTTCTACAAGGATGCGGCAGCTGGAAACCTTCCAGAATTCTCCTTCGTCGATCCTAACTGCTGTGGCGTGGGCACAAACTCCATGCATCCAACCGGCCTCGTCTCCGAGGGCGAGCTCCTCATCAAGAATGTATACGACGCTGTCCGCTCCAGCCCGCAGTGGGAAGAGACGCTCATGATCCTCACCTTTGATGAGACGGGAGGATTCCACGACCACGTCCCGCCCCCACTGGCTACCCGTCCGGATGACATGACGTACACCGAGACAGCGCCCAGCGGTGAGCAGTATACGTTCTTATTCGATCGTCTCGGTGGTCGCGTCCCGACCCTCTTGATCTCGCCGTGGATTGCTAAGGGCCAGGTGGAGCAGAAGGGCACTAACTCGGATGGAAATACTGTGTCTTACTCTGCTTCTTCAATCCTGCGCACTCTCGGCTACCTCTGGGACTTTGAGCCTTTCACGCCTCGTGTTGGCTCTTCGCCTTCGTTTGAGCATCTGATTCAGGACACAGCCCGCACTGATACCCCTGTCACATTGCCTGTGCCCAAGGCATTCAGAAAGGTAGAGATTTAGAATACTACTATGATGTTGCTTCCTACGTTTGATTGTGTATAAAGGGTTTTCAACAGCCTAACAAGGGTAGTTGCAAGCCCACTTCATAACAATGACAATTCTGTTCGGTATAAACTTTATCAATCTCTTTTGGGTATGAGTGAGTACAAGTCATATCTCATAGCCCTGAGTACTTTCCTGTCACTCAAAGACTTCCCTCCCTTGGTTACAGTGGCCGCACCGCTGGACATGTTGGGTGATCGAGGGTAAACTTCAATTGGAAACCACACCTTAGGACAGCAACTATATCACGAGCACATCACGAGGACTTAGACGAAAGTCCCTGGTTATATATAGAAAATTCCTCTGTATGGTTCAGGCTTTGTACAGCCTTCATAGATTGCACACCGTAGAGGCCAATGACTATCTTTCTAGTTATCACACCCAGAAGAAACAATATGTCCAAAAATATGTCTAAAAAGAACATACAAAAGACATAACCCGTTATCTTACATATAACGTCCGCGATATAATCTTGAACCTGATAAATCAGATTATTGAAATCTTATGTCGGTGAGGACAGAGGCCACATACGGGGCCGACTAGTCTTGTAGAAATTGAAAGACGTCACGACGAACCCTCGCTTTAGCGCTGGCCCCCAACACATATGCAATACGAGTCCAAGGGTGTGACAGAAATGCATATTAAGCACCAGACGTCATTTTCGTACTACATATAAAATCGAGGGATTCTGTCATCTGATTCTTGGTCTTGAAACATAGATTTGACAAGCGCTCGGGTTTAAATAGCCTGGGGCGAAGCTGGGTGAAGCTGGGTGAAGCTGGGTGAATCTTCACAGTATTGATACCCGCCCCCTTGACTCATATCTGATCCTGGGTATGCTTTGATATCAGGAAACCCAACAAAACTTAGCGCTTGGGGGGATTTCGGAGTTAATCTCATTCGTTCTCCATTCTCCATTCTCCAGTTTTTTTTTTTTTGGCCTCCGTATACAACAGGGGCTATTAATTTTTTTTAATTCTTTCTTGTATAATATTATTGATATTTACTTCACCGCATCTTCACGACGTTTTCAAAGCCTTGGGGCGAAGTGGACTCAGCCCTTCACTATTGTACCCATTGCATAGTACAAAGTACATAAAATAATATGACGCCCCGCATGAGATTGACGTCATCCGCGGGGCACAAAGAAAAGACCAGGGCGCTTTGGAATCTACGCCTCTTATTGCTCTGGATGTGATACAAATATCTTTCGGCTTTCTTTGTATGATGTCAACTCGCTTAGTGGAATCTTCTTCAGATACCTGTGTTGTACTTTATATATAATATACAATATAGAAAAAATATTTTTTTTATGGCAACCTAAAATACTAAGAGGCCAAGATTACAGAATATGTGGATCGTAGCTAATGCCCTATCAGTTGAAGCAGGAGGTGCTCTCATGACTTGAATATAGCGCCGATCCAATTCTCCAAGTCTTGAATGCGCCTGTCAATGCAGATGACATCTGGACTGCAGATGAGGCTGCATTTACAGTATGTTGTACATTATGTACTTTGTACCTGGCGGTACTGTATGTATCAAAATATAGTGTATTAGAACCTCGGGTCACTAGCTAAAAACCATGGAATCAACCCGAACCAGTAGACTAAACCCATGGATTGATAACGGGAAGAACCAAACAATAGAAGTAAACAAAATACGACAATTCTCAGCCTCGACATCTGGTTTCGAATGTGTTTCGCCACGGCCCCGGGCGAAGGTATCAACCCTTTTCTAAGAGAGCCTCACGTGGCTGCCATTTATCTTCTCTGCCTCTGACTTTTTCCCCCCATTTCTATTTCATATTTTCTCTCATCTTATATTCATGAAAAGGTTGTTCACTGGTTTACCATATTTCAACTCTTCACCTATGCACTCCAAGTCCTTCAAGGCCGATATTGTTTTGCCTGCAGATTATCTAGTCTGAGGCTAAGCCGGTTGAGTGTGTGCCGATACTCCGCTCTCTGCCCTACAGAAGACCCGTGGACGGCTTTCATCATCCTGAATCATTATTCAAAACCCACCGGGCTTTTGCTGGCTTTTCTTGGCTTCGATTCGTTTGGCTGAGACAGTTGTTACCAATCAGAATCAGGCTTCTTGGCTTCTACTGGAATCATCTTCGACCATTAATCACAGCCCTCTCTGTACCTCTGCACACCCCCACTTCCCTGCCGCCCCCCTCAATTCCCTGCACTGCGCATCTTACTTTTTTTTTTGTTTTATCCTTTCATCTATTACCTTCTCGACTTATTCCTCCATCACTTCTCATTTCTCACCTTTATTACGTCCCATGTCGTACACTTACAGAGACCGCGAACGAGACTGGGACGAGACCCGTCCTGTGTCAATCAAACGCTACGTCATTCCTGCTGAGGACGAACGTCGAGACTTCATGTCGAGACACGATGACAGTTTCGGCGGCGAGCGCGAGCTGGTGATCCGGCGCAAGACGGATCGTGATGAACCAGTGACCGTCTCGCGCTACGAGCGAGAAGTGGAGTATGAACCCACGCGCTACGAGAGAGAATACTACGATCGTGAGTACCTACCCCATACCAATCGTCCACACTCCCGATCCGTGGATGCCCTGGAACGAATGGAGCAGTCCCCTACTGTCACCACCATTACCACCCGAAACATACTTATTCGTGAAGCTCGCACCTCGTATACCAACCCCCGTGAATCCGAGTATGATGTCGTGCGCCGTTCCGAGGGCGACGAGGATCCGTATTACTACCACCGTCACCGTCGAGTCCGAGAATTCGACGAAACTCGCCCCCGGCGTGAGTTAAGCCCTGATGATTCAGTTTCCCAGACGAGTCGCCGCCGCCGCGGCGATCGTGATCAGGACTACAGCAGCGATGATAGCATGGTCTACATCCGAAAGGAGACCCGTGACTATGACGACCACTCTCACCACCGACGTCATATGGCAGAGGGTGCATTGGTAGGTGCTGGTGCGGCTGAATTGTTACGCAGCCGCAGCAAAAAGGAGGGCGAAGTCAGCCATGGCATCGGCCGCATTGGTAAGACTGTTGGCGCCGGTGCTCTTGGTGCAGTCGCCGTGAATGCTGCATCGCATGCTCGTGACTACTATCACCGTAGTAAGAGCCGCCACCGTGCTCATTCCTTCGACGATGAGCGTTCTTCCCATCGTCACAGCAGACATGGCCGGGGTCGTTACAGTCGCAGCCGCAGTCGGAGCCGCTCCCACTCGCGCTCTCGTACAAAGACGCTGGTTGAGTTGGGACTTGGTGCTGCGGCCGCGGCTGCTGTTGGTGCGGCTTTAATGCGTAGCAAGTCGAAAGCCCCAGAACGCAAAAGCCGGTCTCGCACTCGCTCCCGTTCTCGAGCTTTTAGTCGGGGTCGTTCAGAAAAGGATGGAGAACATGGCAAACGCAGCATGTCTGAGCGCCGCAAGCATATGGCTGAGGCTGGACTAGCTGGCGCGGCCGTTGCTGGCCTGGTTGAAAAGGCCCGCAGCCACTCGCGCTCTCGAAAGGGTGAGCGCTCCCGCTCCCATAGTCGTCTGAGACAAGCCCTGCCCATTGTCGGTGCCGGCCTTGCCACTGCTGCTGCCACGGGTCTCTATGAGAAGAAGAAGAGTGACAAAGAAGAAAAGGAAGGCTCGAGCCGGGGCCGCCATCGCTCAAGGTCTCACAGCCGCGCCCCGTCACAGTCCTTCCCCGATCCAGCTCGCGACTCAGCCGGCCTGATCGAGTACGGCAACGACCCAGTCGCAGGTAGCATCCCATCTGAGCACTACTACGGTCAGCGCGGCGCGCCCTATGATGCACATGAAGCATATGCTCCCAGACGCCATACCCGCAGTCGTAGTCGTAGCCGAGCCCGCTACAGCAGCTCATCCGGCTCCGACCGCGAAGGTCACCGCCAACGAAGCAAGAAACACCGCAGCCGTTCAAGAGATCTCGCGGGTGCCGCCCTGGGCGCAACAGGACTCGGCTATGCCGCACACAAGTTCAACGAGCGTCGCAAGTCCAAGGAACGCGAGCGCGAGCGCGAGTACTCCAGTAAGTCCCTACTTCCACCAATTTCTACCTAGAAATATTTACCCTGACTAGTGGTGTAACCAGAACATGACGATAACGTCCACCGTGATCCTTATGAAGAATCCTATGACCCAGAGCCATACCCGCTTTCCCCACAGCAGCCCCCGGGCCCCCCGCCCATGGCTGACCCCAACTACTACCCCAATAACAACTACAATTACCCCCCTCCTCCGGGCGACTCAACCTATAACCTGAACTCAACCCCTGCTCCCTACAACCCGGCAGACTACCCTCCTCCACCTGGCGCTGCCCCGCCACCACAACCTTACGCCTACGGCGCTGTGCCACCAGGAACAGCACCAGGACCGGGACCCGAGCAATATGCACCTCGGCCACGTAGGGCTGATGAAAATGTGAGCTCCTCCACTCTCTCTACTGCAAACCATGCGCACAAGGGTGGGTTCAATGAACCACAACTGTGACTGTATAGAATAACAATAAATGCTAATATCCAACTAACAGGTCTAAACATACACCCATTTCCAACATCTCTACCCCGGTCAACTAGTCAACCACCACAAGTCTCGAAATCAGTCACTTTCGACCTGACGGGTTCGCCACAGGATCCTGGCTACGAGACCGATGAGAGCGACTCTACCATTGAACCGCATTCTTCTTCGCATCGCGGACATAGAAGCCACCGTCGCGATCGAGATCGTCATAGCCATCACCATCGTCATCATCACCACCGCTCCTCATCTGTCCCTCGTCCACCTATGCCTTATCCTAGTACTGCTTCCAGTCACCATCGACATCACTCCTCAGCCCCAAGACACCACGAGGAAAGAGACAGGAACAAAGTCTCTGAATCAGAGTCTGACTCAACTATCGACCTACCCGGCCGCTTCGACGGGCAAGGCCGTCTTCTTCCTGAGCGGGATCCTGCTGTGGAAAAATTCGAGGACCTGGTGAATAAGTTTACCAAGGTTCTGTTCTAGCGGGTTGCTGTGTGGTGTTTCATTCTTATCCCTATCCCGTTCCATCACATTAAGGTTATATCTATTTCTTTTGCGGGTGGATTTTCTGCTTTGATTGACTTGATTTTTTACATTTATCCCCATTTCTTTGGTATTTTATTTCCTTTTTCCCTTGGTGTTTTATCCTGGTTACAATGGTTATGAATGATGCCTGGCAATAATAACGATTTTATGATATGAATGTGTGTTCGGACAGTACAATGCTTGTTGCTTTTGGTTTTAAGATGATATAGGTCATATATGCAATACCCCTTTTTAGTAGTTCCTTTTATGGATGCTCTCGTAAAATGCTAGGGATGTGACATACAGTAGGAACTAGTGAGAGTAGGGTTCAGCTATATACCACTTCGTTTATGCGTGAATATCATATGCCAAGTCAAAAAGACAGGCTTAATCACATAAAAAACATATCTGTTCTTACAAGTCTTACTAATAGGTGATACTAATAGGTAATATATCCGAAAGCCCGAAAGAATATCCATATCCATGTTTACAAGGGTCCCCCCCAAAAAAGGGAAAATATAGACACAAAAGACCCTCTGATAGTATGAAAATATCCAGAGCCTAACCCGTCTCGTATTCGAAGACTGAGCTAATAACGAAAAATTTCTTTTCCAAAAGTCCTGCCGTACAAGAAAGATAACACAAGGCCAATTCCCAGATCAGCCAGAAACCAGACAGAGAGTACAGATACAGTGTTTTTTTTTTCACATCAAAAATGGACACGGAAAAGAACCTTGAATAGAACCTGGTAAGAAAATATGGCGGATTGCCGTGTAAGGAATGGATGGAGCGGTATGTAGAAGATATCACATCCTCTCCAAGGAAGTGACTATCAGAAAAGAAAAAGCCATATCCAAGAACGCTTTTTTTTGTAAAAGACAAGAGGGAAAAGGACGACAACTAGACGGAGTTGATCCGTAATAGAACTTGTCCAATCCTCAAAAAAACGAAAACTGCAAATGGGGTATACTGCGGAAAGAAGTCTCAAGGGAAGATAGGGCCCATACTGCGCTGTATGATGTATACAGAGTGGGCCAAAGACATAGGCTCTTTGCTTTTCGTCGTGTTACATGACAGATTAAATAAAAGTAAAAAAGAATAATTAATAGAAAATAGGGCTGTCGTAAGTCAATGATATCGATCTATCGCTAAATTGGTTATGCCGTAAAAGGTCGTCTCGAATCCCCCGCGGGCGCGGTGGAACGAGTATCGAGTGGAAGGAGAATAGATGGTGCGCTTCTTTGTGGTACAGAAATACGCACTGTGCCGTTGTTTGGAGGTGCTTGTTCTGGATCATTGTCATCGGTATCGGGCACCACCTTGATGCTAGAGCTAACAGATGCCGAGAGGTAGCGGGAGCTAAGTGGAAGTTGGTATTTAATGATGCCGCGGACAGTCAATTCAAAGGGGTGTTGAAGGACTCGCTCCCAGCGCTCTGTGCCTCCAGCCTCAGTTTTATTTCCTGGCCGGCCCAGACGGATCTGTCCTTTAGAGTTGGAACTCAAATGATTCCAAGGAGATGATTCGAAAGATAGTGGAGAATCGAAGTGGAACACGCGGCCAAGCAACATAGATCGCGGATCGCCTTCAGGGTCGGTTGGGGGATCAGTGCCCTTGTCAACTCCGTCGGTGGTGTGCGGGTCAGAGTGGCCAGACATGGCTTTCTTGACACAGTCCACACGGCCCAGACACTTCACCGCTTGTGACAACTGCCAGCGACGTCGGCTTTGCTCCACGCGTGGGAACTTATCTAGGTCATCATTCTCACGCCAAAGTTTGTCGCTTCCAACATACCGACTCTTTGCGAATATGTTGAGATCGGTGTCGTCAATGGTCACAGGGAACAAGTTTGGATTGATGGCTTGCACGTTCAAATCCAACATGATTTCCTGTTCCGAAGCCAACACGTTTTGAATCGCAATAACCTGGACATCTAGAAGGGGTTGGGTTGCCGCAATGATGAAAGAGGTAGCACCAGCAGCAACAAGCAGCAACATCATGAAGATAACGGCGCATGGGCCAAATCGAGCGAAAAATCCGCGGTCCCGGTGCGCCATGTACTCCATTTGCCTCAAGCTTGCACTGTTGGGTCGTCGACCACTTCGACTGTGGATTGTACGTGGCGTGCCTACTAACGGTGTGCGTTCATCGTCCGCACCCTCTGCCTCATAGTCATAGCCATGGAGCTCACCGCCCTTCCTGCTACCGCTCATGGTTCTGTAGTTGGGGCTCAGCCGGGTATTGCTGTGGCGTGAATGCCTATAGGTATTCCCGATAAAATGGCGCGGAGACTTTTGAGATTGACTCTGCGACTGTGTACTGTCGTTATCAAAAAGATTTGGGTGCACGCCGTTGCGGGTATGACGGCCAAAGTTGTGATGCCGGGGAGTGATGGTTCCTCCATTCCCATCAGCTCTAGAAGAACGCGAAGCCATATCAGCCTCGACGCCATCGCCATCTATGCTGATATTGTAGGGGTTGGTGTTGGTAAACTTCATGCTGCGTTTGCCTGTCACGCCGTGAGAAACATCCCGTAATCCCAACCCTCGCGTACGACCAGCCAGCTGATCCGCTTGACTCGCCATGGAGGTCGCACTAGGAGTCCGAGAATGATACCGGGCTGGTCGAGAAGGATATGGATCTGGTGGGTTCGAATCATAAACGAAAGTCTCGTCGGAGTCCGAGACATCTGCCTCATCTACTGCATTGGCCACTCTAGCCTCGAAAATGTCCGCTTTGCTTGTTGCGGGGCCTGTTGAGATGGCATTGGGTCGACGGGTCTTTTTCTTTTCTTTGCGTGGACGAATCGTCTCATTGGAAGGTTTCATGCGAAGTGTTCCCTGATCTGCACGGGAAGCACCGCCTCGCTCACCATTTCCCACTCCCATAGAAACCTGCGGTATCGAGCTAACTGTCTCTGTTTCCACAATCATGTTGCGAACTGAGCCATCGACAGGCTTTCCACGAGCACTAGCACCGAGTGATGTTGTCGATCTTTGTGACATGAGAGTTCTAGGTGTCTTGACTACACTAGGCGGCTGTGGACGAGTCTCTTCCTTTGGTTCCGAACTTCGATTCTCACCACTGTCGCTCCCACTCCCTAAATTTTGATGCGGAGCACGTGGAGCCGGGTCTTCGTCGATCCGGTGCAATCGTGACTCCTCCGGGATCACCGGCTTGGTAGGAGTGTCACTGGATGGGGTAGATGGATTGCTTGCCATCTCCTCGACTGTTTCCAGGGAAGACCCCTGCCCTGCAGGGCCTCTAGTGACAGTCCTGGTTGTATTTCGGTCCGGTTTGGGTGCGAAATCCTCCAACGGCAATGAAGATCTTTTATGTGATGTATTCGGAAGGGTCGAATCCAAATCCGTGCGACGGTTCGCAGCCCATGGCATATTGGACTTTTCCGGACTGGCAACATTGGCCAGCGAGTCGACAGGAGTGGAGAGAACAAGAGATCTGACGGGAGAAGAAGACGAACGTCGAAGGTTCGGTGCTGGTGAGTTTGTAGTTGGGCCAGATGTCAAGCCGTTAGAGTGTCGGGTTGGACTGGATTGATCTTGACTGGTATTTCGTGAGTGTGAAGATACCCGGCCGGGGGAGGAAGGATTGTAGGTACGCGAGGATTGTCGAACAGGGGAGGGTTCACGGGAGGAAACGGCGGAGTTCGTGGCAGACGCGGGAACGGAAGCGGTAGGAGGATTCGGAAAAAGCTTAGGCACCTGAGACATGGGTTGAGTCTGGGATTTAACGATAGACTGTTCAATCATGCCATTTTCGCTGGCCGATCGATGCACCGGGTCTGACGCTGCCTCTGCATCCTTCGGCCCTCTGGACGGACTAGAGGCGCCGTTAAGGTGAGGCGGCCTCTCGGACTCCGCCGCCATGGTCCCTGACGAGTCAGGATGGGCTGACACGACGTAGACAAGTCAGGAGACCCGAGAGGTAGCCAGGTAGTTGGGCAGACACAAGGCCCAAAAGGGTAAGCCAAAAAGAAAAAGCAAGGCACTGCGCGCCTAGGCAGGGAAAGCTCGACGGTGAAGAAGTGAGTTGTTTTGTTGTTGGCAAGAGCGAATGAGATATCACGAGGATTGAACGGGATGTTGCGCAGAATACGGGTCGTTACACATATGAGGATACAGCAGGACGAATAGCCGAAGACCACATGCTGTTGCCCGGTAATCGGATTCTGTACAGGAACGCACAAGCGAAAATGGCTGCAGCAGGCGCAGGGGTTGGGGAAACTGGAGAGATGGAGATTGTTTAGAATACCGGGTGGGCCTGGTCACAGTCCATACATCAATGTGCCGTTTTGCTTTGTTCCGGAAGCGCACAAACAAGGCCTAGAACGAAGGAATTGAAGATGACGAGATTTGGTTGGCGGATGTAGGGCAAATGGAGACCCGCCGATCCGGCTCAACGTTTTGGCTTGACTGGTTTTACGTTGTTCTGGAGTGGCGTCTGGGCTGCCAAATGCGCAGAGAAGTCGGTGACCAAAACCTCGGTGAAAAGTGGCTGACAGAGAGGGTCAGGTTTGTGAGCAAAGGCCAATGATCGTGGTCCACGTCAAGAGAGGGGGTCACTGCAGGGAAGCACACGAATTGGTCTAGAATCCAGTTTTTTTCTTTTTGAAAAGGGAAAAGAATGTGAATGTGATAGAAAGGGAGAAAGGGGGCTTGAAAGATGAATTAAGAGAGAGAGTAAGCTGAAAGAGCAAGATGAAGTCACTTGATTTTGTCTGGGGTTGATGACAGGTATGTGACAGGTGGGTGACGCTAAAAATGGTAATAAATGGTAATAAAACATGCAACGCGCAGAAGATAATTAATTACTAATGTAAGGGAAATACAATGACTTCATGCCACGGCCTTGACCTTTTTGTGTACATTTCAACTATAACTACATTCAACTAGTACTACAGAGTACTACATTGAAGATAGACTATTTTTGGTTTCTTTGGCCTCGAGCAGTCGATTATCATTCAGATGGTTTATATTTAGGGCTACATTTTCAAGGGTTTCAACATCCTTGTGGTCTTTGTTATCGAAAGGACAAGGAATCCTGAACGCCACTAAAACAACCAAGTAAACAAGGATAAAATCAAGGATTACTTATTATCTACTCGTAGGTGCAGATTACTACAATGTAAGACTAGGTGTATTAAATGTGGAAAATTGTGTTTAATTAATGTACAGTTCTATCCAACCTATAGCCAAAATATGTACATACTATAACCTCCCAATTAGTTACACCAAAGACTAACACATGCATCATATATCGTCAAAGAGGCCAAAAAGAAGAAGAAGAAAAAAAAACTCACAGGTTCCCAATATAAAGCAAATAACCAAACCAAAATCCAGGGTATCGATCCAACCGGCTGAAAACCAAGTAGAAACCAAGATAGGAACTTCGTCGTACGTCTATACAATTTTGTAGACTCTTTTAGCAGTCCAAACAGATACAAATGCAAATACAAATAATCCGGCAGTAACTATAATGTATTAGCAAAATAACTCAAGGAAAAAGGAAAGGGAAGACATACTACACCAGAACCATGTCAGGCTATCAATTTCCTGACCCGGTACCTTAACGTTCATCCCCCACATGCCGCAAATGATGTTCATCGGCAGGACAATTGTACCAAGAACAGTCAGCTTACCCAGAACATCGGCAGTATGTTCCTGACGCTCGTTCATGAGAATGTTGATCTGCGCTAGATAATTGGAGTGTGCGCGGGAAAGGATTCTGGAAGGAAACAGTCAGCGTTTGTTGCAATGAATGTTTTGCAAGAGCCTTGAAAATGAGGTAAAAAGCTTACGTTTCGTAGTGTGTAAGGTTACCCGTCATCGTCATAATGTGATCCTGAATGTCACCTAGGTATAGACCAATCTCTGATTTGGGTGCAACCTCCCACTGCTCATTGCAACGCTTGGCAAATCCCTTGACTACATCGGCCTTGTTACTGAGAAGTCGATACAGCCCCATGACCTTCTTACGGCATTCTCCCACTCGCCGAAGCATCTCGCCTGGTCCGAATGAAGGAAGCACACTGTCATTGGACGATCCTTCCTTGCTTCCAGTGGAAGAGTGCATCTGCATGATCATCTCGTCGATCTCGTCAACCTCATCTTCAATCGCTTGGATCAGCGGGCCGAAGACGTCAGTAATGTCATCAATCAGTGCATATGAAATCCAGTCCGAGCTGAGGATCAGATAATCCATCAGTTGGCGAATACGCCGCCGCACATTGGCTGGGTGAGGTGTCTGCGAGAAATGGAAGGATATCACGCCTTCGCGGAAGACCACCACATACATGTTCACTGGCTCAAGATAGTTCTCACTGTTGGTATCCTGCTCAAAAGTGCGGTAGTTGACGAAATAGTAGCTGCGGAACAACTCGACTTTCTCTCGAGCTTCCTGCATCATAATGTCCTCTGCCGTCAGCGCATGAATCCCAAACGCCTTGGCAATCGTACGCATCTCTGCATCTGTCGGAGACAGAACATCTAGCCAGAAAGTGGGCCGCGGACCGTACCGTTTAGGTTTCGGGTTGGGGGTAGTGCTGAATGGGGCGTTTGAAGGTGCGGGCGAAATATCTCGTTGAGAGTCCGGGCGCCCTTCGCTGATGGCAGATAAACGCGAGGGTCCTCTGGCAGGCGGAGCATTGCCAGAGATAAGGTCACCTGTACTCCGTCCATTTGGAACAACAGTCTGAGCCGTCAGCTGAGGATTGACATGCGTTTGGTGGCCTTGCCCTTGACTTTGGGTGTCTGCGTGAGGTGGTGGCTTGCTAGCAGGATGGGTTGAGTTATTGAAAGGTGGATTCTCCATATAAGATTCCTCATCCGTGTCCTCGTCTTCCGAGGAATCCTCCAATTCGGGGGGTTCTGGAATAAACAAATCGCGGAAGGTACCGCCTGGTTGTACCAGCTCGGAGATGGTTTGGGCGTGAATGGTGCTCGGGAACTCCTCGTTGAAATATGTGAACCGATAAGGTGCATCGTCCTCTTCCCGTCGCCAACCTTTGTACTGAGGGCGCAATCGGCCTTCGATGAACATGGGCTCGCTGATCCTTTTGACTCGAAGGTCTCCATTGCGCTCCTCTTTCTCTTCACGGCTCCATTCTTCCAGCGCGGAGAGATCGGGCCACCGCCGATGTCTACGCCGTCGACGCTCACCGGCTTCATCTCGCATTTGCCTTGGTCCCTCGTCTCCCAATTCGGATATCGCTTCAGTAGGGAAGCATACGTCTCCCTCTGCCGGTAATCCTACTGTCCGGCGTCGCCGCATTTCATGATGTGGAGACAACATCGGCGATCCAGGTGCAGAGGATGGTGCAGAATGTGGGCGCAAGCCATTTCCGTCTATGTCAATCAGCGTATCGTTGAGGATGTTCAAAGAGTCCCTGCGATTCTCCATTGACCGAGCCAGTGAAAAGTCCCACTCAGCCCCGGTTACCACCGCATCATCGTACTTCATCTCCGGGCCCATCTTTGGGGACCCGGGGGTCGATGGCGGGTTGTTGACATCGTAGTCTCGCTCCACGGTGGGAGAATAGAGTGGGCTGCGATTGTCCTTTGGCGAACATCCCGAGGACATAGTTTGGGCAGAGGGCTGTCGAGCACGCGATGAGAACAAATTCGGGCGAGTGTCTGTTCCATACCGGCTGTGGCTGGACGCATGGCCTGAAACTGGCCGCATCAATGGTGTCCGGTCATTGGGACCCTCTTCGTCACTATCACCATTGTGATGTTGGCTCCGTCCTCCCCTCGGGGTGCTGCGTGATTGCCCATCGTTCGATCGGAAGACATTGGATATTAGAGAGCTCGGGCGGAATGACGATGCAAGGCGACTGTCACGACGAGGTCGCATCGAGGGTTGGTCCCTGCTCGACAAGAAAAATTAGTATTCGCATCAAGCTCTGAGATCGCTCAATATCATGAGATCTTACCGGTGATCTAATAGTGCATCGCTCTCCAAGCTTGTACTACTCAGATTGCGCCCCAATTTGAAGAACGACGGGTTGTCCCTCGAGGTTGGCCGATCGGCCTCCATTGAATCTCTGACACCTCCAGCACCCGAAGTCTCCCCAAGGCTATCATGGGATTCCTCCCGGCGAGATGGAATAAAAGACTGGTGTCGATTGCGACGCTTCCGATTACGGTTCTTTTTGCGTTTAGAGGACTTGGAGGGTTTGCCAGCAGCACTATCAGCGGGGGGTTCGAAGCGGGTCTCGTTGGCTTGCGTAGCCTCGGAGACGGATACCGGACCAGTGCCTGGGGCCCGACCGCCGCTCATTGGGCCATAGCTAGCGTTGTTATCAGCAGAGGGTGGGTAATCGCTGCGCTGTAGACGTTTTCTGCTAGACGAATGCGAGGAACGAGGCGGTCGGGGTGCCGCTCTGCCAGTCGGGATCATGGATGGATCCATTGTGACCGCCTCAATGATTGGGTTGCGGCGGAGGTTAGGTGTCTCCAGTACAGAGCAGCAGCTGTACGGAAGTGGAGGAGAATTTTCAGCAGCTCATCAACCAATGGAGCCAGGCCAACGCAAACAGTGTTCTGGATGATCTAACTTCCTGGATCACGCAAGACTCGCAGTATGCAAGATACCCAGATTCCCATAAGATCTTACTAACGCTGATAATCACGGGGAAACCGACATCGGCATGGTGGACAGCGCTGAAGGGATGAGCTGCAGCTCAAGTTGGGGGATGACGCGGGTGGCAAAGCCAGAGTGGGACATCCCAGGACAAAACCAAAGAAATTCTTAACCTTGGAAACCTTGAAAATCTAGAAAAGTTCAAATATAAAAATGAGAACAAGTTGTGCACAAGGTTGCGTATACAAGGTGTAGTGTATCGGAGAAAGGAGAGTCCAATACAAAGAGAAATTCAAGGCTGTACTTTGTAGATGAGATTCTGCCTCGGATTCCATGGGACAACCCTGGAGGCTTTTCCTAAAACGGGATTGATGAGGTCAGCACAACTATAAAATTCATTTGACTATGGATAACATGGCCGTTGGGGATATGTAATCTTCTTAGATATGCAGTAAAGAAGAATAAATGCAAAAGTAAACAAAGACAAGATCCTTGATACTACCGGGATAAGCTGAAGAACATCTAGCAGACGATAGGGAATAATGATATATTAAAAATTCATAACCACACACTGTTTGCCTGATAACCAACGACAGACCTGTCTAGCTCGCTATGGCACTGCAAGAGTGCTTCGCCACCAGGGCCATAAGCCGATCCGCAATGTCAATTGCAAATCCATCATCATTTATATCTCGCTCATCCGATACCACTCTGATTTTGCTGTCCTTTAGCCCGGAGCGTAGAGTATCAGCAAGGGCGGCATCGGCGTCAGCATCTGCAAATGCAGAGCCTACTGTCCCAATGCTACTCACTCCGCCCCCAGGAAGCCACACCTCAACCATACCTGGGTCCTGGGCAAACCGGTCTAGTTTGGCCAGCATGAACTCCCCGACTTTCCGACATTCGGCCGCAGATGTTCGCATTAAAGTCACATTCGGATTATGTACAAACAGTTTGCGGTCGCGGTATTGGTCTGGCACTGTGTTGACCGGACCAAAATTGACCATATCCGTAGCTCCAACGGAAATGATATTTGGTATTCCGCGCTTAAGTGTCATCTCCAGGCGGCTGGTTTCGCAACTCATAGTCCCGCCGGCAATGAGATCGCAGATTTCGGTCGTTGTGATATCCAAGATGGCATCTAGACGGCCTTCTTCCACCAATCGTTCCATAGCCTTTCCCCCATGACCAGTTGCATGAAACACGTAGACCTCTACAGAATAGTTGTCTTCCAAGTGACGTCTCACATGATCCACACACGGGGTTGTCACGCCGAACATAGTAATGCCGACTCGAACCTTCTTCTCTCCTTGTTGCTTGTCCTGCAGAGTTCGAGTCCGGCGTTCACTCAGCCTATGTTGATATGTCGACGCCATACCAAACATGGCGCCAGCTGCATTCCCTAGCACTTCGCGGAGGAGCCAATTTGTGCCCGCGATGTCCACGACTGAGTACATCAGGGTGATATCGCATTCGCCCACCACTGGTCCTGTATTCCCTGATGCGACTGTGCTGACGATAAGTTTGGGCAGGCCAATGGGTGCAGCCTTCCTCATTACGGCGGAGAACAGACTCGTTCCTCCACTGCCGCCAGCACCGATGATTCCGTGTATCTCCGTCGTTCGCAGTAAATCGCTGACACACCTACTGACGCAGCTAATGAGGAGTTCAATCACTTGCCCTCGGGGCAGAGTCAATATCTCGGTTCTGTCGCCGGGCGCATACTTGGCTAGCAGGTCGGTATGTGTTATGGTAATGACATCATCGCTAATAGCTTGACGGCCACAATCAATCAAGGTAATTTCTAAGGGCGTCGTCGAGAATCGAGTGGCATTCTGCAGCTGATTGTAGAGATATAAGATTTCTGCCCGCTTGGTGTCGAGGGTCCCTAGAAGGATGATATGTGGCATGGTGGGTGAGCTGCAGGAGCACTATAGAGAATTTACTGAATGATGTGACTATAGAATTTAACTGAACTGCAACAGATGCTTGTCCCAGTGGAGCCTGGCATTTGGTAGAATAATTATCTGATGATGGTGGCCAAGAGCGGGAAAACAAAGTGGAAATTATCCCCGCTTCTCCGTCTATCTCCGCCCTCGACTGCAACCTCATCTAGCCAAACCCCCAAGCAATTCTACGCCCTTGGCGTTATTGATTGGGCCGGATATCACTATGTCCGCTCACAATCCGCGCCAGCGCCTTCCGGTATCCTGTGAGCCATGCCGCGTTCGCAAGATTCGATGTCCTCGGGATGGCCCCTCTTGCGGCACTTGTATACGACGTCGTGTTCCTCTAGAGCAGTGTATCTATAGTACCAGAAGACAACCCAAAACACGTTCACAACGACAGACGCAGCAGTCACAGCCACAGGCTCAGCTACTGGAAACCCCCTCGTCATCCCCTGACATCCCTCTCCCACCACTCGCCGGAGAACCCAACGCTGATCTAGTAGCTCGGATAGAAAAGCTAGAGCAGTTATTACGTGCAAATAACCAGCAGCAAGAAGCGGTATCATCTCCGCTAAATGTTCAGTTGGACTTAGAGGTAGAAGGGACGCGGGGACCAGAGCCAGCAACAGCCTTTGCAACGGGCACCCTCATCCCATCCGCTTCAGGGCATGTGCGGTTTCTCCCTGCTAGCTCCGGTCGGCGTATTTTCCATCGAGTTTCCAAGGAGGATCCCTTTCCAAGCCAGGAGAGTGCCATGATTGATACGCCCAGCGGACCATATCCTTTCGGTGAACACGATGCTGAAAACAGACCTAATCTGTTAGCAAAACTCCCCCCGACGGAGTACTGTGACCAGTTAAAGGATCTCTATTTCCAGTCAATTGCACCCGTGGGTTTTTAAACTTCCGATATCATCAGGATGACTGAAAGTAACAAAAGAAAAGCTTTTTCCTATCTTACATAGCCCTACGTTTCACGAACGGTATCGTCAATTTTCCAAGGATCCAGATCAGGCTTCATTGGCATGGCTTGCTCTCCTCTTTGCTATTCTGGGCACGGCTGTCCTCGCACTGGAAAATGACAGCCTGCTGCTTAAGAATCTCAGCCGCAAACCTACCTTTTTGGATCGAGTCACTGAGCTCTCGGAGCGGTATTACACAGCGGCGATGAAATGCCTCGAAGCAGATCGCTATCTATGGCGACATAATATCTCAACACTGCAGGCACTGTTAAACCTTATTTATGGGATTCACCATAGCCATGGCCAAACATGGACTCTTCTAGGCCTAGGTTATCACCTAGCGCTTTCGATCGGCTGTCATGTTGACCCGACCACATTTTCCTTGGATATTGTCGAAGCTGAGGAGCGTCGCCGCTGTTGGCTAGGTCTGGTCACACTACTCTGTAACCAAAATATGGCGATCACCGGGTTAGACATCTACCAGTCAGTGTTCTCGTCACGCGTTCTACCCCCAGCCGAGGTGTGGGATGAAGACATCATCCAGGGACAACCTGAACCGATTGCAACGTCGGTAGACATCAAACCTGTCTCGTATCTCATTCGAAAATCGCGCCTCTTTCAGATTTCCTCGGAGATCTGTAACCCCGTTGTGGCAGCACGGCCGGACGACCCGACAGCCCTCCAACGCCTGGACGCGGCCATCCGAGCGGAGTTAGACCCATTGGAGCAGAGTTACGCCTCAGTACTTAGGAGCAACTCATCAGTTGTTCATACCAATCTGCTGCTCAGTTTTGCCCATCACCTGGTTCTCATTCTCCACAGCAATATACTGAATGAAGGGACCTTTTCTCTGCCGCAGCATAGCTGGTCGAAGAATCGCTGCATGAAAAGTGCACGACGCGTTTTGGAACTACATGCCGACTTCCACCAACTGCCCCAGTTCAAGCCCTTCTACTGGTATATCCGTGGTCGAGGCGCTTTCCATGCTTTCCACGCCGCGTTTGTCTTGGTGTTTGCCCTTTCTATAGAGCCTCAAGAACCCTGTACAGTTGATGTAGTGCGGCTGCTGCATGAGTGCCATGCTCGGCTTGAAGCGTCCAAGGCGCAAAGTCAGCTGTGCACCCGAACAGCAACTATTCTTGGTCAAATGTTGTAAGTTGCCTACTGCATGTGACATGTGTTTTAGCTAGAACTGACGGACAACATTTTAGATCCAGCAGATGGATGACTGCCTCAGGACTGGTACCGGATGGATCACACAGTGCAGTACCGCAAAGCACCAGGTCAAATAGCCAGATGAATCCCACTAGCCAGCCCGTGGATCTTACTAATGACGATGCATTCATCTCAGAGAGTGTTGGTTTCCCTAGTCTAGTTCGGCATATTGAGCCGCAGCAATGGATCAACCCAGTGAACATGGACTGGGACCAATGGGATCTAATTATGAATACAATGGGAACTACATCTTGATCCATACGATCATGAAATCAATATATATCATGATTTGACGGATCCCTTGGCCTTACTCCAGGTGCGTTTCAGAATCTAGGACTCTTGTCAGTAACAATAGAGAGGTCATGATCATCCTCTTATGTCCGCGGCCTCCGCTGAGAGCACAGGTCCCACCAACAGTAACATCATACTCCGACAGCTGGAGACATTACCCGTCCCAACCATGACTAGCATACTTTCCTATAAAAAGATACTGTTTTTGTATTTCCACTTCGTACTTCTTAACGATTCTTAATATACTTGGGCTATTTCCACTACTATACCATTTGGGTATGTAGATAGTTCATAGCGATGATAGATAATATTCTTTGCGTACAAATAATTAGCCAAGGTAATATAAAACATACCATACGCTTGAAACGCCGATCTCTATGTCCCACCGACACCATTAGATTGGGACTAGTTTCACTGTCGGTGGGACCTATACCCGCCCCGCCTTAAACTGACTTATCTCCGCCCTCCGCCGTCCGCATCTGCATAAATCCGCCCCGCCTTCTGTGAGAAGCAATGATTCATGTAGTGAAATTCGAGTGGGACAAAAGAATCTCTCTCTCACTTTGACCTAAATTAAAAATTGATCCAACTACACATTTCCATTTCTTACTATGGCGCCACCCACCTCTCGCAGTGAGATTCTCGCTGGCCTACGCCGTCAAATCGAAGACGGGAAACCCATCGTTGGAGCCGGGGCCGGTATGTAACTAGTGACACCTGTCCCCTTCACCTCTCTACATCTCAGTTTAACTAATACTCTGCCATTAGGCATCGGTCTTTCCGCAAAATCGGTAGAGGCCGGCGGCGCAGACCTAGTCATTATATACAATAGCGGTCGCTTCCGCATGGCGGGTTGCGGTAGTCTAGCGGGACTGATGCCGTACAGCAATGCCAACGAGGTAGTGGTTGAAATGGCTGCCGAAGTCATTCCTATTGTTCAGAATATCCCCGTGATTGCGGGTGTCTGCGGTACCGACCCATTCAAGCACATCCCGCGGTTCCTGAAGCAGCTGCGGGAATTGGGATTTGCTGGTGTTCAGAATTTCCCCACGGTGGGACTGATCGATGGCAACTTCCGTGCAAACTTGGAGGAGACTGGGATGGGGTATGGTAAAGAGGTGGAGATGGTGCGGCAGGCGGCTGAGTTGGATATTCTGACGACGCCTTATGTCTTCAATGTCGAGGAAGCTGAGGCCATGACGAAGGCTGGGGCTGATATCCTGGTGGCACATATGGGTCTCACTACTTCCGGGCTGATTGGGGCGAAGACTGGAAAGACGTTGGAACAATCTGTTGTGGAGATTCAGGCAATCCGGGATGCGGCGGTGCGGATCAATAAGGATGTCATTGTGTTGTGTCACGGCGGGCCTATTGCGGCTCCAGAAGATGCGGGATTCGTATTGGATAGGGTGCAGGGCTTGCACGGCTTCTATGGGGCTAGTTCAATGGAACGACTTCCTGTTGAAGTTGCCATTAGGGACACCACTGCCGAGTTCAAAAAGATTGCCTTGAAGAGGTAGTTGGTATTGTATCTGGAGCTGTGCCCGAAGAGTTTTCAGCGAACTATAATGCAACCTGATGTAATGGAAAGCATGAGGAATATTTTGTATTCTTAGACTGGTATGCTTCAAATGCTTAATTCATATCCGTAGTAATCTGACAGCCTTGACCCTGGGAACTGGTTGGCTGTAGTCAAAGTCAAGGAACAAATATTGTGTAGATTCCAAGAAAACCGAGTTCGTTAACCGAGCCCTCGGGGCTTTCGCGAGTATAGATTGAACTAATCATACTGGCATCCAAGGCACTAGCCTGATCAAAAGAATGATGTCAGTGTATATATTTTTATCTTGTTAGCAGTCTGTAAAAGCATACCAAATTAGGTCTGAAAGGGGATTTGTATTCCCGTTGCAACAACAACTTCCAGTCGATTCTGTTGAAGAATAGGTGAGATTTGATTCCTCTTGCGCTGTGAGCAAAAGCAAATAGTCGGGTTTCAGCACAATAGCCTCATTATTAGATCCTAGGCGTCGAAAGACACAGGACCGGAAAATTTCGGCGGCTTATTCATAATAACGGTTTTCCATATCTGTCAGGAGAGAGGCGTCTACAGAAGATTAAATGGATGTAGAGACAACAACAGTAATTTCCCCATTTCAGGCACTATTAGGATTCATCCCCAGTCACAGCCCCTAAGAGAAGGGAAAACAACGTATAGGTATCTAAATAGAAGCGAAATACCAGAGCTAGACCTCCCAATCAAACGGGAACTCCTATATATAATTGGCCACAGACTAAGACTATCGGGAAGGCTGGCCTCGGAAATGGTAAACTCGCAGATAGCCTGGAAATTGTACACAGTACCGCGCCAAATGGCTACCGACTCCTTGTTGTCTATAAGTCGAGGGCGCTTCAAGGCTTTAACAGTAAGGTCGTCCTAGCGATAACAGGGGATAGGTCGGACCTCGGGTCCCGGCCAGATGATAGAGATAGCGATAGTTGCGAACCCGAATGTCAAAACTGCCGACAACCTCGTCGTCGCTGTCGCGGCCGCGGTTGTCGGAAAAGACAAGAGTCACAGGTTCACCCTTGTCATTCTCCTGACCAAGAGACACATCTAACTCATTCTCAGAGTTGGAGCAAAACTCAGCAGCCCAGCACAACATAGCCAACAACTCGTAACGGTTTCCAGCGAGACCAGCTAGAGTGTCACGGATAAACTATGTGCGCTACTATATATATTGGCCCTGGGCATGTCAGAGCTCATGCTCTGACATAATGGTCTTTTGGCCGAGCGGGAGCCAGTCATAACCTTCACAATATGTCAGTTCTAGACTAAGAAAATTGATAATATCCCACCGATCTTTCCCAAAGAATGGCAAGGTTCCAGTTAGCAGTTCGTACAAAAGAACCCTTAGAGTCCACCAATAAAGTACCTTTGTGTATGGGGAATTGGCTAGCATTTTGTCGTATACTCCGGATACCACAGGCTCCCCACGGTCAGGACAGGATAGTGAGTTGGCATTTTTGATAGTTGAATTTAGCAGCGACTTCATTCTCTATCGACTCACGCACTGTGGGATCGAAGTGAGATGGAAGTGAGATGGAGTTGACCGCGAGAGAAAGCAGGAAGCAACCACCCTATATGCCTTTATCTTATATGTTAGTTCATATTCACTTAAGTATATTTCCATCTGTTCCCCTATCCCTGACACACACCGTACATACCTAGTGTTTATATCCACCTATCCGAAGTACCTTATGGCTTTAGAGCCTCGATTGCGTATATTTAGATACATAGCCTGTTTTGGATATAGCCTGAGATGCAAACTATTCAGTTTATATATAAATATAGAAGGTTCATCCTTGGCTTAACATCGCTCAACATGGTAGCAGTATTAAAGATGCTGGGGAGTTCCTCGACTCAGATGATATTAGGCTTCTGAGCTGACTGGTATTTGAGATAGATAGCACCAGATTCCTCAGAAGTAGTGGCAGTGATGCCTTTGAATGTGATGATCGTTGAGCCTAGAAATCTGTGAGAAAAGGGGGAAGAGAGAAGGAGAGGGATAGCTAGGTACTTAAGTAGGTAGTAGCTAGAGCAAACGGAGACTAGCTAGAATAGACAAACGCAACCTGAAAGACAAAGAGTCGCAGCAAAGCAACTTTATGTCTAACGAATGAGCCATAACAAAACCAGAAAAGTATAGGGATGAAGAGTAAACAGACCCTGTGTCCACGAAAAAGTGATTTGAACCACTTTGGGTCTTCTAAAAAGAGTAGTCTTATAATCTCAGCTCAGGGCCAAGGGGTATATTGCAAGAAACAAGTCAAGTAGAAAGAATAAAATTGAAACAGAGTATTACATTGCTATGCCAGTAGTACAGGTCATCACTCGTAAGACATCAAAGCCATGGTAAATACACATGTTGACACCCGTGGACATTGTCTTATAAAGAACACATGAGAAAATCAAATAGAAACAGGAAAATAAAGAACAAATAACTCCACATATTCACGGTCATCGGCCCTGCAATGACCGTCACGCTAAATGACCCTGACGCCATATCACCAATCGGCGAGGGGAGAAAAACACAAAGATTAGACAATAAGAACAATGATGCAATAAGCACGCATGTAAAGATGGGAGCAATCATGATCAGAGTGTGACGCCTCAGATCACATTGCTCATGTCCATCATAGATGACGGTGCCACACTGTGAGCGATGCTGTGGACCGATTTGGAAGCATCGATAGACATGCGATCGCCGCTCATCATCTTTGATACTTTCTTGTCTTTGCTAGGGCGGGCAATGAGGACCTGGGCGGGGCAGACGACCTCCTCGTCATCACCCTCACCCACATCATTACCCTTTTTGACAACGAGAGGGAAGAGCACGATACGCACAATGGCCTGTTGCGCTTCGAGCTCGCTGTTGTCGTTTGTCAGACCGCTGCGCTCATTCATCAGAGCCGCGTTGAAGTACACTTGGCGTGAAAGGTCGCCATTGGTATCATATTCAGGCTGCAAAGGCGGTAGCATGATGAATTCAGCGAGCTGGGTGCGCATCTCCAAGGATAGACTGACTGCAACCCGCATGATCTTACGGAGGTTATCCAGGAGCTGGGATTCAACATGAGACGGAGGAGGGAGGACCTGCGATAGGGTTTGGAATATCTCCAGAGTAACAGCCTCTGTATCGCTCTCACGTTGCGCAGCAAATGCTGGTCGCCGGGACAGCAGTGTGAGAGTGGTGGCTCGCCAGCGATGCACAGCACGGGTTGGGCCAACCTCGCCCAATTGTTTTTCAAGAGACTTGAGCTTTTGACGCTGCTCCCGGTCCATGCCGAAGAGATAACGGGTGAAGATGTATTCCCAGACCATCGTCATGACTACTGACATGAAGACATCGCGGCGGCGGACACGATCAGATAGGTAGGCATCGGGATCGGAGCCGTCGAGGAGGGCATTGTCGAAACGATCTGCGATCTTTTCGTCCTGCAACTCACTGAGTAGGCGGCAGCGACGCTTATCATTGTGCTTAGAAAAGCGCACAACCCAGGATTGAACATGGCCACACAGCTTCTGGCAGGCAGCATCGAAGTACTCTTCATCACGGAAGACAAGGGCATTGTCATGTACCGAGGCCGCGATTTGTTGTTGGAGCTCTTTCACCTTATCACGAGCCTCCTCAAGTTCGGTACGCAGACGGCGCAATTCGATATCTTTTTGCGCAAGAGCCGACTCGATCTCTTGTCGAACACGATCCTCCACCTGGGATGAGAGTTGAGTGTGTTGTAACCGCAAGTCGGCAAGCTCGCGTGTAGACGACTCGCGCACGGTGGTGACTTCGGCTGCGTGGGCGGCGGCGAGAGCAGAGTTGGACGCGGTCAAACTCTCGTTCTCTTGGGTCAGACGGGTCGTCTCCTTCTGTAGCCATTCCACCGAGTTTTTCAATTGTTCCACCTCCGATTCCCGATCGCGCAGATCGCCGTCGCGAGAGTTGAGCGCACGGTCGCTCTTTCGACGAGCGACGCTGGAATTCCGGAGCTTCTGTTCGGCTTCATCGCGGGCGGCGATCAGGAGGCGGTTTTCAGATATGAGCTGGTCGAGGCGGGTTTCGATGTCTTGCAAGTGTTGCATACTGCGACGGCGGCGGACACTAGGCGGTCGACTGGGCGACCGTGGGGAATTGGGTGTCTCACCCCATCCCTCCTGTAAAAGTTAGTAAACAAAACAAAAACAAAAACAACACAATCACAATTGTAGAAAAAAAAAAAGTAATAAATTAATAACTTACATAGACGTCCGACATATTTCGCAGCGGACGTTTGCCCTTGTCGGTGACGGGGTCGTAAGAGGAGGAAGACGGGAGCTGATCGAGATCGAGATTCGAAGGCTGGGAATCTAGTGCTCGACTAGCCGCCCGCAGATCGCCACTAAGACTGCGATTTACACGACGCAATTTTCCACTGCTGGTACTTGGCTTCAGAATTGGATCTTCAGGTGTCTTTTGAATCTCTTTGAAATTCTCTTTGTTCTCTGTAGGCCAAGCTTCTCGGTCAAAGGCATTGTCCGTAAATTTCCGGACTGGTGTCTGAGGTCGAGGTAAGACATGTTCGGGCTTCATCTCCAGGCGGGGAGTCCCGCGAGCTATGGATCCCTGTCCATCCCGGGGTTCTTGTTCCACAATTGTATCAAGCGGAGTTCGGGGTCGCACATAATCAGTTGGTCCGAAGAGCGATCGAGGAGGCGATGGGGCAAGAGCTGGTAGAGAGGGTTCGTCCAAACTCCAAGTTCTGGGAGTCGACTGATGTCGTCCATGGATTGATGGTGATCGGCGTAGTTCACATAGTTCCTCTCCAGCTTCCCGGGGTGGGAAACGCGTAGGAGAAGAAGGTTCCTCAGTACGAGTCCGCTCATTGGAGAGTTCCGTTGACAATGACAATGGCGCATCTAAGGACCTTTTGCCATGCGTCGGAAGATTGGGCTCCCTAATTGATTCAGCTTCCGTATGAGTATGAGTCTCGGACTGAGCTGTTAGCTCCGATATTGTAGACTCGATTTGTCTTTCGAGACTGCTTGGCAGCCCAGATGTAAAATCATCGGCAATTTCTTTGGGTTCAATGGTCGCTAGGGGTGCTTCCGAGACAGGGATCGCGATATCGCGATTCGCTTCCAATTTTGCTATTGTCTCATCCTCAGCACTATCTTTTAACGACGGTGTTTGCTTCTCCAAAGCTGACCGCCGAAACCCCGCACGCTCGAGGTCGGGAAATAAGTTAGCGATCTTGGATCCACCAGGAGTAGTTGTTCGGTCAGGTGGCTCGATCTCTTTGTCGTGGGAGGGTTCCAGTGAAGGTTCGTCGACTTCTGGAGCAGCTTGCTGTGACTCTTTCTTGTTCTTCTTGGCCTTCTTGTCCTTTTTGCTCGCTAGCAAAGCCCAAGTACCTTCCTCCCCAGCTTCGAATGCCTCTTGCAAAGCCTCGGAGGATGAAGATGGAACAAATTCCCCAATAATCTCCGGCTCGGGAGCTGGAATGTCTGGCTCAGGTTCAGGGTCCACTTCCCTTAATCGCTGGGATTCTTCAAACTTAGCCTGCCAGTCGATTACGGGCCAGTCTTCGTCATTGGCTGACTTTGCTTCTGACGCTTCTGAATCCTCTGCCTTGGATTGGTGCTGTTCGAAAGGCACAATAGTAACATGCTGGTCCGTTTCGATCGCCTTCTCAGTCGATGACTCAGTATCCAGGGATTTGACGGCCTTTTGAGCCTTCTTGGCCTTCTTCTTCGAGGCCTTGCGAGAAAGAGCAAGTTCCTCGCTGACGACAGGCTCTTCATCGGGTTGCGTAGGCTCAACCTGAACTTCTGGCTCGGGTATAGGCTGGTCTCCCATTGGAAGGGGGGTCTCAATTGGCAGCTCTCGCTCCAATGTAGGTTGAGCTTCTGCAACATATTCTTGCTCCCCGGCAGTCTCTGTCGGCAGGGTCTCAGGTTCTGTGGGCAACTCAGCCACATCAGTCTTGGGCTCTTCTTGTTGAGTCAAATCTTTTTCTGTAGCGTCGGCATTCTCCTTAGCCTTGCGCTTGTCCTTCTTTGACATCTTCTTGGACAGAGCTGGCATCACTTCAAGTTCTCGAGGTTGATCCTCAACCAGGCCCTCAAAGACCTCGCGATCAGCTGTTTTCCCAAGATCTTGTGTATCAGCCCCGACGTGAGCTTCATCTTCGTGGACGCTCTTTTCAGCAGGACCCTCGAGTTTAAAGGGCTCATTGTTGGTATTTTGGTCAGTGAGCCCCACATGTGAGGGCGTATCGAGTGTATCCAGAGAGACGATTGCTTCATCTTTCTGGCTTTCTGAAAGTTGCTTGTCTTCCGATACGATGATTTCAGGCTCGGGTTTGGGAACCTCCTGGATTTCTTCCGGGGGAAAGGACTCAGGCTCAGGAGCAGTCTCAGTCGGGGGTACTTCAAGCGTCGCCTCCGGTTCGATAACAGCCTCCGTAGTTGCGGACTCAGCGGTAGGCGCAAGCTCCGTTGGAAGCTCAATAACTGCCTCTGGTTCAGAAGCAGCCTCTGCAGTTGTAGGCTCGATGGTAGGAACATGATCCTCGGTCGTAGGGGAAACCGGCTCAATTACTTCTTGCTTGTCTTGCTTCTTGGCCTTCTTCTTGTCCTTCTTTGACCTTTTCCGAGTGATAGTATCGGCCGCAGCTGAGTCTTCGGCTAGCTCTTTTATAGACTCCTCCGGGTTGTCCTCTAATTTGAGAGGCTCGATAGACTTGGGTGCCTCAATAGACTCTTCCAGGACGTCTTCTTTCAGCTTGGAAGCTGTCAATTCTATTGGTTCGTCCAGAGTTCTTTCTGCCTCAGGCTGCGGCCCTTGAACGATAGGTTGCTCTACCGCTTCCTCTAGAACTTGAGGAGTGACAGTCGAAGGCTCCTCCAGTTCAAGTCGTGGCTCGACGACCTTTTCTTCCTCGAGAAGGGCAGCAGCAGCAGCAGCAGCAGCGGCAGCGGCAGCGGCCTTCTTCCTCTCTTTCTTGCTCAGCTTCTTGGGGACAACCGCCAAATCCGCTTCGAGCTCAGCCGCAGGTTCAGCTGGGGCTTGCTCACTAGATTGCTGGTCATCTAGAACCTCTGTCACAGTCTCGGCAGCTTCCTCGGCCGGCTTGTCTCCTTCCTCGATCTTCAGTTCAGTGGAAGGAAGTTCAAGAGAACGCTCTCCGCTTTCGATTTCTTGGCTTGGAACATGCTGTTCGGTGTCTTCAGAAGGCGTTACAATATCTTTGGCGGCCTCCTCGGCGGCCTCAATAGGCTGCGCTGTAGGCTCCTCTGCGCTAGTGATAGTGTCATCTTGCGTGGTAATTTCGGCGGGCGCTGACTCTGTTGCAATCTCAGCCTCTTGGACAGGAGTTTCAACTGTCTCGGGTGCTGGCTGTTCCTCAGGCTTGGGTTCAACTTCGGGTTCTTGAGCAAGAATCGATTGGCGTTGCTTCTTCTTGTCCTTCTTGCTCTTTTTCTTTGGAACAGTGGCCGCTTCCAACTCTTCAGTAGCAGGAGCAACGGCTTCAGTGTCCTCAGTCGACTCGACAGCGGCAGCTTCTAATTCTTGAGTAAGAGGAGCATTAGCCGCGGCTTCTGGGACACTGATCTCCTTGGCTCTATCAATGTCCTCAGTGGTATAGATAGCGGCACTCTCTTCAATATCCTGTGGGTGATCTCCCGGCTGCTCCTCTAGAACTGGCACTGATTCGACCTCAGCAATAGGCTCGGACTCAGTGGTTTCATTTACCCCCGGCTGGGGCTCGACTAAAGACATAGCTTCAGACTGCTCCTTGTCCTCTGTAGTAGAGGTTTCAGGCTCAGGTACTGCAGCTTCCTCCTCCTCCTCTTCTTTGTTTTTGTTTTTGTGTTTGTTTTTCTTCTTCTTTTGCTTCTTCGAGACAGCCTCAGAAGTCTCCTCTTCCACATGAGATTCTTGTGTCTGTGCCTCAGGGACAACATCAATTGGAACATCCACAGGCGTCTCTTCAATCTCCTTCTCCATGGAGAGATCGTCCGCTTCCGGCACAGACAATTTCTCCTCAACATTCTCTCCATGATCAACTGGTTTGATTTCCTCAAGGGGTGCAGGCTCAGCCAACTCCCCCTCTCGCTCTTGTGCAGTAGGGGCAACATCACCCTCCTGCTGAGTATTTACCTCCACCAACTCGCCGGAATCAACTGAACGCTCAAGCACGGGTTGGGGAGGATATTCTAAAAAAGGATTCTCTATCGGGGTCTGCTCTATCTGCGAAGACATGTATTTATCAGTCGAGGCCGTATCTTGCGCCGTGGCGTCGTAAGTTTCTATGGCGTGGGACTGATGTTCTTTACCGTCATGTTCCGCAGGCGAGGATGCCGGTACGGCTGAAAGTCCAGGGACGTCTGTGTCCGTCGAGGTGAGGACGTTTTCGACGCTGTTGGCCGCATCAATGGGTGAAGCAGGTTCGGTTACCGGGGCAGAAGGCGAATCGGAGGTTGCAGCGTCGTTATCGGCGTCGACATTCTTAGATTGGCGTTTCTTCGCTTTCTTGGCAGCTTTGCGTCGCTCCTTAGCTGACATGCCAGCTTCTTCTTCGATCGGCTCTGTGAGAGAAGGAACAACTGCCTCTGTCTCCTGGGAGGGCGTTGGCTCAGCGTCAACAGTCACTTCAGCAGCCACAGGTTCGTTGGTGGTCTCCTTGAGGTCAGGAGTTTCCTCTTTCGGCATATCGTCGGATACCTTCTCTGTTGTCTCGAGTTCCTCCGCCTTGGCAGCCTCGGTCGTGTTTTCTTGCTCCGGAGCTTCTGCGGGCTGTGTTGGCTCAGAGGCAAGTGTTTCTTGCAATTCTGGGGTCTCAGCTAGAGTATCGGTGGAAGTTTGAGCAATGGGCTCAGATTTGGACTCAGATTCCTGCGCTGTATCTGTGGCAGCAGGGGCGTTGTCGGCCAAGTCCACAGACTTGCCCTTCTTTTTGTTCTTCTTTGCCTTCTTCTTCTGCGCCGCAGTCAAGACAACTTCAGGCTCCTGTGCACTGGGTGACTGGGGCTCTGAGGGAGTCTGTGCATCTTGTTCCGGCTGCTCTGGCAACTCTGCTGAGGAATTTGGCTCCTCGACTTCAGCAGGAATGAGGGCATCAATCTCAGCGGTTGAGACCGGTTCCTGCTCGGTGATCTCTTTGCTTTGTTCAAAGGAAGTGAGTTCTTCGGTCTTCTCTGGGACTTCCGATCCAGCAGGCTCGGCGACTTCTTCGGTCACTGGCAACTCCTTGGCTGATTCTTCGGAGATAACTAAGTCGGTAGGAGCATCCTGGGATTCAGCCTTATCTTCAAGTGCAGATGAATCCTGCTCTGACTTCAGCTCTTCAGACGGGATAGCATCGTCATCAAAAGCGACAGACTTGCGTTGCTTTTTCTTGTCTTTCTTTGCCTTCTTTTTCTGGGCGGGGGTCATTGCCTCCTCCGAAACGGCCTCGGTAGCAGATGCATCAGCAGGGGCATCCTCTTGTGTGACCTCCTCAAGCGAAGGTTCTTCGGCATTAGGCGCCTCTTCTGTCATCTCAGGAGTCTGCGTATCTTTCTCGATCAAGGGCTGTTCGGTTTCCTGGGTCGACTCGGGCTCAGTTGGCTCCTCAACAGGCACAGGCTGTTCTTCTTCGGCGAGAACTGATTGGCGCTTTTTCTTGTCTTTCTTCGCCTTCCGCTTCTGGGCAGGGGTCATCGATACCTCTCCATCGGTCTCGGCTGCGATGGCAGGGGCTGCATCGGCAGGAGCCTCTGACTGCGTGGTCTCTTCCGGAGAGGGCTCCTCAACATTGGACCCTTCTTCTATCGTAATTGGAGTCTGCGCATCTTTTTCGGCAGTGGGATGTTCGTTATCCTGAGTTGACATAGGCTCAGTGGGCTCTACCTGGACAGGTTCAGGCGTAGAATGCTCTTCAGCTGGTGCAGGTGTAACCTCTTCCTCAGCTGGTTCGGGCTTAGATTCCTCAACAGGCACATATTGTTCCTCGTCAGCAACAACTGATTGGCGCTTTTTCTTGTCTTTCCTGGCCTTCCGCTTCTGAGCAGGAGTCATTGACGCCTCTTCAGCGGCCTCGGCAACGGCGGCATCGGCAGAGGCCTCTGGCTGCGCAGTCTCTTCCAGAGAGTGCTCTTCAGCCATAGGTGTTTCTTCCATCACAGTAGGAGTCTCTGCATCTTTATCGAGAGAATGTTGTTCAAGCTCGCGAGATAGCGCAGGTTCTGTGGATTCGGGGACAGGTGTAGGCTCCTCTTCGGCAGGCACAAGCTTAGCCTCCTCCTCCTCAACGGGTGTAGACTGCTCCTCTTCAGCAACAACTGACTGGCGCTTCTTCTTATCTTTCTTAGCCTTCCGCTTCTGAGCAGGAGTCATTGATGCCTCTTCCGCGGTTTCAGTGGCAGCCTCGGCGGCGTCTGCATCAGTAGGAGGTTCCACCTGTGTGATATCTTCCGGGGAGGGCTCTTCGGCCACAGTAGTAGTCTCCGCATCTTTCTCGGGAGAAAGCTGTTCAGGCTCTTGAGATGGCACGGGCTCGGTGGATTCGCCCTCGGCAGGTACAGCTGTATATTCCTCTTCGGCAGGTATTAGCTGAACGTCTTCCTCGGCGGGAACGGCCTTGGGCTCATCCTCAGCGGATGTAGGCTGCTCCTCCCCAGCGGCAACCGATTGGCGCTTCTTCTTGTCTTTCTTAGCTTTCCGCTTCTGAGCAGGAGTCATTGTTGCCTCTTCGGCGGCCTCGGTGGCGGCTGCATCAGCAGGTGCATCGGCCTGCATGATACTTTCCGTGGATGGCTCTTCGGCCACAGTAGTAGTCTCCGCATCTTTCTCGGGAGAAAGCTGTTCAGGCTCTTGAGATGGTGCGGGCTCAGTAGATTCACCTTCCGTGGGCAGAGGTGTGGATTCCTTTTCCGTAGGTGCAAGCTTAACCTCTTCCTCAGCGGATACGGCCTTGGACGCCTCCTCAGCGGATGCAGGTTGCTCTCCTTCAGTGGCAACTGATTGGCGCTTCTTCTTGTTCTTCTTTTTCTTTGACTTGGAAGAAGTTGCCGACTGTTCATCTTCAGCCTGCTCCACCACTGGACTTTCTGTGGATTTCGTAGATTGAGTCTCCTCCACAGCTGGCTCTGATGCAGACTCTGTTGGCTTGTCGTCGAGGAGTTTGTCTAAGGCAGGCTCCTCGCTGATAGCTGAATCAAGCTTTTGTTCTTCCTTGGGGGTTTCTGTGGAAACAACTTCAACCGTCGGCGGCTCTGGGGCGGTTTCCTTGTCCTCATCTTGAACATCAACAACGTTTTCAGTAATCTCTGGGGTGGGGATGGCCTCATCTGCAGGTGCCTCCGGGGCAAGTTCTGAGTCGAGATTTGGCACATCCGGAGCTTGTGCCTCTTCGGTCTTGGTCTCAGCGTCAAGACCACGGGCCGCCTCAGGCTCTGCGGACTCATCAACACCCGCAATGGCTTCTCCGGTAGGAGTAGCCTCACTATCGGGCAAAATGTCACCAGATTGTTCGACACTCTTTTCCTCAGTAGAAGTAGGCTCGACCTCAAGCGTGGGCTGCTCATCAAGCTGCACAGACTCTTGCTTCTGCTGCTTCTTCTTGTTTTTCTTGGCCTTCTTCCTCTCAGCAGCAGTCATTGTGACCTCGGATTCGGAGGATTTTTCATGTGCTTTGGGGACATCAGCCTCTGCAGCATCAACCGAGGGTTCTTCAGTAAGCACTGGTGTCACAACCTCGCTCTTCGGCTCCTCTGCCTTCAAGACATCGTCCTGTTGGTCAACATCCTTAGGCATGTCGACAGGATCGGTGGCTTCTTCTGATACAAGTGGAAGATCAGCGATAGCTTCGGTTGCCTCGACCCCAGATGATGGGGCAGCGTCTTCTACCGGGGGCTCGGCCGCAGCGGGAGGCTCGATGTCTTTGGTTAGCTCGATAGTCTCAGTATCGATTAGCAGAAGAGTATCTTCAGTGGGTGGAGCCGTCTCAGGCTCGTTTGTAGATGCAGGCGCAGCACCTTGTTCATTATCAGCAAGCTCGGAAGACACTGGCGCAGAGACGTCGGTTGGAGCAAGATTATCAATTTCCACGGCAGGCGCAATATCCTTGCTTGGCTCAGCGGATTCGGTATCGGCCGCAGGCGCGGTATCAACGGGCTTTGCATCTTCGGTATTAGAACTAATGCTTTCTTCCTGCGCCTTCTGCTGCTTCTTTTTCGCCTTCTTGGCCTTCTTCTTCTCCGCGGCGGTCATAGGGACCTCTGGCTCGGCCGGAGATTCTTCGGCTTTGGGCTGCTCCTCTGATGCGGTCGGCTCTTCTCTAGGTATCTCTGCCTCGGTTGTCTGTGCCGTTGTCTCCGGAAGAGATGTAGGAGAAGCTTCTTCCTGGAGCGGTACAATCTCGGAAATTTGCTCGGGCTCGGGAATTTGCTCGGGCTGAAGTACTTTTTCGACCTCGATGGGCAGTTTCATCTCACTCTCTTGAGGCGCATCCACCGGTACGTCTTCGATGACAAGAGGTGTTTCCTTGGCTATATCCTCAGCGGCAGTTTCGATTTCAGGTGCCGGTGAGGTAGACTCTGTAGGCTTCTCTTCGTCCGGAATGGAAGATTGACTCTGATTGCCCTTCTTCTTATTCTTCTTAGCCTTCTTCTTCTGAGCCGCAGTCAAGGGGACTTCGGGCTCGGTTTCAACTTCAAGTCTAGGTTCAGCTGGAGCTTCGGCTTCAGCTTCGGGTTGAGTCTCAACAGTAAAAGGCTCGGAAATTCCGCGAGAAGTCTCAACGGAGTCTGGGAATTCAACGCTAGGCTGGGCATCAATGACAGCTGGCTCTGACAGTTCATCGGATGGCCCCGCGGGGCCCACTGATTCGGTCACGACATGTGTTGTAGCCTCCACAGCGGTCTCCAATGGGATTTGCTCCTGCTCCTGGGTAGGTGCAGGCTTCTCGACGGTGTTTTCGAAGGATTGCTCAACATCCTTGGCGGGCTGGTCAAGATTTTCAGGATCAGAAGGTAAGGCTTCACCGCCAATTGGAGGGGATTGGGTATCTGCAGGTTCGGCAGCAGGTGATTGCTCAAGTTCGAGCTGTTGAATTTCTGACTGAGATTCAGTCTCGGGAGAGGGCGTTTCAGCGGAAGTTTGATTCTCTTCGATGGCAGCGGATTTACGATTCTTCTTCTTTTTGTTTTTTCGCTTCTCCGCCTTGGTTTCCGAAGCCTCTGCGGAGGAATCTGCAGCCACTTCGATGGGAGGCTCCGATTCAGGCTCTTTTTCTTCGGTGGGCTGTGGAATCTGTTCTTCAACAGCCTCTTCGAAGTTGTCTTCACCTTCGGTGTCTTCTTTGGGTGTGTCAGGACTTTTAGGGGTGGTGTGCTCGAGGGAGGCCTCTGGAGTAGGGTCTTCAGTTGGCTTCGCAGTATCTTCCAAGCTGCGAGATACTTGCTCCGCTTCTGTTTGAGTGGCATCGGGAATTTGGGTTTCATTGGCGTCGGTGAAAACAGGATCCGGGATTTGCTCTTCCTCAATGGACAGACTGGGATCTGCGGAAACAGGTAAAACAGATTCTTCGGCCGATACCTGCTCCATGGGCTCAACCAGCTCTCCGGCTTCCTTCTGATTTTGAGCTTGCTCTGCATCGATTGCAGCAGATGAAATCGCAGCCTGGTCAGAGATGTTCTCAGGCACTTCGGAGGAAGTAGCAATATCTTCGGGCAAGGGCGCAACCACAATCTCTTCGGTAGGCTCAGGTGCTTTGTCTTCTTGTTGGCCCTCAATCTCCTTGGAGGCAGGAGTATCATCTGCAGGCTCTTCAGTAGTAGATGCGTTTTTAGACTTCCTCTTCTGCTTCTTCTTGTCGCGCTTAGCCTTCTTAGTCGATGATGCAGTGTCCTCATCCTTTTCAGTTTCGGTAGGCGTCACCTGAGTAGACTCGAGTTCGGGAGCGGTGACAACTTCTGGTTGTTGAGTTGCTGCAACCAAAGGCTCAAGCTCGCGAGAGGCCTCGATGGACTCACTCTCTGATTGCGCAGGAACAGCAACCTCAGGGTCAATAGGTGCGCTCTCGATAGGTGCGGACTCAACAGGAGTAGCTTCAGCAACAGGCTCATCAACCTTGAGCTCAGGTGCAACCTCACGGGATGACTCAACAGCCTCAGCCTCGAATTTCTCAGGAACAGCAACCTCAGGGTCAGCAGAAATAGCTTCAGCCACAGGCACCTCGGCAGCAGTGTCCTGCACCAACTCCTTGGACAAATCTTCCTGCGCGAGCGGTTCCTCTGGGGTTTCCAAATCCGCATTCTGACCCTCGCTCTTCTTGCCGTTCTTCTCATTTTCCTTTTTAGAAGACTGGGTAGCCGAGCCCTCATCGGGAGCAACATCTGTCTCGGGCTCAGGTTGAGCATCAGAAGACTCAACAGGCTGTTTGGTAGATTCAGGAACAAATTCCTTGGCTGAGTCAGTCTCCGGGTGCACAGATTCCAGTGCAGCGGGAACATTCTCTTCGATGGCAGTAACGGGCTCACTAGATGCCTCGTCAACGACGGGGGCCTCGTCATGGTCGTGAGAGGAGTCTTCAGCGGCAACGGCTGCATCGACAAAATCACTGAAGCCACGGGCATTCGTGGGTTCGTCTGCAGGCAAGGAGTGAGACTTATCATGCTCCTTGACAGCGGTAATGGCAGCTGCACCGACAACACCGGCAAAGCCAGCACCCTTGGCGAAGTCCACAGCGCCGCTAAAGAACGAATCTTTTTCTTGAGTCGGGGTTTCCGGCTCAGTCCGTGGACGGGACACGCCCTCAAGAGCGTCAAGCGCACGCTGCGTTTCTTGCTCCCTAGTGCCAACACCAACCATGGAGCCTTCTGCGGAAGGCAGAGCGGCCAGCGTAGGTGAAGGAGGCAACTCGTCCAGAACAGCGGGGTCCTGCAGGAGCTCAGATGGTGAATGGAATTCATATCTGGGCCTCTCCTTCCTTGCGTCATGGAAGTGTCCAGCGGTAGGCGTGGTCTGCTGCGAGCCGAGGAGATCAAGGTCTCTATCATGGTTAGCTTGGTCAGTTGAAATCATCAGACCGACCGGCCGCTGGTTGTCCATTATTGAGCGGCTCAGGTCCACATGCTCCCAGCTCTTGAGGCCATCGTCGTCGTGGAGGGATCTTAGGTCCTCTACTGACTGGATGCGGGAGGAGCTCTTGCTTGACGGGAGCGACGGCAAGGGCTCCTCGATCTTAGGCTCGCCCTTGATTAAACTGTGGCGCTCGACGAGGAATAGAGGGCGGATCTCGCGCGAGTTTCGGAACTCGCTTGACCCGGGCCGGCGGCGTTGCTGGCTTGGGGAGCCTGGTGAAGTGATGGCGGCAGGCTGTTCAATAGGGACTGCGCGCGTGAGACCTGGGGAAGTTGGGGGCCGGCGGAAGTGGAGAGGCACGGCTGTAGGTGATTCGTTGATGTACTTGGCCACGGAGTGTCGGCGTTGCTTGGGGGATCGGGACCCCTGTGGGTGGCTTGTTTCAGGTGAAGCGGGGCGGCTCAGAGACTTCGGGGTCAGGTCAAGGGTCTTCTCTGTGGCTGGGGGAGATGTGGAGTGACTCCGGGGTCTTTGCGCAATCTCATTCAGTCCTGATGCTGCAGCGAAAACGGGTGGAAGCCACAAAGCACCGTGATCCTCGCGATCAGCCGCTAGAATTTCAGGGTCCCTCTTTAAAAAAGATTCGTCGAAATTGTCACTATGTTCGTCCTGCACATGGAAAAGAACCAGTAAAAGCTTAGTACATTTCTGTTTTTGTTCGGGTTTTGTGGTTTTTGTGCAAAAGCTGGTTAGATCAACCAGCGAGCAAAAGGGAAACTATATGGCACAATAAAGTGTACAACCAAAATCACAACATAAGTAAGTAAAAGAAAAGTTCAGATGCTATACCTTCTCAGATTCCCGTTTCCTTCCCGAATCCACGATTTCCTCGTACCGATGCCGACGCCGCTCTTCCTTTTGCTGTCTGCTGGACCTGTACTCCTCCAGATTTGTGTCATCCTGAGTACCCTTCTCCTTGTCTGACACGTAGCGATCCAAGTCATCTCCATTGCTAGAGCTGCGGTGCTTAGAAGAACGCTTCTTATGGCGACGACGTTCATCGTCCACACCAGCTTCAGATATGGCTTCGCGGGATGATCGCTTGTCCAGTGAGGAAGAGCGAGATCGGTCAGACCGAACTCGCTCAGCTGGAGCCGATACCTGCGAACCGAAAATACTCCTCAAAAAGCCACCACTCTTTTCTTTTTCATCTTTGCCTCGGCGCTTCTCCCGGGATTCGTCAATCCGAGCTGGAGAAGAGGTTATAGAGGCATTATCATCAAAGTCGGCTTCCCGGGATGAGCGGTGGCGATGCTTGCGGCGCTCAGACTTCTCATCCCCAATGTCCGTAATAGCGGAGCGAGCATCGTCATCAAGAGGGATGGTGTCGCTTTCATGCTTTGATCGACGCTTGCGACGTCTTTTCTTCTCCTCGCCACCTTCCACGTCGTCGGGGGCAGCTTCAACATCACGACGTGGATCGAAATGATCACCACTGCGGCGTGACTTAGCTGATTCGGAGACGACAGAACGAGGGTCGTCACGAGACCCAGACACATCCCGCGAAGCGGATATATTAAAGTCATCTCCGCTGCGTCGAGACCGGCGAGATTTGCTGGTCTCATCTTTCGAGACAGGTGCAGAGAAAACAGACCGGTTATCGTCGTGAGATTCGGAGATCTCTCGCGATATGGGGATATCGTAGTCATCCCCATTACGTCCCGATTTCCTTGGCTTCGATAGCTCGTACTCATTGCCCGCAGGAGTAGAGATAATCGAGCGGGTGTCATCCCGAGATTCAGATGGTTCGCGTGATTCGTAGATCTCGAAGTCGTCGCCGCTCCGTCGAGATTTGCGGGACTTGGACCTGGAGGTCTCATCCTTCGAAACAGGAGCAGATATAATAGAGAAAGAATCATAACGAGACTCTGGAACAACTGACGCTGGGTATTCAGCAAAGCCGAAGTCATCTCCACCCCTGGATTTCCTGGATTTGGACTTGAATGTTTCATCCTTCGAAACAGGAGCAGAGATGACAGAATAAGAGTCATCCCGAGATGGAGATGCCTCAGGTGACTCGTAAATCTCAAAGTCGTCGCCGCTGCGCCGGGACTTACGGGGCTTCGATGTCTCATCTTCCAAACTAGGAGACTCAACAAGTCCCTGCTCTTGGAACTCGGGAAGATCGGAAACATCGCCGCCCCGTCTCCACTTGGTCGCGGTCTCTGGGTCCGTAGCAACAGGCGCCGGCGCTGAGACCACGGATCTCTTGTCAATCAAGTCCCTAGAATCGGCTGTATCAAAGCCGCCAGGCATCGAGAAGACATCTATCTCTTTTTCAGGCGAAGCAGTACGATCGCGCTTGCCATATTTGCCATTCAGTTGCTCGATAACCTCCTGTGCAATAGAGGGACTGTCAAGGCGTCCCGAGGCGATATCCCGATTGCTTGAGAAGGATTCCGGCTCGGCGAAGAAAAGTTCATCCTTGTCCTGCACCGCATGCCCGGGAGCGGCGGTGGTATCCTTAGTAGACTTGGGATCAACTTCTTCAACCTCGCCCTCGACAAAGCCGTGGGGCTCCTTCCGAGCCGATACAGACCACGGCGAGGTAAATGTGTGTTCATCCTCCGATCCAGGAGGGGAAGTGCGGGTGTGGTAGGATGGGTTGTCTGTGATCAGAGTGGGGTCGAACCCAGCTGCGGCCGTCGCAGCAGCGATTGTAGCGGCGAATTCAATGTCAGTACCGTAATCCGAATTGCCAGAGATATCCTTGGCTTGGGATATTTCGGATGCTGGGAGAGGAACATCAGCGGGTGAAATTTCGATAGGGGAAATATCATGCTCGAGAGGATCCTGTTCAGAAGAAGATAGGATCTCGTATTCGTGGGTCTCGTGTTCGCCCCAGGAGACGCGGGAGCCGGTCGGTTGTTCGCGAGGCTGGGTATCATAAGATTTATTTACAGGGGCGGTTGGGGAGGTAGCGTCGCGAACAGAACCACCGTTCACGCTCTGGGGAGGAGTTGGCTCAATGAAGTTCAGCGCAGGAACTGGCCACGGGAGCCGGTCCACGTTTTGATAGGGCTCGTATGTATAATCTGGCTCTGTCTCTGGCTCTTTCGGTGCAGACTCCTCATGTGTACGTGGCTCTACCTCCACAATTGTTGGCATATTAGTGGGGCTACGGTTGCGAGAATTGTCATCTGAATGGTGTCGTATCTCCTCAGGGGCATAAAATTCTGCGTAATTGTCATAAACATTTGCTGGGCGGGGAGATCGAGGAGACGCTTTCTTCTGGTCTTCGCGATGTTCCACCGTGGTCACTTCATCGATAGGCTGAGTGGGCTTGAAGCGCGACACAGTCGAAGTATCCGCCAATGCATCCATATTGCGCTTCCGCTCAGCCCGACGTTTCTCTCGGCTCTCATTATATCGCTGGCTAGCTTCGGAGGCTTCATCATCGTCTGTCTTGTGAGAGACTAAAGTGCTGGCAGCAGCAACGCCAACAGCTCCGGCAGCCGCTACACCAACCCAGGATGAGGAGTCATTTCTTCTGTCGTCGGCATACCGGCGCTCATCATCCTCTCGCTCCTTTCTGCGGCGCTCTCGGCGCTCAGCTTCCTGTTGGGCCGCCTCTTCCTCCCGGTCAATCAGTTGAACCGGTTGATTAGCAAATTCATCCCGGTAGTTATTGTCACGGCGAGAAAGGTGACGTTCTCTCTCTGCTTGCTCTTCTGTCAAGTCAAATTGCACGGAGGCTTGATCCTTTGTGGTGAACCGGCGCCTAAGATTGGAAGCAGTTTCCTGGGTGGGGAAAACGGGAGAGGAATCACTGCGTCGAGGCTTCCGGCGGTCGGCATATGTTGATCCTTCTGGTGCCCATGCTGCATCACGAGAGCCTTGGAACCGCGGATCATATTGTTCAGCCCCACTGGCGAAGATGGGTGGAGCTGCCCGGGCACTGTACACGGGGATCGATCCCGGAACAGGCCCCTGGGTAGTGTACACTGATTGAGAGACGGGGGTGAAAGGCTGAGGCTGCTGAAGGGGAATGGGTCCTGGGCGGATGAGAGTTGGTTCCCCGGCAGATACAGATGGGGACATCTTTGCAACATCAAAGCGAGAGGGATCAGAAGTAGGCATTGGGTAAACGTGCTGCAGGCTCCCGGAGCTACTTTGGGGCTCGCTATCACGACGAGCAGAAGAAATTGCAGCGGCTCCAATAGCGCCAGCGCCAGCCATGAGAGCGGCATTTGTAGCACTCGACCGCTTGTCCTCCTTCCTTTGCTTCTTTTTGTCTTTCTTGCTTCCCCATCTCCAGCCCCATTTGCTGCTGGCGGAGTCGGAGGAAGACTCAACGCTGCTTCCTCCGAAGGCGAGTGCAGAGCTTACACTTGAAGAAGACTGGTCCTCTGACTCATCGACCCATTCTTCGTCCTGTGTGGTAGATTGGGCATAGTTGGAATGTCGAGATCGAGCTGTGTACATCTGGCCTGCGCTGCGCCCGTGACCATGTGGTGACGAGCCAGCCAAACGGGTTGCCGTGTCGCTTAGTTCCAGCAACGCCGCATCAACATCTTTACCCTTCTTTCCCTTCTTCTTGGACTTAGAGTACTTCTTCGAGAACCCATCCCCAAAGGCAAGATCGTTGTCCAATGAAGATGATGAAGAGCCACTCTTGAAAGAGAAGAAACCACTGCGCTTCTTGGTATGACGCTTCTTCTTGTTCTCAGAAGCAGCGGTGAAGAAAGACCCGATACCACCAGCGATAGACTTCTTGCCAGGCTTGGGGATATTGACAAAGGATGAGGACGAGGACGAATCCTTTCGGCGATGTCGTCTTCCAGGCGAACGACTGCGGGAGCGATTGCGCGACTTCGCTACAGCCAGCGCAGCCCCACCCACCGCGGCACCAATTGCGGCCTCCTTCAGATACGAATGCCGGCCAGATTGAGAGGAAGATCGCGATCTGGAACGTGTGTGTCGAGAATTTCCAGATTGGGATGCATACTTTGAATCTGCATAATGGTCTCTTTGGGGACTGCGGCCAGAACGGCGGGTCACACCACGAGAAGTATGGCTCTTCCGGTCTTCTTCCTCCTCATGGGAGGAGTTCACTCGTCCGGAACGAAGGCTGTAAGAATCGTCAAACTCCTTGTTCGAGAAGAGTGACTTGGTCGCATAAGCGGCTAGCGCGCCATTTAGCCACGAGGAAGATTTCTTAGACTTTGGCCGTCGGCGGCTCTCATCTTCGGAAGAGTTATATCGACTATTTTTGCTGATTCTAGAGCTACCACTGCTTCGCCGATCGGGGGATTGTCGGCGGCGGCTGTGATAATGGTGCTTGCGAGGCGCATCGGCGGAGGTTGTGCCAGGTTGGAAACAGTATTTGCACACACCGATAGATTCCGTGTAGTCCTCGAATCTTCCAACAGCCTCGGGGTCACGCCAGAAATCAACAAATCTTCCCATGGGGCCGCGCTGACGCTCTTGAAAAGCTAGCGCGCTGGGTCCATGGGGATAGAAACCCGGGTTGTGGGCAGCATTAACAGCGTATCCACCTGCACCTGCAGCATATATAGCATTATTGTTACCAGGGGCATACGGTAGCATACCACCAACTTGAGAAGCTGGCCCGTTGTGCTGGAGGGCATATTGTGGTCCGTGCTCGGGGCTGGAGGAGTGATGGTGATGACCCATCATGTACCCTGTTGCAGCACCTGCAGCCGCAATACCGACACCTTCACTAAAGCTATGGGAATGGGACGGCTTGGGGGGAGAATTATTGCCACCGCTTGCCACGGGCTGATTGTATTGCATTGGCTGGTTGGGTGGAATTGGCTGGCCGTGAACCATTTGCTGACCTTGCTGACCGTACGAAGTAGTGTGCTCCGCAAATGAATACGACTCAGAGTGGGACATCATACTCCCAATACCATACGTGGCAGCTCCAACAGCGGCAGCAGGAAGAATGCCTGACGACGAAGGCTTCGGGGGCATAGACTGTTGCGGGGGTCCAGATGAAGGCAATACCGGTGGCTGGCCTGGCTGCGTCGGAGCATGGAAATTATCGTCGAAATAGGCCGCCGCCGCACCAGTCTCGCCCAGACTACTAGGCTCTGGCGGTGGGTTAGCCGATGGAGATGCTGCCATCAAGTGTGCTTGGGTGTTAGGAAGCACACTTGGGGGAGCCGGCCGAATACCGGGCTGGTGCTCAACAGACTGGCCTTGGTCACCATAATAGTCCGCCGCAGCGCCGGCGGGGTTGGGTGGGGGATACGGGGCAGCACTTTGCTCTGGAAACTGTCCGGGAAATTGGTGCTGCACATGCGAATCATACAGAATTTCATGCGCTGGCGGATGGCCTCCGGATGGTGTCCCGTTATCGTATTGCATGGGGAATTGCGAGAATCCCGGGGCGCCAATTTCGGCGGCAAAATGCGCGCCGGTGGCGCTAGACGGTATGCCCGTGGAAATCGGGGGCACATACGGATCCCCTGGCTGGGCGCGAGAACGCTCGCCACGGTCGCGCTCCCGATTCAAGTCATCGTCCATAGTGTCCTGTGTTCCCCGACGGCTCCTTCGCTTCTCACGCTCTGGGCTTTCGGATCGGTCCAGGTCGCGCCGACGAGAACTCTTGCTTTCCCGTTCACTGTCTCTGCGTTTCGATGTGCGTTCAATGTAGTAGCGATCGGAATCATCAATGGGTTCTGGCTCAGCGGTCACATAGGTTGATGCGATGGACTCGCCTGCGATACTAGGTGGGCCACGCTTACTGCGGGAAGCCGACGGCGGATAAGACGACAAATCACCCAGGCCGCGGTCACGGTCGTCACCCCGTGAGGACTTGCGACTTGAGATTGATCTTGTGTCGGACTTATCTTTTTCGTACTTGCGCCGGCTGCTCTTGGAACTGCTGCGAACGTCGGATGAGGACGACGAGCGGCCCCCGCCCATCAGGGCTTTGAACATGGTGGGCAATTAATTGGGGTAGTCAGAGCAAACCATGTGGAAGGAAAGGAATGTAATGGTTGGAATGGAGGGGGAGGGGTATGGGGAGGAAGTGTTAGTTGTAAGTCAGAGGGAATGCAATGTTATGAGTTTGTTTGGGGGAGTAAACAACGGAGCTGAGCCGTGGATCTTGTACCCGGGAAAGGCCCCCAGTGGATCTCAAACTTGAGCCTGTGGCGCTTAACCTCACCTTCTCTTGTTTTATTGTCGAGTATCAGATGGAATCTGGGTGTTAGAGATTAAATGAGATGCAAACAATCTGCTGGGAAAAAAAATGCGACAGTGAAAAATGAGATTCTCTGCGTTGATGAGCTGTCGGTGCAACGAGTGGAGCGAATCAAAATCGCGGTGAAGCATCGTGCACGGACCAGAATGGGGCTGGGAATATTATTCCATCACTTCTTCACATCCCAGCCATCTATATACGACGTAAAGTGAGACTACGGAGTACTCCGTACCTCAGATATATATCTAAAAATAAAGATTTTTGATTTATATCGATCTAAATCTTATCTCGAAGTACCGAGTATGTTTTAATGCTCACATAACAACAAATATCACATGCTAGCTGTACTAGCATGTCCAATTCCCTATTATTGACAATAACTGTGCAATATGTGCATCAACACACCAAATAATACCACTCTCCAAGTATTTAAAAGAAATAATAACCCAAAGTCCAACTAGTAACCCCACAAACCCCTCAACCCTAACCAGCCCTCATCAACTTCTCCAACGTACACCTCATCGAATGCTGGAGCCATCCAGGAAAGCCTCTAAGTCGCTTTGCAATCCACCCAGCAGATGCAGGAACAACAATATGCCCACTCTCACCCTTAAGCACCTGCCTAACCAGCTCCTCAGCAACAGTCTCAGGATAAAGCAAGGGATTAAGCCAAGTATCCTCAGGGGTCAAATCTCCAAGAAAATTGGTCCTAGTAAAGCCCTGGGTAACAAGCACAGTTCGAATTCTAGGCGCATGGTAGCGCGTAACCAGCTCAGCAGCAAGTCCCTCATGGAACGCAAGAGCCGCAGCCTTGGACGCCGAGTAATCGACCATATTAGGCGTGGCGATATATCCAGCCAGCGAAGCAACAGTAACAACCATACCATGGTTTGCCTCGATCATATCGGGCAGGAATTCGTGTGCGAGCCAGTAGTGCGCGAGTGTGTTGACTTCGAACACATGGCGCGTCTGGGCTGGGGTTGTTTTGAGGATTGTTTTGGTGGTGCAGATGCCAGCGTTGTTGATTAGAATGCTGGGGCGGCCAAATGAGGCGCGGATTCTGGTTGCTACGTCTCCGATGGCTGTCGTGGAGGTTATGTCACATTGGTAATACCGCACGCTGTTTGGTAGCACGTCGTCGGTCGCTGGCAGAGAGATATCCAGGATGGCGACTTTGATGTCGCGTGCCCCAAGTAGCTCCGCGATGCGTCGACCGATCCCGTTGCTACCGCCAGTTAGGATTACAACTTCGCGGTTCCAGTCGTATACGTCGCTGACACTGTTGTTCAGCATGCGATGGTCGAGCCACTTGCCTAGTCTGCTGATAAGACATATGGCTGTTAGGTGTTTCAGGGCCTTGTAGAAATTTGGGCGCGCTTTGGCAATATCTCGGCCTTTGGCTGTGTATTGTACTAGAGCAAAAATTGGGAGTAACTTCCAGGGGTCTAGCAGACTCCGGGAGATGAAATTGCCTAGAGCATCAGCTGTGAAGCCTGAGGTTATTTGTTAGCCTTAGCTGTTTGGTATAGGAATAGGGGTTGGTACCTTCTCTTGAGGGCCATTTTTTTGCGTTTGGTGCCATGTCTAGGTTAGAGTGTACATTGATTTCCACCCGGATGTCAAAGGCAGGGCATTGCAAGAGCTGAAAGATAGCAAAGGGTGTGGCTCGTGCCTCTGAATTAACTTATGATCGACTGATGCGGGGAAGCCGAGGCGCGCGAGCAGCGTGCATTTGATTTCTTTGTGATTATCAGCGATAATATGGCCAATTTAGGCTATGCCTAACCGTCTAATTTATTCAATAAGACTTTTAAATAATCTTGGTTTGATATCGGCCGGCCCTGATAAAACCGTGGGAATGGAAACGGAAGGGCCCACAGACCATATTCCATGGTTCCAAGGTTGGTCCGATACTTCCAACCAAGGTTGAAACCTTTCAAGCTTATACATGAGCCCTAAACCTTAGAGGCTTCCATTCACAGTTTTCGCCACATAATCAAGCAATATCAGACTTCATCTCGATTCACCTGTGTCCTGTTCAATCATGTACAGTATCAAAGAGAAAATTTACAGCAAACAAAACCCCGAATAGAGCCCACACTGGAGATGAGATATATTCAAAACACTCAAAGTCAACCACGAAATGCAAACCTGTGCATTGAGTATGAAAATGATATGGCGCAGCCAAATCAACAGAAATAAGTTGGCATATTGTAAGAGCATCCCAAAAGAAAAGCCAACAGAATGTATGACTTGAGATGCATGCAATGCAGGTAAAATGACCACATAAGACACAAGAACTCCATTCCCGAGACATATCTCCGCAGGGACAGACCATCGGAGCCACTAAATGCTTTCAAGCCCCCCAAAGAAACCAAAAGTCAAAAAAGACAGGAAAAAAAAAGAAGGAACGAGTCAAACCCAACACAGTCATTGCCCTAGAGAGGCAATAAAAGAACAGGTGAGATTGCTCGATATATGAAATAAGCCACACCAATCAATCGCCGCGTATAAAGCCCGTGTAATCTGATATTGTCTCAGATACACGAGGACCGAGTGTTGAATTGGATAGGGTTGGGGAATCATAAATGAAAAAGAACCATATAGTGCACAAGGTATAGATGACAAACAGACAACAGAGGTCGAGCACGGAAAGACTCGGGCTTAAATGGACAGGGACATGCATGATGTGTTCATAAGAATATGGGATATCAGATATCGGGTTGCGAACTCCACAAGAACGGGGACCAAAAAAAAAAAAAAATACTCTGACGCTAGATGCACATTTAAGGGAAGCTCATGCTTGGAGTGTGGCTGCTCATGCCGGCGGTTTGCATCTTATTACGATCAGGATTGAAGATCTTATTGTGGATCTCAGTGAGAATGCGAGCATCGGCGCGGAGTGTGGGGGATATGTTTGCGCTCTGGACGAGGAAGCCTATTGTGCGCGTGAGAAGGCGCTCAAGCTGGTCTTTCTCGACAAGCTCCTTTAGACTTGACATATAAGTTGCAGATAGGACGAGCATATTGCCGAATTGTCTGCAAAGAAAATATGTTAATATTCCCGTGATTCTTTGAAACTGGTGTTAGAAGATTCCTTACGCATGGGCAGTGCCAAAGATGTTGGTCACGACCAACCGATGTCCACCTACACCGTCAAAAGCCTCTGTGCTCTTGATGGCGGATTTAATACAGATGTCGCAGGCAGCTTTCAGCTTCTTCGGAAGCTCATGTAAACGGACTTTAGGGGGCTGCCAGTCAGTGGAGACTGCGGCCGGCATAGAGCCCATGTCGCTAGACATGCGTGCCATGGCTGGAGCTCGAGCAGCGCTGTGTAGCATTGAGGGGGACAATTGTTGCGAGGTAGGCGAGTCCACTAAGGACTGGCCGACTGGACCGACGCGGGCACCTGTGTGACCATAGTGCAGTGCGTGGTAGAGAAGAGGTCGGTGAATAATATACCGAGCACCGTAGTATTTGGCACGCATGCGGGCGGCGTTGATTTCATTTGCTGGCGGGTCGTTTTCCTCCCACTGCATGCTTTGCGGTAGGCTTTTACGCCAGAGGTCGAGGTTCAGGCTCAGAGCTTCTTGAACAGTGGATGACCATCGCGTCTGGCCTTGCTTTTCAACCTTGTATAAATCTGTATGGACTCGATTCAAAACTTTTCGCAGGTGAATTTGGGCAGAATAAAACAGCATCATCATCGTTTGGGGTGCGTTGAGATCGTTTGGCAAAACGAGTGTCCATTTTCCTTTCGGAATAGCCATCCGACCCTCGGAACGCGAGATCCCACTTGCTGGAATGTCTAGCTCTGCGAGAAGATCACTCTCCAATTGTAGACAAGTCCAGTATGCAAAGTTGTACAAGTCCTGCAAAGGCCCTTCTTCGAGTCGCTCATATCGCTTGGTTCTCACAAGCACCTGGCAAGCCCTTGAGGCCTGAGAAATCCAACTGTGACTCTGGAAAGGATGAGCCAGCTGACCAGCATAAAGACCAGCAAGCAACCCGGACTGGACATGTTCTAGCTCGTTGCCACCTTGCAGGTGGCCTAATATTGCAGTCGCATATCCATAGAGAGTCAGACCAGGAATAGCCTGATAGTTCTTCGTGTTCCCTTGTGCGTCCTTTGTGTTTGTCACGTCTCTCCTTGACAGGCCTGGTAGTCTTTTGTTCACTGGAGGAGCAGACGCAAAAGATTGGCTATCATGCTGCGTTGGCAGGCCATAAAGTGAATGCGAAAGCGACACCCCGGGCATGGGCGCCGAGTCCGAGTTTGCGGGGGAGAGCACACCATTAGTGACATATGTTCCATTTACAGTCGGTGGGGGAACAAATGCTGGCAGTGGAGGAGGAATAAACTCTTTGCGGTAGTCAATCTTCTTGTCCATTATGGGCCCAGGTAGAGGAGCCTGGGCTTCGCAGATAGCCCCGAGGGCCAGACACAGCATGACCATGGCATTGTCAATATTTTTACCGACTCGTGGCCGCACCGGGTTCGGGATATTGTCCGTAAACTCGCCACGCACGCCTAAATTGTCGTTGGATCGCCTCCGTTTAGCTGGTGGCGGACCATCGCGAGCTAGTCGTGTGTGATTGGAAGCCGAACTCGGTGACGCATTGGGTGGACAATAGCATCGGATGAAGCTATCGACCTTGAGATTGAGTTCGCCCTCCATAAGAAATGGATGAAGCTTAAACATGTGCGCAACGTAGCTGTCATAGTAGCGCCTAGCAGTAACTGCATCCAGCTTCAAGTGACCAAATTCGTCGATGTCGACGTCCGCATCTGGTCCTGCACCGTCCCCATCAGGTCGGGCATTTTTGGAGCCACTATCCATTGGTAATTCGCTGTCATCGGCAGTGAATGAAATCTCGCCTTGTCCATATATGCTGATAAGACCACGCTCTTCTTCTAATCGCATCACGTAATCTTCGTCATATATCTCAGGGTGTAGCAGCCTTTTAATTGATGGCCACATCAATAGCTTGTGAGCTGCAGTGGTGTGCTCTACTGGGATGGAGAGCTCTCCCTCGGCCTCCTTCTGGTCTTCGAGCATCGGGTCCATAGCTCCAACCGGTTGACCAAATTTATCTTGACTCCCGGGGTCCAAAATATTTGGAGTTGAGGCCTGGGTCTGAGGTATTTCTGTTTTGAGAGGCGGGTCCTGCTTGATGGCTGGCGGTACCAGTGCTGCTGGTGCTGGTGCTGGCGTTGCTGTTGCTGTTGCTGGTGGTGGCGGTGGTGGAAGTACCGGACGTTCTTGGATAGTCGGGGGTGACTGTTTACTCGGCTTGTTGAGAATTTGCTCTTGTATTTGCTTTTGCATTTCTTCGAGGCGCTCCTCCATGCGGTTGCCTCGCTCCTCCATCCGGTTCTCTCGCTCTTCCATGCGGTTCTCTATCTGGGAGAGCCGATCCAATACTAGCTGGGTAGTCTTCTCTTGTTTGTGTGGTGGAACCTCTTTGTAGACACAACCAAGGCTGTTCTCTTTACAGTGGCTGCAATTCGGTCGTCCTTCATCACACTTTGCTTTCCTGGCTCGACATTGATCACAGGCCTATATAGCTCGGGTGTCAGTCCATAAATTCCCCCGAAAACAATCCTGTCTTCTACAAGCTTAACATACCTGCGTAGCTCTATTTGCCTTACGCTGGCGTGCTCCAAACGACTGGTTTTGGTAAAATGCCGGGTCGTACCCAGCAGGAGGCGTAGCACTGGCCATTGGGGCAACGGGCGTTATGAATTGTGAAGCAGGAGGCAAAGCGCCCGAAACGGGTGTATGTTCAGCGCTGTTACTTTGATCCGGGGGTGGGTAGCCCATACGAGCGCGATAATCAGGCGATCCCTCGTGCGGCGCGCCGTTCATTGGTTGGTGGAAGCTCGGATGAGGGGGAATTGGATCCTGCGGGGAATGCACGGGCGCATGCAGGGGCAGGCCATGACCATTGGGACGACCATATGGGCCTTCTGAGCTTAACTGTGGCAGCTCTCGGTTGTGCATCATGGGATATCCTGGCGGCTGCGGCGGTAGGGGTGCCTGCGGGTTTGCGGAGGAGCGGCGGGAGTCGGAGGGGTGGTTATCGAATGGCAGAGGATATGAAGAGCGCCATGAGGGCTCATATGCTGAATGTGGACCCGCGTGCACATGGTGCCCTTCCGGAGGAGGCATGCGATTCATTGTGAATAGAGGGTGCGGGAGTACGGAGAAGTTTGAAGCTGCCAGCTGGAGCTATCCTGTCGCAACCAGCCCGGGTCGCTGATACTGGGTATATATTGGGTAGCCAATTTACCGTTGAGAAGCAATTCGGGCTTGGTAAATTGGAACTTAAACCAACATGGCGCTCTCAGTTGAAGTCGCGGAAATTGATTGTAATAAAAGGGAAAGAAATGAAATGACAGATCGATGGATCTGATGGTCGGAAGAAGCGAGAGCTGGGACAATGAAACCAGATCGCGCCGTTAGAAGCCTGCGAATCAAATAGCACGACTAAAGCTCCGAGTTTCCCAGGTCGCAAAAATGCGGCGTTGATGTCGCAGTGGGCAACCGAGTGTGGAGCTAGACAAAGAAATAGTCAGATTACGGCGATGATCCGACCAGGGGGGGGGGGGGGTCCCGTTAAGCCGAGTTATGGAAATATCAAGGAAATAATGGTAAGGAAAAAAAGAAAAGGTTCAAAAGAGAGCAAGTAGATATCAGCTGTATATCAGATAGATCGTAAACCGAAAGTACAAAGAGGTTGGGCCACAAGGAGGGGGAAAAAACACCTGAGGTCCAAGTTGAACTTTGAATGGGGAAAACATTCGATGTACCCAGTACTCCGAATGTACACAATACATATATTATCCATGTAATCCATGGAGGGTACGAGGTTGGTACCTCAGTACCTCATGTCAGGTATTGTAAGAAATGTAATATAACCACGTACCTGTGCTTTTCCAGGTAGTCAATACCCAGTGGACCAAGTGGGGGGGGAGTTGGGAAACGGGTACACCAACCTATATTTGTAGATTTCAAGTCAAAATACTCCGTAGATCAAGTTGGAATATCATGTATATAAAGTACCAGTAGTTGTCAAAAAAGAGAACTATGGAAAAAAAGGTAAAAGGGAAGAAAGAATATAAACTGGGGAGGGGGGGGAACATAAGTAATAACATAATAACATAATATCAGAATAAATATCACAGTTATAATTTCGCCTGTAGGGATCGACAGGTGTGTTTGCCCCTCCCTGGCTTAAATACTCTCTTTAGAATCGCGGTGACTATCAAATACCTCTTTTTTTAAAATAAAAAAAACAAAAGAAAAAGAAATAATTAAATGGGCTTTAATGGGCTTTAATCACTTTAATGTCTGTTTTTTTTCCTTAACCATTTATCACATATATAGTTACATCTAGACCCCTGAGAAAGGAATACAAAACTTCAATACCTACAGTTGACAGGTCTGCTTTTCTTTTTTTCCTTTCTTTTTTGCCGAATTTAATCAAGTAGTGGGTCCAGCGGCTGGGGGAATATGAGATGCTCTGCAGGAAATTAATATTGTCATCATTTAGGATACTTGAAAGGACTAACTAGGTACATTATGTACATTATGTAATATATACATATATCTGTATAAAAATGAGTATATACAATAAAGACTTTATAAACTATATACGATGTAAGTGTTATTGATCGAAGCTAGGATCCTCCGCGTGGAACGGGGATCGAATTTGCCGCCCGAAGGTCAACCGCTTCGCCGGGAAATGCACGATGCAAGTCGAATTCACCCGGGAAATATACTGATTTGAACTGCCCTTAGGATTACGGCTTATGACCGAGGCAGTTTAAAGAATAGACCCTACGGAGTAATAATAGCAGTGTTTTGCGGCTAATTCCTATTTTTCCTATTTCTACTTTTTTTTTACACTTTCTATTTTCCCCATTTCACCACTATATATGTACTAAATATGACCCAGGGATAAGGATCGCTGCCCAGTGCCCAGGACTCGGGTAATGTTATAAGATATCGAGATCAGTCAACCTTCAATCTATGGTATTATTATTTTTTTCTAGAACGTAGAAAGTACAACTAAAAAACTGCAATGGAGGTGTATGTTGCATGTCAAGTTACTCTGTACAATATCCCTCAATGCCCAAAGCACCCAATAACACGCGCCGCACTGGCCGTCAATTTGGTCATCGATAACAGCTTGCAAGGGGCGCTTGCTTTTTCAAAACACCACCTCATGACAAACTCCGATGGAATTCGATGCTCAAATCAGTGCATATAAAGCTCCAGATCGGCGATGTTCAAACAAACCTTCCAGCCCCTCTCTATACACTCGTCATTTGAAGGGATACTCTAACCATCCTATACTTTTGTAGCTCCCCAGGGAAATGGTTGTCGGGGCTGATCAGCAAGAGCTTTGGGCACCTCTTCCCCGTGTATTCAACTGTCGTTTAAAGCCAAATACAATTTGGGGGACATCCACTTGGAAACACACTTGGAGAATCTGCAATTTATATGTTGTATATATATGTATGTCCTTGGGTAGATTATGTAGTATACAATATATACTCGGTACTATATACAATATAAAAACTTGGAATTTATGTCACAGCTGAACAGGACGAAATGGGGTCTGTAAATACCATACATACGTGACGTATGTACCATTAGTAAACCTCGGGTTCGGGGTTACCCGTCTTCCATCCATGGTTGACGACGGGAATCATCCACGGGCTCCAGGGGGTTCCGTTCCAAAAACTATTCTTGTCTATAGAAAGTGGATTAGATTAACAGATTGCCCCCATTTAATCAAAAGACCTGTTTTGTCCGGTGATATCATGCTGGAGCCTGGCTTCCAAATCTCAAATCACGTTCATTTTAGCAACCCCATCTCCTTCCCAACTTAGGCAGTAGCACAGTTTACCCCTGGCTTGATCAGGATGCAGCTCAAGGCCTCTCTGTGCCACAGAAGACTCAATGGTGTTCCCCAGTCGGAGGTCTTCTGAACGAGTCAAACGCGGAATGAAAGTGGCACAAGGACACAGAGTTGCCCCAGCATTCCTGGTTTGGGATTTCTTTTTGCTTCTTTTGACCGTTTAATTCGTGTTCTGTCTGTGCAGTCACCCGCTTCAACCACGGAGTCAAAATGAATAAAGGAATGACTGAAGGATCGGGGTGGCTTACAAGTTCATGGTCTATACTAGTGGATATTGTATGGAGTATATACATTTTAGGGCTTCTTACAGTACAATAGTGCTCGATTCGCGTTGAGCCAAGACTTGACTAGGCGATGATTTTCTTTGTTTGATTAAGTGTCCCTTGATTAATTCAAATCATCCAAGTAACATCGGGAAATACTTCTCCCATATCAAGAGTATACAATATAGTAACATAACGATCCATTGGGATGTTCAACGTAGAGCGGGATTTAACGTGCATGAACCGGATCTGAGTTAAAAACACCTCGGAATGAAAAACAATCCGAACCTAACTTTAGTAGAAAAGATCATTCTTTCAATTATGGTGTTTTATTGGTCCGTTGCAGATTCCAAGACATCCCACTCTGGTTGACAGCTGAATCTTGCCACCATTAAGGGGTTATCAGGGTTACATGGATTTCAATCACGGGTCTTTCAACTCAGCATTCAATATCGATAACCATACGGAGTATTCAAGCTACATCCAGTTTTAATTTGCCATGTCGGTCTGCCGTTTTCACTCTCCTTTCCACTATCCTGCTACCTGGGTTCGGGGCAGCGCATTGGTTTAAATCTTCAGCTCTGCATTATATGCGGCTACGCGTCGCAGCCCAAAATCTTGGTTTTAGTGGATATCATGGGAATTGATACGAACTTGTGCGGGCTATTTGTTCTTGGCTAATAATAGAAAAGGAGGAATGAGAAAAACAAATATCACGTAGCTATTCTATTGCTACGCGAGTCCCAATTCTTCTCTCAAACATGAGCTCCGCTACAGGTGACTACAAAGTACATCGCACATCGTAAAAGCAGACCTAACCTCTAAAATAACACAGGCCTACATCGTGCAGATAGTTACTGCACGCCATGCATATTGCAGTATGTAGCTATCTGGAATAGAGTTTCCAGAGCCTTTAGATATCCAATGGCGAACGCAAGGGGCAACTACCAACATGACATTATTCACTATCAAGAAATCCAAAATCCAGCCTCTCGATAACTAAATGTGACGCCTATGTTATATCATAACCTAGCTTCCAATCCTTGGAGCCTCAATCCTTGAGCTCGCACCGCAACGCCAGACTGGAGATTCTATTCCACTGTTATCCGCCTACACTAAGTACTAAGAAGTATATATGCTGTACTCCATACCTAGGAATATTGCCATGTATTACTATTCACTACTACTGTAGAGATATTCGCATTCGAGAAAATCTCAGAAACCGAATAAGTATGCAGCAGACCTAGTTCACATCCAATCATCATTGAGGATCACGTTCACAAGACTATTGGAATGGTTCCATATGGGGAAGATGCAGGCGATCTTCTCCCTTGAAATCCGCCCCCCCCCAACTTATATCGAGGGGAGGCAACTCGGAAGGTTGCATGGTCGCAGAATAGGTTGAGTTCCTCGCATTGAACTGAGACTCTGATGCGCAATGTGGCATAGGCAGGAAATGGTATGCAGCTTACTCCGTATTCCTCCGGTATCTAGATAGAGGGTGAGCAAGATACATAGGCATTTTTGTGTTACAGTAAAACTAACAGTAGATCATATTGGCGCAGTTTATAACTTTAATATCATAGGGCTGGTGAGAGTTGCGCGGATGAGCAAGTATAGCCTAGAAAGGGAGTGTTGACACGCGCCAAAGACAAAGTCCAGAACAAAATTGCAACCGCAACCCCAGTCTGCCACTCCATGCGTTATACCCAGAAGCAGATCACACAAATAATGCAAAGCATAGACTCTCACTAGTCTACGGAGTATATTCTGATTTGTGTTTCTAGAATCCTCGAAATCCAGGCATACATGGTATGTAATGTTGAAAAGACAAACACCACAATACTGGTAAGTAAATTGAACAATACGATATCTAAAATCCATTGAAATGTCAGATTATAATATTTGAACATTTCAGCCAGTTGACCTTCTAAAAAAGACCTCATCGGCGATGTTAGCACCTGATTCGTTCGCAACAGATCGATTGT